GCCCGTAAGTGCAGGCGACATGGAGGGGATGGTGCAAGCCCCACTACGAGCAAAAAGAGAACCCTCCCTCCCCGGTTATGGAGGCCTGTGCCCCCTTCTTCCTGGAACACCACCGCCTACGGAGCACCACTCTCTCCCACCTTGGGCTGCGCCCTTTGGTTACAGACAGGAGCACCAAGTAATCTACAGGCATGCACTTGGCTTGCAACAGGTGCTTCAGGGCCTATCCATTCACCCGGCACAAGCCTTAAGGGCCTGGCAGAATCTAAAGCCGCCTTTCCTCAGCTTTTAAACCTGAAGGTTTTTTATTAGGCATTATACCGGAGGACATTAGTAAACAAGAAGTGTATTTGATTTTACATGCAATCACTGCGGCGAGGATTGCATTCGCTCAACACTGGAAAAATGAGGAACTACCCACCGATGAACTGATTCTAAAAAAGATCCTAGACTGTGCAGAAATGGATGGATTGACTTTATCATTGAAGGAGAAAGAGGATACATACTTCTATCAAACTTGGGACTCTTTTTATTATTGGCTAGAGAAACGGGACTGGGCATAGATTTAAATATGTTTTTAAGTTATCATAAATGGAAAAAGAAGGGTGTGGGTGCTGACCCAGCAGGCTCGATGTTTTTGATGATGGATGTTGTTTGTAGTTTTCATTTTGTTTTTTAGGATTATAATTTCAAATAAAACTTATTTAAAAAAAAAAGAATCTAAAGCCGCCTTGTGCTCACGCAGCAGCCATGGGTGGAATCCCACTGCCTGTCCCTGTGGGCAGCAGCCGGGCGGTTGGGCACTTCACAGCGAGGCTGCCACCCTCGTCAAGAGGTTTAGGGCTTAGTTGCCTCCCTGCACCCTAACACAGGAGAGCCCCTTCTCGGGGCTTCCACAGCAATGCCTCCAAGTACGACAGGCCTTCTCCCTCTACCCATGTGCCCCTCCTCCTCTCAACCTGTATCCTCACCGCTCCGTGTGAAGGGCCATTCTCCATCCTCACTGGGCTGCCCTGTAGGGCGTGTGCCGCCCTCGTGTAGTTATTCCTTCAGCGTTGCTGCATCACGCACATCTTCATACCCCCCTTTTGTCTTTCGCTGACATGATTTTGGCTCCGTTTTTTTGTTGCTACTCATCACACAAGTTTGCTTTTAGAGGATGGAGTGATAATAGAGCTAAGGTGAATAAACCGTGTTGTGGGGAGAATGAACTAGCCGCCATATCTGGATAATGGAGTTCTTTCAACTGGTACAGATCCAGTTAATATTTCTGTAGGACATACCAGCCTGGCTGACATTAAGCCCAGAAAGGCTGATCACATCCCAAGCATCATCAAGGTAAATCAGAGCATTACATGCAGGCAGAGATTGAGGAATCTTGCATCAAATCTCCCAGCCCAACTTCCAGGTAGCACAGCCTCCCAGGTGAGTGCAGGAATCACCTGTATTCAAATATACCAATTGGTGCTCATGGGGAGAATTTCAATCCCACAGGCATCTGTCATCACTACTTGGACAGGAGGAGTTTAATGTATTCAAATATGCTCCAGGCCAATTACTATTTTAGTTTTATTCTTGAGAATAAAACGGAGTTTTGCAGCTCTCATTCTTGTTGTACTTAACCGGGTGAAGCATGCCAGGTACGGACCCCTTGAGTCCTTCATTTTGAAGGAAGTCATGCACATATTTAATCACTATTCTCAGGTCTGCAGCTATCAACTCAGTGAACCAAAATCCGAGCTAAGGATTCTAAATATAATGACCGATCGTGTAACCATTTCAGTGTTTTGCAGGACCCATTAGGAAAAAAGGCATTATGCTTTTGATTATTAGAAAATAATAATGGCTTTGGCTGAATTGTACGCTTGTGATGGAATGGATGGGAAAGATGGGGAAATCTTTCATGGCCGGCAAGCACAGAATCACTTGAAATGGCACTCTAAGCTTGGTTGTTTCTGGTTTCCTACAATAGAATACAAGAGCTGAGAAGGGCCGTGAAAGGCAGGGCATTTTGGGGGCTGTTCATTCATGGGGCCACCATAAGTTCAAGATGATATGAGAGCAAGTAATAACAAGAATATTAGAATAGCAAATGAATTATTACTTTCTTACAAAAATTAGGATTGTCCCCCACTGCATTTCTACCACCACTCCTTGCAGGACAATTTTTAGATTTAACACAAGCCCCTTGGTTCTTTCAAAAAGAACAAATTATGTATGTAGCAATAGATGTCTTGCTAATGGGACATAGGAAACCGTATCCACTTTAGGCCTATAAGAAGCCATCAATATAAACATCTGGTTAGGATACAGTAACACTTAACTGAAAATATACATCAGAATTTGTAATATTATGACTAGTGAGTTAAAGGCCAATCTCTGTTTTGCCCTTAGGCTAGAAACTGGTGGTGATGCTCCTGGACTCTGAGGCCTGGACTGCACTGGATTAGGAGAAGATTAGCCACCCTTGAGTCCCAGCCCCTGAGGTTCAGGAGCACCCACACAAACATGCCAATGGCAATTGCTGGTGTGTTACATACTATGCCATCATGGATACTGATGCATAAATGAAACAAGCAGCAATGTGTGAGGTCCATTCCTAATTTTCACACAGTTAAAGTGTGTGTGTGGGAGGAAGGGAGAGGGAGCAAAGAAAGTGAAATCGCCTTCAGCGGATACGTTGTCATTTCGAAGCGGGAAGTCCTGGTTCACAGCCTAGTGACAAAGAGCAATCACTGTGACAGAAGAAAAACTCAAAAATTCAAAAAACCCAAAAAACTTCTTGGTATCATTCCCCCACTCAAATACATACACCCCCCCCCCTTAGGCTCAAATGTTATCAGATTTCTGCTGGAAAACATTGCAATGTGGAGAAGGGACCGTGACAAGCAACTTCCTGCATGCCCTGCTCATGTATCTCTGGACCATCCCAGGAGGTTTTGCTGTCTGAGGTGAAGGACAAAATGAGTCTCCCCCCATTCCAAGTAGAGACCGGAACAGGTGGGCCGGTGAATCTTTCCTTCCTGCCGGCTTGCTCTAGTGTACCCGAGAGCAAGAGAATTGCTTAGGGGGCACAGGGCAGGCACGTGGGGGCACGGATACCGTCCCACCCTCCAGAAACATGTTGCCTCTCCACTCACTCCTGCCCGTCTTCTGCCTCGCTCTGCCTAAGGATAGGTGCCTTGCTTTACTTCACCACATAATTGAACCTGAAGGCTTGACAGGCCCAAGATTTGCCCCTGTCAGTTACAGTGCAATGGGGAAGGCTTTTTTTCTGTAATGCCCCCCTCCTGGATGGAATTGTTCTTTGCCTGGGGAAGGCCTGGGTTTCACCAGCCCCTGAACATCAAGTTTTGCAAAAGCCGGGAACTGCTGAGCTGTTTGACAAGTCCTCTGCAACTGTCATTTTAAATGTGCTCTTTTAACAGTTTATGGTTGAAATATGTGTGGGCTCTTTTGCTCTGTAATGTTTATTTCCAAGACAATCTGCTTGCTTAAGAACTGTTTTAGTAAAAAGTGTATACAGTGTGAAGAGAAACCAGAGTAGACTTGGACATTGAGATTCTCCAAGGGCTTTTTCAATATGAGATCTCTCCTTTTTAGAAAATACATTTTGCACTCCAAGTACAGTTGGTAGCAATGGCATATGGTTATGTATTTATATGATTTATGCCTTCTTGTTTTTAACTATTGGTAAACTATTTCGTGTTATTTTAGAATATTTAATTTAGAAAGAACTGCTTTAGTACATCATTCTTCCCTTGGCTTAAATTGGTTTTTATGTTGTTGTCATGGTCTTATTTGCTGTTGTTTTTGTTTTGGTTTTATTCTGTATGATTTTTTTTTTGTTTTGATGTTGGTACAGTATCAGACTACAGAAGGCTGTTAATCCACTATATCTACTTTTGGTTTTGTCACAGACTTGAGTCCTGAGTATTACATATGGAGTGTTTCCTTTCCTGTTTTTCTGCTACATCACCTTTAGGTGGCACTGTGGTAGCACAAATACACAAAACAAAATTGTGTTTACTTTCACTTTTACCATGCAATACTGCATTTTCCCTGCCTTTAAACAAAACACCAAAAATGCTGGTGAGACATAGAAGCAAAACTGGAGGGTCACAGCATCATCTAAAGAACCTGCAAACAACTGTGAGGAAGCTATACCGAGTGCATAATAAATGCTTCCGGTAGAAAAGCCTCAAGAAATGGGATGGGGGCAGGGCAGGTGCATAATGCAGGGAGAGCTTGTCTAAAGACTCCCAGGGGGAACCTGAGGGCATAGAGGTCAGGGGAGGTGAAGCCTGTTTGGATGGGGCAGAGCTTAGCACAGCTTGCTGTGGACAAGCAGTGGCCTCTCGGTGGGTGGTGGCGCCTAGTGCCTCCTACGTCCTTCAGGAATGAACAGGACAAGGTTTAACTCAAGCTAGGCTTAATCAGAGCCGCTTCCCCTCCCGCACTCAAGCGTATGCTGCTCCCAATGAGCTGAACTTCAACTCCCATCCTTCCACGTGGGCACCTAGAAGGGCACCATGTTGGTCACAACATCATTTGTGTACATATTTATTTATATTTAAACATTGAGAGATGGTTTGAGGCCCCCCCCAAAGCTTGTTTGCAAGACAATGGGCTTAAGTTGGGAATGCCGTAAGTGCCTCAGAGTGTGTGCACACAAACCTCTTGAGCACAGAAATACTGTGGACAGAAATGCACGCACTGCCCACATCTTCCTGGATGCACTTTTCCAAGGCACAGACCTTCAGTCCATGGAAATATGTGGTGAGCTGAGCAAGGATGGGTGGAAGTGCCCTTTCCCACATGGCTCCCCGCTCTTCCTCACTTAACCATTGCTCTCACATGCACTCCAAGTTAATTGCACATCCAACCCATGCCTGGGTTGGTTATTAACCACCCCTCCGGGGTCCCACCCCAGGAGCTGCCCCAGGGAGACTCCCTGGCTTTGCCCACTTGCCTGTGGATGTTCCAGAGGTTGAGATGCCATGGAGCAGGAGGCGCCACCCCCCACGCCAGAGAAGGCAGCCGTCAGCAACCCGGCAGATGTTTCAGTCATTTGCTTCTACTTTCTTGCAGTCATCGGAGTCGGGCTGTGGGTAGGTATGTATGTATGTATGGAGGGTGGGATACAATTCACATGCCAACACTTTCCAGAATGCAAAAAGGGGACTTGAGTGGGAAGAGGTGACTTTGGAAATCAATTCCAGGCTGGTGTAGTTCAGGAGATGATCCTGGGGCTTTAGATCCACCGGATCCAAGATCTCTGTTTCCTTCGGATCCAGCAGATTTCTGTTCATCTGCCAGAACATCCCATTTCAGGGCTATGAAGACTCACAGAGTTAGGCAAGGTCAGATTGTTTAGTAAATCCAGAATTGGTTGTATGTATGTATGTATGAATGAATAAATGAATGAATGAGAGAGGGGGGTAGAATTTCTATTCTTCAAAAATATTTTCCCCTGAGGATGGATTTATTACAAAGACATAAAAAACAAGATACGAATTCAGTAAGATACAATAACATCAATTAGAAACAAATAAAGAAAAATCCCAACTGTTAAAAGCACCATCCAATCAACCTTATCAGGAATTGAAGTGGTTAACCAGCCTAGGGAATTACGAAGCGTTTAAACTGAGGCCCAAAAGATAGCAAAGGAGGACCTGGAGAACAGTGGGCAGCAGATTAAAAAACCTACCCATCGCCCTGCAGCTGTCAAAACAGGGATTGCAAAAGTTGGCTGGCAAGCTGTCTTTCACAGGGAAAAGGCAGTAGGGGCACTAAACCGCCAGGAAACTGCAGAAAGTCAGAATCAAGTTGCCGCCACAGTGGGGAAAATTCAGCTAGTGGCATCCGCCTCCTAGTGCCACTTGGGCAGTTGGTGAGGAGTTGGCACTGACAGGTGCCCGGGTAAGCCTGGCAAGAGCAGCAAAGGATTTTTGCTGCTCTTGCAAAGCGAGTAGCTAACTAATTCCTGATAGCTGCAATGGGGTCAATTGCCTAGGTTTGGGCAACAAGCCAAAACAACCCTTAGAACAAGCCACGGTTTGTCAAAGTGGCTCCTTGCTCTCAAACAAATGAGATTACAGGAATTGGTCTGGTTTTGCATGTTGCTGTGCTGTGCAAACCCAGTCACTGACAGCTTACAAACTTATGTTCGTTAGTAATATCCCTCTCCTATAGCATGCCTGCGAGGAGATTTTTCCTGTAAATAAGCAGGATTGATAATGCATCACTTCTGAGCAGAGCTCCTGGGAGCCATGGCACTGGGAATAACTCTTTCCCTCATGGAAATCCCACCCCAACTTTGCTATTACCTATGGAGGGAGGAAATATGTGGGTACAACTAATGGTTACTGGGAGGGAAGGGGCAATTCCCATCAGAGAAATGGTGTAAGAGAGAAGAGCAAGTCTCCATTCCCAATGCTCTGAGCCCTCTTCAAAGTAGGCTGTTTGGAGGAAACCAAAAAGCCATCCCTTGAAATTCCTCCAATAAATCGGTTGAGGAGGAGGCTCCAAATTCACATTTGGCAAATTTAAAAAAGACTTTGGAAGATCCAGTTGTGAATCCCTTGCTACCTGGTCTTTTCCTAAGAGCCTAGGTAATTCATGGTGCACCTAGAACTCTTTTTTTTTTTTTAAAGTCTGGTTGATTTATCTGCATCTCACATGCAAAGGTGATAGGTACATACAGTCATTTAAAGAAATATCTGCATAATCCAAATATGTTGCTTGGATATTATTAACATTAACTTAATTAGGAAAATGATTATGCAACCCATTGATGCACTTGAGCTACCTGGAATTCAAATACTGCATCAAATTTTTTGTTTGCGCCCCTTTCTCTCATCATACCTCTGCCCCACATCCAGGCAGAGAGCCTCTGCCCCTTTGCACCCTTTGATGTTTTTCTGTCCTTTGCTGTCTCTTCTCTTTGATTCCCAGGCCTGATCACCCTGAAGTTAATCATTGTCAACAGTTACATGATTCAGAAATGTACTAGCAGCTGTTAATGAGGTGTAAAATTCAACAATCTGTTCCCTAAGGGTGGAGGTTATTTTTTTTCATCCTCTCTCTACACGTTTCCCTGTTTTCCAGCCAAGGCAAGACATTTTTCCAGGTTTACCCTGCCTAAAAAGCAAGATTCTTCTTCAAGAAGACTAGCTAGACTTGCTGAAAAGATTCAATTCATTTGTAGACACACACAAATGGATTTGCAGTTCCTGGACTATGTATTTCAATGAATTTCCCTTACAGATTTTGCAGTCATGCAAATCATGGTGGGGGCAAACTTACACTCTGTTTAAAAGGACTACCTGTTAAAAACATTCCTCTTCTTGTTTTATAACTCACATCACAGCTGCGCTACATGCTAGAAAGCTCAAGTGTGGTTGCAAATGCCCTCATCAGCAACACGAACAGACAAGGCAACTTGTGACCACCCGCTGAGCACTTCTCCATCATTTTCACTGGTGGCCACCAGCCAGGCTTTCTAACTGCCTGGAGCATATGATCTGCAAACTACGGCGGACTGGGGTCAAACTTTGGGCTTAAAGTCCAGAAAGCCTCAACTGACCACCCAGGGAACTGCACATCATGGGGGGGGGGGGGCAAGGAGGCCCAACAACAGCTTGCTTGCTTGCTTGCTTGCTTGCTTGCTTGCTTGCTTGCTTGCTTGCTCTTTTTAAGCATTGCAGAGTTGGGGCAGCCCGCTGGGCATGAGCATGGTTACAAATGCTCATCCAATTGCCTTTGCTGGCAATCCTGGCATTTTCCTGGTAGAAATATTATCCATTCCTATAAGAAATGGTGCCTATTCCAAGTAAACATGCTTGGTATTAGAAGCAAACTTGCTTGTATTCCTGTCTTCATGATATAGCCCTGGTGGTGTTATGATTTGAGCTTAAAATGCAAAAGTGCACGTGCTTAGAATTTATTTTTTATTTAAATCAGGATGGGCAACTGTTTGTTGCTCTGGCACATGAGGAAAGTAGAAGCAGCTATAAAGTATGGACTGCAGTGGGGAGAAGAGAAGTGCTAGCCAAGCGTTTCCCAGCTGAAGCAACATGTATGGCCATCTAAAGGAGGAGTTTCCATTGGAACATCAAGTCCTATGTCTAAAATTACCCACCTTCATCGCAGCTTGTAAAGCAAAATGGGGAAAAGTTTTAAAAGGCAGCCTCATAAGAACAAAGTCTAACAATACAGTGCAGAGATAATATGGAAGAATAACAACAATAGTTCCACACTAATGTGGAAACAGGAGAGAATGAACTTAATTGTGAGGAAATGCAAACATGAGACAAACCAGGTCAGCCAGGGCCATCCCTGATCACACCTTTCTTCTCTCTTGGCTCACAGTCCATGTGCCGGACCAACCGGGGCACCGTTGGGGGATATTTCCTGGCTGGTAGGAACATGGTGTGGTGGCCGGTGAGTATCAGAGAAGGGATGGGGAGAAAGGGAGGAGGACGCCGTTCTCCCAAGAAGCACGGGGAGTGCAGGCAGAGGCCTCCAGCCAGTAGCGAGGTGGCGCATTTGAAATGCAGGCTCTCTCCGTGTCCCCACTGCTGCATCCCTGAGGAGATTCCAAGATCCCAAGCAACTCCATTGCTCCACATCAGCAAGACACTTCTACTGCTTTTCATCTCCACTAGGAGACGGTCTTTCAGGAGATGTGCGAGGAAACCATGTTGGGGGTGGGAATCTCAGCCTCCCTGGGATCAGCTCCCCTGACTCCAGCCCAGTTTCTCATGGCCACGGTTTGATTCCCTTACAAGCATGCTGAGCCCTGGAGCACCAGGTGCCTTCCAGTAAGCAAGCCCAGAAGGATGTCGCTCAAGCAGCATCCCCTTTCTGCACACGACTTGCGGCCTTTCTTTGTATCTGCAGACACTGTGGAAAGTTGCTGGTTGCACAACTGGAGTTCCACAGGGGTCCGTGGATTTCCCCTCCTCTTGGCTTGCTTCCTACGTGAAGACCTGCTTGCGAAGAAGTCCAACGAATAGCGGAGGGCTGGATTCTGGGAAGGATTGTTGCAAGCCTTGCATCAGTTCCCCATTTAAGACCAAACTGCCCCCAAATACCTGGCATCACAACAAGGAACACTATTTCTGTTGGGAAAATCGACTGTCCCTCAGCCACCATGAGGGCTGCTTAGTGGGATTAAGGAATTCTGAAGGGTTTGGCAGATGACACCGCTGTCCCTGCCAACAGAAAAGGAGGTGCACTTTGTCCCTGAGAATCTTGGCTCCACTACACCACCTCCAAACATGTCAGATTGGGAGCGCGGAGGGATGGGCACGCAATAAGATAATGGAGAAGGAGGATGGAAAGAGAGCCTGGAAGGCCGGCGAGAGGATCAGTGGGGAGGACGGAGAAAGAGAAGGAAAAAGGAAGGCCGGTGAGAGTGAAGCTGGATGGTGGTGGGCAAGGAAAAGAAAGAGAGCAAACCAACAGAGAGAGTCAAGATGCTGAGGTCCCGTGTTTGAGCTGGCAGGTCCGGAAGAGTCAGGTGCTGCCCGTTCCTCTTTGATCTTTGTGTCCACAGATTGGCGCCTCTCTCTTTGCCAGCAACATTGGCAGCGGGCACTTTGTGGGCTTGGCAGGCATGGGTGCCGTGAATGGACTGGCCGTGGCGGTGTTCGAATGGAATGTAAGCCGTGGGCTACCGACTTGGTGTTTCTTTGGGAAAAGACAACATGTGGGAGCAAGGGGGCTGGCGAGGGAAAGAAGAGACAGAACTCCTTTGATTTGGTGGGGGAAAACAGGAGCCATGAAAGTAACATGCTGAGTTGAATTAACGCCATTTTTGTCACCAAACTAAAGAAAAATGAGTGGCTTGCAAAAATGTGGAGGGTCTTTTTGCAGACATCCAACTGGGCTGCTCTCCACTGTGTGAAATTACATAAAATAAAAACTGGATAAAAACTTCACTTTTATCTTTCTGCCTGTCATTCACATATTAATGGCACAAAAGTCTGGAGCAAAAGAAAGGAAAAACCCAGATCCATGTCTCTTCCCAGGCACTTTTCTTTGTTCTTCTCCTTGGATGGCTCTTCGTCCCAGTCTACCTCACAGCTGAGGTAATACATGGTTTCTTATCCCTCACACATTTTGGCTTATTTGTTTCTGTCAGTTTTATCTTCCTGGTAATATCTGGCTATTTGTGTGCTGCTGTGGAAAAAATCATTATTTAATCTGAGGACCAATAAACTATGACATGATGCAGGAAACCAGTGCAGCCCATGAATTGCTCCAGATCCGATTGCAGCCGAGGCCCTGAGGTGGGGAATTTTTGGAGACTTCCCTGTCTTGTGCTCCTCAACTGCCCTTCCAGAGCTATCATTAGTCCCCAGGTTACAGGTGGCGGCGGAGAGGAGAATATGTGCATCTTACAAACTTTACCTGCACTTTGGCCCTGGAGGAAATGCCTGTTCAGTTCTGTGCTCAGCAAATGGACTTGGCCACCTGATCTCACAACCTCAGTGTTGCTGGTTGGCCCCATAGCTCTTCCCAGGGAGATCTATGGGTGAGTTTGGCTTGTGGCCAAGGGAAGGGAAGCTCTCCAAGTTTGCACTGTGCAGCACAACTCACTTGTGCACGTTAGCTGTAGCTGATGTTCTGCAGGCACCTCTCACCGCTGCTGCCTGCCTGGGGCACAGAAGGGGCAGGAGCAGAGATCGTTCTGAACCTGAGTCCTCATTTCATGGAGAAGGACCAGTTGGTGCTTTTTCTTTAACGCTATGAAAACTAGAAACGACCTCTCCCTCTGCTTTCCTCTTCAGGTCATCACAATGCCACAGTACCTGAAGAAGCGCTTTGGAGGCCGAAGAATCCGCCTCTATCTCTCTGTGATCTCTCTTTTCATGTATATCTTCACCAAGATCTCAGTAGGTCATTTTTCCAGACTTCAGGAACAGAAATGGGTCTGAGGAAAGCAGGTTGGCCCCCTTCCACCCGTGGAGGAAAAACATTGGGTAGTCAGTGGTGTCCAAACCCTGTGCCCAGTTTCTCCCTCACCTTGCCCCATGGCAAGCCTTCCACTGGGAGTACAAGCAGCACCGCTCCCATTCTAGTCGCTTTTGGTAGCTCTGCATCAATATTCACGTGCCTTACAAAAAGTGTAACTAGCCCAGCCAACCCCCTTCCACCCCATCCACTCCTGGGCTTCTGCATTCTTGCTGCAGGTAGACATGTTCTCTGGCGCAGTGTTCATCCAGCAAGCCTTGGGCTGGAACATTTACGTGGCTGTCATAGCCCTCCTGGTCATCACCACCATTTACACAGTGACAGGTACCTGGACTGCTTGTTAGTTATCAGGGCTGGCGAGCTGGCCCAGAGTTTCGGGACTCTGGGGATGGACTCCATCGGGACGGGGTGGGCTCCGTGGTGCCTGGGAACCCCCATGTGGGCCTGGATACCTTTCCGGACACCCACCTTTCTGCCTTCCCACATTGTTTTTTCCAATTAACTCACTTCTCACCTGCATCTGGGATTGATCTCAAATAAGTTTCTATTGGTGATGAAAACTGTGGGTTCAAAAGTGCATGTTTAGTGTTTTGGGACTCAGACCGCTCCTCTGCCATGTACGCAGTCTTTTGGGCAGCTAAGTTGTCCTTCACCATGCCTCCCATGGCAGCCATTTTGTGGTGGTGCCCACAACGGTTTCTCCAATTGCCAAATGTGTCCATGGGCCAAAAAGATTGCCTGTCTCTGCAATGGAGACTTGGGTTGCCAAGTGGCCAGGAAAAATGGCAGGGGTTGGAGAGGAGAAATCAGTCTGACCTCTTGCCCCATGAACGAAGGCGTGTGCTCACATGCACTTTTCCTACCCCTCTGCACTCAGACCTCAGCACGTGGGGATATGGAGGTTTGACGTTTCCCCCTCTAGCCACTGAGCTCTGGGGACTCTGCACGCTGTCCCACACTCTCATCTGAGACCTAGTAGTTGTGGGGAAAGACTGGTCTGAGCTGCAGGGCTGCTGGAGGCTCCTAGACAGGCATCTGTGGGCATAGTGCTATGCAGACAATAAAAGGACACTGCCCCGAGGAGCTTACACTTTCTAGTGTAGGCAATGCTATTGAGCCAGATGGACTTACAGTTCCTAAGAGCTCTCCTGCCTTTCCTCCAGGTGGGCTGGCAGCGCTGATGTACACAGACACGGTTCAGACATTTGTCATGATCAGCGGAGCCTTTGTCCTCATGGGGTTTGGTGAGTGTGCTGTGCACCCAGCAGGCGCCCTGACACAGGCGCCTGCCCCTCCCCGGATCCCCCGGGCTCTGGCCCTTGCCGTCCTGTGGATAAAGCACGGGGAAGGAGAGGGTGCTGGGCTTGGGAGCGGGTGCTGGGACATTCGCTGCCATATCACCAGTGCTGATTTGTGGTCTTGTTCCCTTCCGATGGTGTCTACCACGCGACAGCCTTTGACAAAGTGGGGGGCTACCAGGGGGTGTTTGAGAAATACATGGATGCCATTCCGAGGCGGACGGTTTCCCCCACTCCAGCCCTTTACAACATCTCGGCTTCCTGCTACCTGCCCCGCGAAGACTCTTTCCACATGATGAGGGACGCCTTCGTCAGTGATTTGCCCTGGCCGGCTGTTATTCTCGGCCTCTCCATGAATTCCATCTGGTACTGGTGCAGCGACCAGGTATGTAGTAAAGGCTGGTGCATCCCTACTATAACCTCCTCGTGCTCATAGAACACCAGATCCTGCTCTTTTAATCTGGATTAACACCCAGTCCCCTATTCACAAACCATCAACATCGTTTCGATTCCTCGTGTCACTCCAAAGCAGACACTTATGCCACTAACCCAGTCATCATTTCTAAGGTGAGGTGCTGTGTCTGCTTGTGCGAAAGCCACGGTTCCTAGCTTCCACTCAAGCAGTCTGTCTCCGATTGCTTGGTAGGGACTGGAAATTCACTCTACAGACACTTAGAAGTGCTGGCAAGTTATTCATATATTCCACAGATGACTGCTAAGCAGACTCTGGCTCAGAAAGAGGCTGTGCATGTTGAAAGGCTTTCTCAGCCACCCAAGCACCATGGCAGGGCAGACGATTTCCCCTGAGCTCTAGGTGAAGGAAGGCTGCTTTAAGGGCTGCAAGGCAGGGGGTGTTCATCCAAGGCACGGGAGCTGTAGAAAGGACAGGCACTGGTGCTTAACTGGCCACATGCCTGAGGTCACAAAACCAAAATCCCTCACTCGCTCTTTCCAGAATGCATCCTTTCTTCCAAGTCTAATTGAGAAATTGCACCGCTGTAGCCCACAAGCACTCACAGTTTGGTGTCTGTTGCGGACAGCCTAAATGGCGCCCTCTGTCCCACTAATTAAAGTGGAGCACTGCCCACTGAGAAAGGATGGTGTGCGATCGCCGCTGAAAAGCCCGGGCTCCTGCTCATGGCAAGAGAGAAGAACCCAGGCAGACAGCCTCACAGGAGCCCGTCTCACACTTGCCACTCTTCATAGACGCTCTGCCCTGGCCACCTGAGGCAGGCCCTTCACCTTGCCTTGTGGCAGTGCCACCTCACTGCTCAAGGTAGCCTAGAATACGAGCTCAGATGGTAGAAAGGGCGACCATTCTGCCTCCCGCCCCATCCAGGTCATTGTGCAGAGGTGCCTGGCTGGGAAGAACCTCACCCACGTCAAAGCCGGTTGCATCCTTTGTGGCTACCTCAAACTGCTGCCCATGTTTCTCATGGTTATGCCGGGCATGATCAGCCGGATTCTGTACCCAGGTAAGGTAAACGCCGTGGGAAAAGTGGGTGAGGAGGGCTGTTGGTTTTAACGGTGGAAGAACAAGAACAATTCCTGTCATTTCCATCCATCAGGGAAGAAATGCGAGGCACTGATCTACCTGAAACAAGACATTCTGATGGGAAAAATCAGATTGCAGTAGTCTTTGGGCCTGTTATCACTGTTTTGTGCATTTTAGTGTTAACTGAACTCTTACAGACGGTACTACTTACAATTCATTGTCTTTTGGCCCCCCGTGTTTTCCTCCCCTCCATCTGGCCGTGCATATGTCCTTTCAAAGGGGAACCTTCCACATATTGATGAGGTAGACCCCGGTTCATAGAAACCTGTGCCGTATTATTTTAGTGTTTGTTAGTTTCTAAGATGTCACCAGACTGTTTGTGGCTGTTAACTAATGTACCAGCTACCCCTCTGGAAACTGAAAATGAGCCACCTGCATAGCAATCAAGGCAATCTCCGTATCTTTAGATCTTTCCTCCTCTTTAGGGTAGGGCTTGGGGACTCAGAAAGGTCAATGGTAACTAAGGAACACAGCTTTTCCATGGAGGTAGGATTTCACCTTTAGGCACTCCTGTCAAGCTTGACTACCTGGGGTGGGGGGGTGAAATTAAAAGCTTCCTGGTCCAGCAATCAGAGTGAAGCAAGTGATGTGCACACAACCCATCAATCTCTCTATTTTGACCCCAAAGTTCTTACCTGCCCCCTGTCCGCACCTCCCTTGCCTTTTCAGATGAAGTGGCCTGCGTCATCCCAGAGGAATGCAAGCAAATATGTGGCACTGAAGTGGGGTGCTCCAATATTGCCTACCCGAAACTGGTGGTCTCTCTCATGCCAAGTGGTAAGTGGGGAGCACAATTTTGTCTCTGACTTCAGGGTGTTTGGTTTGGACTGCAGACAGGTTTAAAGCAGATTTCCGGAGCCTGAGGCTCAATAGATGCAATTATAACTCCCATCCACTGCCACCATGGGTGGGGGTGATGGCAGTTGTAGTCTCTCACAACTGAAAACTGGTTTGGTTGCTCCTGATGTTGGGTGGGCTGAAGAGCCTTCCAATCTATTGCTTTAATCCAGACTGGCATCCTCCAAGTGTATTCAGACACAGCTCCCAGAATCCCCTAGCCAGCATGGCTGACAGGGGGATTCTGGGAATTATATTCAAATACTTCTGGAGGTGATCAAGGTGGGTAATGCTGCTTCAGCCTCAGTGACTTCTTAGCAGTCCCTTCTGTGTGGCATGAGAGATGCTAATCTGCAGGACCACATTCCCTCCCTCCTCCCTGTCACCCCCCACAGGCCTCCGGGGCCTCATGCTGGCTGTGATGCTGGCTGCGCTGATGAGCTCCCTGGCTTCCATCTTCAACAGCAGCAGCACCCTCTTCACCATGGACATCTACAACCACTTGAGGCCACAAGCGAGGGACAAAGAGCTGCTGATAGTGGGCAGGTGAGAAGGCATGCCGTCCAGCACACCACATCTGAGCAGCACCTGCTTCAGTAAAATGGAGGGTTGGGACTGTGTGAATGCACAAAAAGCTCGGTAAGAGCTGGGAAAGCACCAAATGATTAGCCCTCTGGGATAAGGAATAGGGCCCTGTGAGGGGTCCCAGAAGGCTGGCTTGGAACTGCAAAAGGCCCTCTGCTACCTCATCCCTACATTGTTGTTTCAACCAGAATAGAACCCCCTGAATTTGGGGCACATCTGTGCAATAATCTTAAAGTACAGGGAAGCAAGCTTGGGAGCTATCAGTGTTCAAGGAGCAGCTGGGGGTTTCTTGCAGTTGGTGCCACTGAACTGCACCGTCTGGATTTGGGAGAAATCATCCATCTAAAACTGTATTTAAGGCGGAACCCTCTCAAGACATGACACCTAACCTGCCATAGCACCCATGTGCCTGTGTAGTACAAATATACCCTTCAACGCTGCCAGAAAGGAAATTAAATCTATTCCAGGAAGAATCTTCTACATCAGGCCCTCTCTATTGCAAGACAGAGAATTCTGGCAGCTGGAAATGCTACACCCCAGGTGCCCCGCTTGCCAGCACCCTTTCAAACCAATTGCACCGGCTGCCTCCGGAGAGCAAGCCAAGTCATGTAACACAGCAACTGCGAGCAGGTGCACCTCCACAGACGGGAAGTCTGATTCCAGTGCAGCTTCTGAGCTGTGCGTCCACTCCGGTTTTCTAGCCGGGGCTGCTGCATCCTCATCACGTGGCTATGCCTTCCTGCAGGGTATGGATCCTGCTACTCGTGGGCATCAGCATCGGGTGGATTCCGGTGGTGCAGGCAGCCCAGGGCGGGCAGCTCTTCGACTACATCCAGTCTATCAGCAGCTACCTAGCCCCGCCCATTGCTGCCATTTTTCTGCTCGGAGTCTTCATCAAAAGGGTGAATGAACAGGTGAGCTCAAAAACAAGGTGCACCTGCACACAGATAGAGGCAGGCTGCCCAGAAGATGCCTTGTTGGTGGAGGGGAAGCACAAATGTTCAGGATGGAGGCCATGTAAGAGATGAGCACCAGCTGGGTCATGGCCAAGGCTATGCCACGGATGGCAAAACCAGAGGCACCCAGGCTTGGAGGATGCAGAGATATTACAGGAAAGGACTGACTCCATAAATGATCATTTCACAGGATCTGCTATGAGCTTTCCATTTTAGACTGCAGGACAGGAACTGGAAAAGATGGGGGGCACCAAATGCCTAGGGAGAAAGGACTCAGGTGTTGGATTCTTGGCTCGCCTCCACTCTCACCCCCTTCCTCTCTCTCCCTCTCCAGGGCGCATTCTGGGGGTTGGTGGGGGGACTAGCCATAGGCCTAGCCCGGATGATCCCAGAATTCATTTACGGGACGGGGAGCTGCCTCTTCCCCAGCTCCTGCCCCCGCCTGATCTGTGGTGTCCACTACCTCTACTTTGCCGTCATCGTCTTCTCCACCACAGCTGCCATCGCAATGGGCATTTCCCTCTGCACTTCACCTATTCCTGATAAACACGTAAGTATGCAAGGAGGGAGGGAAAAAGTAATCCCAGTGAACAGGCACTGGCATCAGAACCTGCGCTGGGGCTTATTAGGATTATTGATCTCATTCCAATATTGCCCCATAGCCTAAGCTCTCCAGGCAGTTCCTGAAATAAGTCTTGGTTGCCCTTACTACTGATGCTCTTCCCTTTCCACACCTCTGTGACACTAAGGCAGCAGCCCTGGAAAGAGCAGGTTTATTCTGAAGATTTTCTATGGCTTACCTTCCTTCCCGATAGGCTCCTTAACCAGAGAAAGCCCTCTCTCGGCACCCAACGCTTCTCCACCTTTTCCTTCCTACAACCAAGTTTATAAAGCTCCCTCCCTTGCTGAAGCAGATCCCACATTGTTTGCAATGACCGAGGCCTGTATGACCAGTGAGCTGGCACCCCTTCCCTGGCCGTGCTGGAGCTGTCAGTCATGGGACACTGGAGTCTGCAAACCCTGATGGGAAAAGAGCTGCTGGCTCAGAGCAAGCAAAGCAGCCCTTGAGCGCCACCCTGGAAGGAGCGCCAGAGAATGTCATACAGCCTGCTTCCGCCACGGGGCCCTCAGACACCTAGAGCAACCGAAGCAGCAAAGGGGGCAACAGGAAAAACAGGACGGGGGTCTTGAGAGTGGAGTGGAAGGCATGATTTCAAGTAAAGATGTTAACGGGTGAACCGTGTTCTGAAACAGGCTTCCCTGGGGTATCCTGCAAAGCTTTCTAGGCTTGGTTGTTCAACCACAGAAGCAACTAAAGATCTTTCTGCCTCCTGAGACAAAGCAAAGTTGAAGGAGGGCAGAGGGGGAGCCAGGAGGGGGCTTGTGTGTGGAAAGGCAGTGACCTCAGTTTGCAACATGAAAACAAACTCCTTTGTTGAATGTGTGCTCAGGGATGCCCTTAATCCTTTTGAATTGCTCAATAGACCCTGCTCTATTGAACCTACCAGCAGTTTGTGAAGCCTAGATAAAAACAGCTTCCAAAGTAGATCCCCCAGCATGGATGGAACCTGCTCAACCCGCTCTGGCATGCCCTGTAACAGTGATGGCGAACCTTTTAGAAACCGAGTGCCCAAACTGCAACCCAAAACCCACATATTTAATGCAAAGGGCCAACACTATAATAAAATACGAAAACTAAGAGTTTACATTAGAAAAAGCAACTCACAGTCAGTCAAAGCAATTGTATATATATCCTTGGCAGTGCACTGACCAGCCATGCAAAAGCTCGGACGAGTCGCAGCTCATGACATCATCGCCTAGCGCTGCTACTCCTTTCCAAGCATCCTCATGGCCCTCTGTGCCCTGTGATCTGATGCTCAGCTGCTGGAGCGATGATGGGGCGACTTGGCTCATGTACCAAGAGAGAAGGCGCTACATGACTGCTGTGGCACACGTGCCATAAGTTCACCACCACTGGCCTAACCCTATTACAGTGCCAAAATACCATTGAAAAGAGGGCGATTTTGAAAAAGCGTTCCTTGAGCAGCTTTTACTGCACTGCTCATCATTTCTGCCCATTCTGAACAGATCCCAACCATCAAAATCATGCCAGGATGCCTCTTTTTTCTAACCCTAACCCTGCCCTGGTGCACACCCCTAACCCTAACACAGGGCTACAGTTCCATTGAAAAGAGAGTGATTTTGAAAAAGCCTTCCTTGAGTAGCATTTTTTGCACAGCTCAACATTTCTGCCCATTCTGAACACATCCCAACCATCAAAACCATGCCAAGATGCCTCGTTTTTCTAACACTAACCCTACCCTGGTGCACACCCCTAACCATAACACACGCCTAAAGTTCCATTGAAAATAATGTGATTTTGAAAAAGCCTTCCTTGAGTAGCTTTTTTTGCACTGCTCATCATTTCTGCCCATTCTAAACACATCCCAACCATCAAAACCATGCCAGGACGCCTCGTTTTTCTAACCCTAACCCTACCCTGGTGCACACCCCTAACCCTAACACAGGGCTAAAGTTCCATTGAAAAGAGGGTGATTTTGAAAAAGTTTTCCTTGAGTACCTTTTTCTGCACAGCTCAATATTTCTGCCCATTCTAAACACATTCCATCCATCAAAATCATGCCAGACACCTTGTTTGCCCGACTCTAGCCCAGTGATGGTGAACCTTTTGGAAACAGTGCCCAAACTGCAACCCAAAACCCACTTATTCATCGCAAAGTGCTAACACTACAATAAAACCTGAACCCTGAGGTTTTACTTTAAAAAAAACAACTCAGAGCCCGTCCAAGCATATATACATGGCAGCGCACTGACCGGCCATGCGAAAGCTTGGTCAAATTGCAGCTGAGTCACGGCACATGATGTCACCCCCTGGCACCACTACTCCTTTCTGAGCATGCGCGTGGCCCCTATGTGCGCTGTTATCCGATGCTCAGCTGCTGGGGCCTAAAGTTCGGTCTCGCCCGAACAGCTGCATCGCCTAGTGTTCAGCCTCCGGCACAGCAAGGAGCAGCGCATCGATCTGGACATGGAGGAAGAGGCGGAAGCTAAGCCCAGGGAGGCTGCATGGCGGCAGTGCCAGGAGCAAGCAGAGTCGGCAGCGCCAGACAGCGAACGGCTGGAACGTGGGCTCGAGATGGATGGTGAGGGGCTGCCCACTGCAGGGCCAAGCATGCCTGGGGGCCAGCCATGTATTCCTCAGAGGCCCCCGTGCCTGAGAACAGCCTTATCATCCCCTCCCCTTCCCCCTCTCCACGCAGATCCCACAGCAGCGTCCTCCCTTGGCAAGCTGCGCCGGTGTGTTGGCTGGTTTTGCGGGACGGACAGCCAAGGGGAGCAGGGCCTGACCCCCGAGGAGAAAGCAGAGGAGCAGCAGCGCCTGGCGGACATCACGGAGCACCCGCGCTGGAGTCGCGTCGTCAACCTCAATGCCATCGCCATGATGGCCTTTGCCACCTTCCTGTGGGGCTACTATGCCTGAGCGACACCCACGGTGGAAGCCACACGAGCCTCTGGCCTCTGCCCACCACCCACCAGGACACCCCACACAACTGGCAGCCTCGTGAGGACCGAGGGGAGCGACAAGATGGAATCCACGTCGGCAGGAGACCGAGCAGCTCTCGTGGCCAAGCCACCCGCACAGGCCAGACTCGCCCCAGTCCAAAGATCTGGCAGACCAAACGCAGACCAAAGCGGGCTCGCCTGCTTTAGTGGCACGGCTGCGCATGCCCCATTTCCATCGTTCCTCTTGGTTCTCACATATCACACACTACCTCTCTGCCCCCCAAATGATCTCCTCACCGTTGGAAACATTTTGTGATGGGGAAGAATTTTGTTTGGTTTACATTTTATTCATAGCCTACCAAGTGTGCACTTCCTAAATCAACAGGTGAACTGGACTACAGTTATTCTTCAGTATCCATGATTCTGAGAACGTTACACTGCAGTTCTCCAGCAGAGGGAAACTGTACAGTGATACATGTAAGAGGGGAAAGTTTGCTAAAATATGTATAAGTGCAAAACATTTACAAATCAGAAATATTTTAAAGAAAACAGCTTACAAAAATACCTGGCAGAACTTGTATACAAAAGGGTATATAGTAGAAAATGCACAAAAATTGCATTTCCTTGCAGAATTTTAAATCAAAACCAAATGAGGTTAAGACTAAAAATGAGAAACTGAAATTCTATCTAAACAAATAAGACATCAGCCACTTGTTTCCTTCCCACCCCACCTTTTTACCTGCTGCTCTGTTCACCTTCTTGCCTGATGAAGAGTTCTGGGTAACTCAAAAGCTTGCACACTATTTTCATGACCTTCACTTAGCCTAATAAATGTACTGCCTTAAAAGGAGTTTTGACATTCTTCTTATAGCTGATACAGCTACCTTTGTTTTTTGTGTAATGGTGTCATGTTTGCCACACAGTCCTTGGCAGTGAAAGCTCAGGGAATGTGCATAGCAAGCCTGCCTGCTTTACCTGGTGAACAGAAACTAGAGAGACACACAGAAGGAAATGCTCCGTACAGCAACGCCACTGATACATTTTATCTCAGTATCACTTTCCTCACCCACCCACCTACAACCACAAGGGAAGATGTCATGTCAAATTTACTGCAAATTTTTATTATTATGATCCTGCCTTCCGCACCCCCAGGATTTAGGGAGAGGATACTTTACCAACAGCTCTGCTCCATTTGGACATTACAGCTTTGCCAATCTCATACAAGGCAAAGGCAGGCCCAGATGCCTCTAAATACTGGTATTAGTTGCAGCAACTGGGATCTGCTCCTTTCTAGGTGGGAAGGTCCTATCCTTGGCATCAGTGATAAATGTCTTGCAGAATCAAAGGTTTTTCTTCCCAGCAGTGGTCCAATCCACACGCCATTCCTCAGGGCCTAGAAGGTTCCGGTCTGTTACCCATCCTGCAGCTCTCAATCCTTGGAAGAAATGAATAGATCCGAAAGGAAAACTTTAAAGATGAGACATGAATCTGCATGTTCTTGTTCCCACCTTTTTGATGCAGGATGTAACATGAGCACAACTGAATATGTTTTTGATGCAGTTGTCAACAGTGCTAGAAATCAAAACAGCGTCTGATTTCTTTTAAAAGAGAGCAGATTCCTAGTTGCAAAGCCTGTGGCCAAAGAGGAAAATTAAGATGCTAGAGCCCCCAGGAGGTTCTCCAACAGGGATGACTCCCTACTAGCACTCCCTGTGAACTAGCACTACAGTAGAATAAAATCAAACCGAACAAGCCACTGAACAAATTTGTTCAGTTTTCACCGCTTGTTCAAGTAGTGAAATTCCACTTCTCTTACTGTAGAATTGGGAAGGTTTTACAGCTTTAAGGTAAAGGGTAGCACCTAAATCAGTACCACAAACCTGTCAGGAATTTGGGAAAGATTCTGTCCAAAAGCTGATGTGTTTCCGGAAGTACAGCACAGTCCTTCTTATTAGGTTCTGATTGACACAAAAAGGACGGAAATCCATCAGATGCTACAAACGGAAGACTTGCAAAACATGTGCCCAACCACACTGAGCGATGGTCGCTCCCCTTCCAGATTTACTTCCTGGTTCATCACCTTCACGTAGCCGACACCGCAGATCCATAGCAGATGGTTTGTCCAAGAAGCGTGCTGGCAGCTCCCAGCACAGCAGGAACTCCAGGAGGAGGGCATGGGTGCAGGCCTTAATCATATCCACACTGTCAGCCTGTCGGTGTAGGAGAATGGAAACAGTCCCTATGAAGGAAGGGAAAGAGAAAGGGGACAAGCGGCACAGATGTAGGAAGACTCCAGTTTTAGATAACTGTAGAACCTTTGCTGCCCTCTCTTGAAAATCAGCTGTTATCCTTTTTGACAACTGTATTCCAAGGCAGAAGACAATCCAAATAAAAACAATGGAAACATCAAAGAATTAAAATGTAAAAACAATCAAGTATGGTTAAAAATAACTGTGGGATAATATGAGAACTTGCATCTTTAAAAGATTGCAAGAAGAGCATTATTTTCAAAGCCTACTACAGGAAGTTAGCAATGAAGCTTAGACATGAAGCACGTGCTCTCTGTCCCTCTCTCTGTCTCTCTCTCTCAAATAAATTTTGCACCCAGCAGGGCAGGAATCTGGCCATCTGTAGAGGCCTCTTAGCCAGTGGGAGACTGAAGGCGTGGAAGCTGAGAGTACATTCACAAGAGCTAAAGCAACAAAGATGCAGGGTGCGGGAATGGGGAAGGCCACACATCCCATAATCTAGCACATGGTCCACATTCTGCTTCCAGGTTTTTGCCCTCTGTCATGCCTTCATTAAAGAAATGAGTTTTGGTATGATTGGCCTGGAAAGAACTTTCATGGCCCAAAATGGTTCTGTCTCCTCCTCCCTGTGCTTTCAAGCCTGTCTTCACAGACATGAGGGATAGAAACTTGATAAAGTGTTTGCACAGGACCAAAATGGGTATTCCCCTTTTCACGTTCACAGTGTTGGGATATCAAGACATGTCCTAAGTGTGGCTTTCTCACCTACCCACCTTCTGAGTGGTTGAAGAAGATTAAGTAATTCGTAGTATTCCCCTCAAGGACTTTCTGGAAATCAGTAACGCTGTCAAGAGTTGGAGGAAAAGATATTAATACCAAACCTTAAGGAAGTGAGTCAGGAGATTCAATCTAAAGGCCAGCCTTGGGATTCCTCTAATTTGCCTCCCATAAATATTTTTTTGTTCCGGGGAATAAAGATGCATCTGAAACAAGCCATTCAGTAAAATACTAAAATAATACATTAAAATAAACCTTTCCAGCTGTATTTACAAAGGGAAGCTAAGAACAGGAATAAGTAAACAATGTGCAAAAATATGGCATGCACATAGGCATGATTTCTACAACAAGATGGAAGCGCTCCATGGGTGTTAACTCACCTGGAAGCTACTGAGTGAAGCGGAGCTCCAAGGATCATCTTGAGTGGTTCATGGAACCCTACGCAGAGAGAGGAACGTGCGCACACTCAGTATCCCATGCACGCAATCCTGTATTCAAATTAGGCCTACTGAACGGTTTCAGGGTCTTTCGGGAGCCCTGCAGAAGGCAAGATACGTTGCTGCCATGACAGAGACCCCAGCAGAACTGCCCAGAGACATCGGTGGCATACTTATTATATGCCTTTCCCACCCTTTTCCAGCAAGGAATCCAAGCTGGCTTAGGTAATCCTCCTGGTGCTCTCTTATCCTCACAACAACCCTGTGAGGTAGGCTAGGAGATAGTGCTAGGTTGGCTATTCTGTCAGCAAAGAACATTTAAAAGAGGGCAAGATCAGGGTGGTTCAGAGGAAGGACACACACATTCTCCTTGCCCCCATCCTCCTCCATTCACGGCCACACCAGTCCACCTGCACGCAGGAGCTTGAGGTCGGCCTCAGAATAGAAACCGAGAGTTTCTTTCTCATCCACCTCAGTGGAGGGGGTAGGAAATGTTAAAAAGCCACCTCCATGGGAATAGCTGCCTTGCCCGTGGATTTCAGGATATGGTGTAACCCTTCTGAATTGCGGGCCCCGGGGAGTCTTGCCTGCGTAAGCAACCCCGTCGTTACCTAAAAGCAGAGGCTCTTGTGGGTTGGCGACAGCAGGGCCCGGCACCTCTGCCCGTTCCAGGAAGTGGCGGAAGAGCAGGCGGAGGCGGGCGCGGTTGAGGGTCTCCATGCAGACAGCCCGCACTGCCCGATAGTTGGCATAGAGGTGCATGACCGTAAAGAGACCATAGAAGGCATAGGTGAGGCTGCAGGGAAAGGCGGGAAAAGAATCGGGAAAAGGCCTGGGGTCTTCCTGGTGCTGCTGAACTCCAAGTCCCACCAGCCCCAGCCAGCACCGCCAAGGGCTGGGGACGATGGAAGCTGTGGCCCATCATCACGCACAGTGCTGCAGGTTCCCCACCTCTGGCCTCTCTCTGCTCCCTCTTATGATCCTGTTAGCCTTAGTACTAAGAATGCCAAGCCTCTTTCAGGCCGAGGACCAAAAACCACTTAGAGGAAATGCTTGGAGGGCACATTCCCGCAGGAGGAAGCCTGACGGCAAAAGGGCCAAGGCCCCACATGCCAGCACACTGTAGCCTGAGGCTCCCATCCCCAGGAGAGGCCTTTCAGCATTTTAGAGTATGGACAAGAATGGCACAAAGGCTGCACCCAGCAGTCAGCGGCTGGAGGAACGGTGGCGAGGCCACGAAGGGAACCCTGCAGGGCCGGACTGGGGCCCCAGGCGATCCAGATTTCTCCTCTGCACTTAGAGATCTGTACCTCTGTGGCAAATCCTGCCTCTTCCACAACTGTACTACTTAAGAGAGAAATGGCCACACGTCACTCACTGGAGATTCTCAGCTACAAGAGGGATGAGGAGGAGACTGAAGAGCAGGCCAGCCAAGTTCACCAGGGTCTCCTAGGAGAGAGGGGAAGGTGGCTGATAGCAAGCTGCAGGTCAGCTGTGCTCAGGACCAGCTAGCTCATGGCTGAATGGCCCTCTCACCTGGCTTCCATCTTTGGCTGAAACATCTGCCATGTTGTCTCGCCGGGCCTGGTGCATGGTAAGGGCTGCCCGGGTGGCACCTCCAGCGACTCCCACAATGCACTGAAGCAGAGAGGGCGGAGAGAAAGAAGAGACGGGGAAGTTTCTGAGCTGCACACAAAGACAGCTGTGAGGATTCTCACAGCATCCATGAGCTACCAGGATGGGAAATGAGAACTGCCAAGCCATTTCCTAGTCCACCCAATACTGGCTCCCCATTTATATCCACCAGCTCCCAAGTCCTTCCTATTGCCTATCACAATGACTCCCTAAACCAACCTCCACCCCAAACCTCCTTCCTTGATACCTTGAAGAATCCACTGAGACACACAATGAAAGTGAAGCCTGCTGGGAATGCAGGAGCCAGGATCTCCATTAAGATGGCCACGTCATTGAGTACATCTGCAAAAAGTCTAAACAGGGTGGGGTCAGGGCAGCGGGGGGGGGGTTAAAGGTTAACTCGCTAGGGTCACTGGGCCCATTAGGGCAAAAGGGGTCCCACCAAGTCTTCCTCTAGGTAAAACGCCCAACTGCTCCATGAGTGCAGCAGCTGATGCATCAATCAGTCAATCGATCAATCCTTTATTTGGTCACTGACCAGCAGTTGATGCGTATGTACTGAATCTGTACCTTACACTGAACTCGGAACAAAAACGGTCAGGAGACCTATAACGCAGCATCAAAAGGGTCCATCCCCTCTTTACCTCCATTGCTTAGCATCACAGTCCAGTTTGCTCCTGGAAAATGAAAAGAAAAGAAAAAAAAGGATGGTGATACAACAGTCCCGAAAGACCAAATTTGAGGAAAAGAGCCGCCAGGGTTATTTTATTGATTTATACCTCACCATTTTTCCTTTCAAGAAACTCATGGTAGGTTACAAGGTTCTCTTCCTCCTCCTCACAATTTTATTCTTACAACAACAAACCTGTGAGGTAGGCTAGGCTGTGACTGGCCCAAAGTTACCCAGGGAGCTCCATGGCTGAGCAGCTCGTGTTTGGTTAGGACTGGGGGCAACCCCAGGTTTAAATTAATATTCAGACATAAAATTTACTAGGTGAACTTGAGCCAGTCAATCTTGTTCAGCCTAGCCTACTTCACTGGGTTGTTTTGCAAGCCAGGGAAGAACCACTTGTGCAATGCTGAGCTCCGAGGAAAGTGAAAAGTCTGCCATCAAGCGCCATCGTGCTAAGACTGTGAAATCCAGATAGTGGAAGCTCTGCATGTATACTAAGGGGACCCTAGAGCTGTGAACCTCTGCCCTATTTTGCTCCTGAAGTGCATTAGTTTTATTTAACCTAAAGGAGCCCTTGTGGTTGGAAACACCTTCAGCCACTAGGGGGAGACTTCTTCTCTAAACAGTGCACAGCATGGCAATACATACAGGTGGAAACCAGGAGAGATTAGTAGGCAGAGGGACAGTGTTGTACTTGCCCCATGCCCTGTGCCGTGGAGCAGCCCCCCACCAAGGAGGATGTGGTAGACAGACCCCCCTCCCCCGCTCTCAGGGGGCAGTAATACCATGGCAGGCACCACACGCAGAAGTACCATCAGGTACGGCTTCCCCACAATGGTGCAGGCACAATTTTGATCTGGGTGGGAAGCTGGGTCCATTCACTAGTGAAAGAAAGTATCAGCAGCCTCAGGCCAACACCTTTGCCCAGTCTTTTGACAGCACGATGGCGAAGGAATCACGACTCACCCCTTGCTCCAGGCGAACAGAATCCGGCCCAGCATTCCTGTCCCATCTGCGGCAGAAAGGGTGGGGAAAACACGTGAATGTCTCGCCTGAAGAAGTAACAGGACCTTGTGTGGTAGGGCTTGAAGGGGAGTTGAGCTAAGCAACAAATGAGCTTTCAGGTGTGGAGGGAGAGACATTCTAGGCAGGCAGGTGGGGCAGGGAAGTAAAGCAGTGGCTCTGAAGAACCAGAACCAGAGTATGGGTCAAGAGGGTCGTCTTGGCTTGCGTCACTCTGGGTTCAAAGTAAAGATGGGGCAGGCTTGGAAAAAGACAGTCGAGGGACCAGCAGAGCAGATTTGCCATGACAGTCCTCGTGTCTTGCTGTGCTCAAACTCTGCTCAAAAGTTAATGCTTGAAGGCATCCTATGAGCTGAGAACCTTCGGCCAGGCAGGGCTCGCACCTTCGTCATGTATGCTGGTAGAACAGAACTGCCTGGGATAAGTGATGCAACTTCTGTGGTGGATTCGGGTTCAAGGAAGCAGTGAGGAAGGTGATGAAGCCCATCTTCCCCAAACTGACACAATACAGATATGTTGGGCTGCAACTCCCATGATTCCCAGCCAACTTGGCCATGGTGTGGTGAGTGGCAGTTATGGGAAGAACTGTTAAGCTACAAGCTCCTAAAGGCCTTATACTGGGGTTGGGTGGGTAGTCCTGGCAGGCCAGAAGAGAATTCTCAAAGGAGGTTTCACAAAGTGCTTGGAGGCAAAGAAAATACAGATAGCCTGAAGCTGCTATATTTTAAGAAGCAGAACAAAGATTCCTCCTGGAGCATAGAATCTGCATCTCAGTCAGGTACCCCAAGGTATTTTTCTCCAGGAGAAGAGAAGACAAGATGGGGAAAGGCACAGAGAATAAGCTGAGGACAGCTCCCACCTTTCAGTATCCAAGTGACGGTGGCGGCCGTAACCGTCGAAGTCTCGTCCCCGACTCCCACCCCCTTCAGCACGGCCTGGGTGGCCAGTGTCCCTGTGATGCTACTAGCAAAGGCCTGAGGTTTGGGGATGAGAGAGAGAAAGGGGAGGGGAACCGTTAGAATGAAACGTGTGCTTCCTGCAACTCCCACTCTGCTTCCTGTCTCCTGTTGACCCTCAGTCCTCTATCCCACCTCAGCCGCACATACATGTCCATCCGAAGGACAGCCCTGCTTAGAACAAATGAACGAAAACTCGCCATGCTTCTTTCTTCAGCCTCAGAAAGTATGGGGCAGGAGGAAGGCCTTCCCACCCATCCTCACCCTGAGACAGACCGTCAGTCTCTCACCTGCACCGTGTCCCAAATCTGGTAGGCAAGGTAATCTGGACTCACACTTTCAGGATAACCCTGAGGCAGGAAGACTGACTGCAGGAAAGAGAAAGAGCATCAGGGACCACCTCCCTGTCACCTCTGCTGCTCGCTCACGCTCTTGTTCGTGTCTCGGCCCTATTTCAACCATTTCGTGGGCAGAACAGTGATGCAGCAGGACTCTGCCACCAGCTTATCTGTGTCCGCCCAATGAAGCTCTTGCAAAACCCCAAAGCTTGCTCAGGCTGGAAATGATGTACAAGAGGACCCCTTAACTGATGAGCATCCATCTTTTAAATAGATGAATACCAATACAATCTATTTGCATATATTGATAAGGATAATATACATTATATTTAGAACTTTCTTACCCCTTGCAGCATAGCAGGCACCAACTGCATTGGAGCTGTGGCATCCTTTACAAATGTATTTGCTTAATCAAACATTTGTTAATTTTAATGCCCACTCTACTGTGCCTTTTTGTTTTCCTGTGGACTTTTACTACAACTGTACTTGTTGTTTTAATGAATTTGTTACATTACCTTGGAAGATGTGAATGAAGAACAGTTCATAAATGTTTTAAACCAAGGGCGCAGAAATTCAGGCCTGGGGCCAAATGCGGCTCTGCCCTCTTTCCGGCAGCCACGGAACACTTGGTGATTCCTGACTTATGTACAGTTTTTCCTCATGCTGAAAGGTGGAAATGCTTGCCCTGTGGGTTCCTTAATGGCATTAAGAACTTTAGGCTAGAAAAGCCTGTTATTTTGGCCCTGCTTGTCACTGGAATGTATCTCTGAAAAGCATCACGGAATGGTGAGTCCTGGGAGTTGTAGGACTTTTCCATAGGCCAGCGACCCAAATAGCCTCGGGTGTGGTTTCAAAAAGCAGCAGTTTACTCACCATGAAGATATCTCGTACTGAACGGTAACCCTGACCTTCCGGTCTGTCCGAAACACAGATCAGCCTGCCATCAGGTAAGGATTGATAGTGCTGAGCATTGCGAGAGCCATAACTTTCTGTGCAAAGCACTTGCCCTCCAGGATTGGTCATGGTTGAAGCAGTACCTGAGTTTGAAAGATACAGAATTCACCGACTGTTAATTTAGAAAAACTGTGAACATGACCTACTGGGATCATGGCCGCTCATGGACCTCTAAGACTGCATTCTAATAATTTTCTTCCCTCGGGGAACCCATTCATTCATTATGCCATTTACCTTAGAACCCTCATGCACTGCAGAGGATACTGGGGACCACCTTAAGCAGCCCACCCAGTTCACAGAATGACAGCTAGTCCCAGTCATAGGAACGGAAACCTTAGGAGTCATGGAGCACTGCAGCCCTCATTGGCACGTTTGATTTAAAGTCACTCTTGTATCACAGCTTCTGATACAAATAATATAGGACTTTCGATGCAGGTGCCAAGAAAAAGAATACTATCATAGCACCCAACTGCCATGGAAAATCAGGACCAGCCAGTGGCAATTTTCAGCTTTTACCAGAAGTTAAAAAATGTATCACTATGCATGTTTTCTACGTCTAAAGGCACAAAAGCGAAGAGTTTTGAACTTGTCCTTTATCTTTGCAGTATGCAAAGGACTCGTGGTCCTGTCCCAGAGCAAATTCTCCGCTCATACAGGGCAGCCATGCGTCCTGGAACTACAGTTCATCATTCCAGCACACAAAGACAATTCCTAAACTGCTTGGCAGAAAAGGCAGAATAGGACACTAAAGTATCTAAGAATCCTGTGTCACCTTGAAGACTGACAAATTTGTCATGGCATAAGCTTTCGTGAGCAGCAATCCTAATGCATGCAGCACGCATATATACAAGCTTCTACTGTAATGCATTGAATCCTGAAAGGTGTCACAAGGCAATTTACTTTTTAAAACAAATGTGACTTTGTGATTATACATATTGTCATATAAATGTGACTTTGTGATTACAATATTTATATATCATAAAGAATATATACAATTTTGTATTTTGCAGCATGGAAATGTAGCAATACGGAAAGCTCTACAGGTTGAATCGCTACCTGTCATGCAGCCGTTAAAGACCCCAGGAGCCCTGTCAAAGAGGAAAAGATGGAAATCTTCGCCACAAAAAAATAAAAATAAAAATCTTATTAGGGATTGCAATTTCTTGATCGCCAACTAAGATGAAGTTTCAATGGCTTTCTGTGGGGGTTTTAATTTTAAAAAGGTGCGGGGAGGAAAATCCAGCCAGAGAAAACACGCCCCACACGAAAAACGCGGCCACGTCGTCAATCCTCACCAGACCGGGGCTCTGCAGCATTTCCAGCCAGCTGGAGCAGCACCGCTTCGCTTCCCTGCTTCCTCCTGCATTAGGAACTAGAGGAAACGGTTGAGTTACAAGTCGGACTCATTTCACTTCCGCTTCCCTGCCTCAGAGAACGCTGGGGAATGTAGTCTTTTCTCTATCCCTTATTATTTATTGTACTTCTATGTCGGGAGGGAGGGAAGGTTGCCCACAATGTGAGCGGGGAACGGGGAGACTTCAGCTGCCCCCTCACAGAAGTGCATCGATGGGTGGGCCTGGCAAGGCAGGACCGGCACGGGAGGCAAAACGCTTGACATCAAAATCCTGGTATGAGGGCCCCTATAATGTCCTTGGGGCAAAGAAAATCGTAACATTTATTATTTTAGAGCATCTTTAAAGGATGAGCCTCTTCTCAAAGCAGTACGCCCATCTTAAAAAGAGTATTATTGCTGATTTACATAAAATTTGGATATGCTGACCTGTATGCACAAATGAGATATATCTCACCATAGCAAGAAAGGTGCCCGTCTGCTGAGTGCTGCTTCTTGATGGATGTCACTTCCCCCTCCCTTACCTGTACTCCTTGGAGTTCTTTATCTTTAGACTTGCTGGAATGCAGACAGTTCTGAATGGAGGATTGTCCTCCTTGAAACAGACCCCCCCTGGCCACCAAACATTTGGTACAGGAATAGTGCGAGGCATAGTATAGTAAACTTGAGGTACAGTGAATTTCATCACTCTTCTATAGCTTATCTGAGCTGCCAGTAAGCTGAGCTGTCAGAGGCCACTGAGAATTCTTCACCTGCAGTTTTGGAATTCCAAAGTGGCACACAGGCCATCCTATCCAATCAAGACCGTTGGAATATGCTTGCATAATTGTGTACACACTTTCATGGGAGTAACTCCATCACAGACCATGCAATTGCGTTTTGAGTAAGCCTGCCCAACTCCTTTGCCCAGCACATACGGCTACCAGCTGTGCCCCTTTCCAGCAAGCAAGCTTCACTACACCACAGTGGCTGTCAATGCATTTGCCACGATTGCCTACAAAACTGCAAACCATCGAGAAAAGCTTTGCCAGCAAAACCGCTGCGAGTGGCTGCTGGTGAAAGGAAAGGCCTTTAATTTTAATAAGGCTTAACTGTCAGTCTTAGGTAAGGTTTGACTCAATGTCCTAAGTATCACCTCTGGAGAACCATTTGCAAGAACATAGATTAAGGACATGAGGCAACCCCGAGGTAAGAGATGAGGGAGACCACAGGATTTGCAGGAGGTCTGGGTTATAAATTTTGCCCCAAAATTAAATTAAATTTTGTATAAATGGCTTACAACCAATGCTTGCACTGGAAAAGAAATTGGCCTTTGGATTAGCATGCAACAGATAGACTCAAGTGGTAACTAGAGCAGATACTGTAAAGCCAACTGTTGTTTCAAGTTTCCTGTACTGAGCAAAACAAAGAACCATGCTGGCTGGGGATCATGGAAACTGTAGCTGAGCATCTCTGGAGGACATGAGGTTGGGGCATGTTAGACTAGGCAGCCTTCAAGGTCCCTTTCCAATGCTAAAATGCTAATCCCACACTCTTAGCTGGAAACATACTCTCTGCCCTCCACCTTATCTTGCTAGTGTATCCCAAGAGAAGACTACACAAACACAGCTGCCTCCCTCTCTTCAGAGGTTTCTGTCCCCATCTCTCTTCACTCACAATGCTACACTTTGCCCGAAAGGGGTCCAGAACAGCCTACAGCCCCCAGCCTCCAATCCCACCAGCTCAACCCCTCACTTAACAAAAGCCACAGGCACCGGTTTTGAAGGAACAGGGAGGGGTCCATCCCACAGGAGCAGACCATCTCCAACTTTTATTTCCAAAACACTCAAAACAATTAAAAAATAGGAATGCCCTTCTGCAAGAGAGGGGGGCATCTGTTCGGCACAACTGCCGCCTGCAGCCAGCAACTGGGAGAGCTCGCGTCATAGAAGTTTTCAAAATGGTGGAGCAGGGAGATCTGGAGGCAATTTAGGGGGCACATCTGGGAAAGGTTGAAGAGCAGCAGAACAAACTTGTCAGGAGACAGGGAGAGGATCGACTGATACTCAGGGGAAACCAGTGAGTGAACCCAAGCAGCACAAGGGCAGGGACAGAGAGGAAGTAAACCAAAGAAGAGGGATCCACTGAAAAGGAAGCCTGGGGGGGGGGGGGATCCAGAGACACGAGCCAAAGAACTTGGGGGGAGATGTCCCAGCTGGACCCAAGGCAGGTCTCTGCAAGAGGCCTAGACAGAGTCTATGAAGGGGGATCCCCTGATGGGGGAATCGGGCCCAAGTGCTCAGCTGATGTAGATGCGATGGAAGTCATTGGCACCGAAGGCTGCATTGCACTTGGGGCACTTCCGCTGGCGGGTGTCGTAGCGCGTCTTGACGCAGTCGAAGCAGAAGACATGGAAGCATTTGGTGAGGACGGCATCCTTCTTGCGTGTGTTGCAGCAGGGACAGGTCAGCTTGGCCTGGGCATACAGATAGAGGGTGAAGTGGGAACCAGAGCTTGCCTCCCTGTTGCTGCCCCCGCCCCCCATGGGGCTTTCCCTGGCTTGCAAACCACAGTTTGCTTCTCCCTCCTCTTACCTTGTACTCCTTGATCTCCTCCTGCAGTATTTCATCAGCATCTGCGTACACCTCCACCTTGCGCTGCTTTTCCAGCTTGCGCCGTAGGCGAGAGATGTCCTCCTGCAAAAGGAGTAAGAGAAAGTAGACCAAGGCACAGGAAAACAATTTCAGCATATTCAGATTATTTATTTATTGCAACCATGGGGGTTAGTGCCTTGCTTTACAAATATTTACATCTATATAGATTCTGGAAGTCCCATCATCATGTGGCAAAGCAGGGCCTTTCTTCTCTTAGTACCTGAGCTCTTTTGAGGTTGAAAGACTCCTTCTCCTTGGCTGCCCGGTTCTCAGCCATAAAGGTCTGGATCTCCTTTAGTTTACACTGCACATGTTCCAGCTGCACCTTCAGGTCTTCTGCCAGTTGGGCAGCCTCTACCGCCTGCAAGGAGGGAGAAACAGACACCTTGACCTGTCTTCTCAGCAGTATCCAGGTCAGCCAAAACAAGCATCAGCACCAGCAACGCAGTGCCCTGTCTGAGAATCTGATTTCTAGGGCTGTGCAAAATACCACAACCACATTATGTAAGCATGAAAACTGGTGTTGGGTACAGAAATCACTCCCTCAGGAATCTTTTAAGCAAGTTTCTGGCCTGTCTCACCATAAATATGAACTTTTAAATGAGGAAGAAATGCCTGGAAGCCTTCAGAAGAGGTGGCAGGAGAGATGATGCAGGTTCCCCAGGGCTCAAGAATGAGGTTTCAGTGGCTGCCATAGCCTGTCCCCCTTTCCCTGTGACTAACCAAAGCAGAATTATGTAAAGGGGATGCAGATGTGCTAATTTTTCATCAGGTATATGGACTAAAGAATTCAAAACTGGTGAAAGATTTCTGTTCTTTAAGCACAAGCACCAATGGTCATTGTTGGTTTCCACCTCCACCTTATTTTCTCATCTCATTTTTTCATCCACCTCACCTTCCTCTTGTTCAGCTCCAGGGCCTGGCTGCGCAAAGTCAGCTCTTTCTCCACTGTGCCCAGATTCCCCTGCAGGACACGTTCCTTCTCCTCCAGTTTCTGTACCACCAAAAGCTGGGTGTCCACCTAAACAAGGAAAGCAATGGCTCCTGCTTCAACATGCATACGAGGAGTGCCGCTTGCCCATTTCCTCCTGCACCTGTGTCACACCCATCTTTCGCTCGTCAGAAGGTCGGCAGCCCAGCAAAGAAGAAGAGGAGAACTTTCTTACCTGAGACTTGAGAGCCAGCACCTGTTCAGCCAGCTCATCCTTCTCCTCCCGCAGCAGTTTGTGGATCTGGTTGGACTTGATGCGCTCAGACATCAGCTTGAAGTTGGCATCATCCTTCTCGCGTAGCTGCTGGTTCAGCCGCATGTTCTGCTCCTGCATGTCCTCAAAAGCCTGGCCTGTCACATCCATTTCAGACAGAAGAGCCTCCTCCTCCTGCCCCACAGACGAAATAAGCAGTGGGAGGAATGAGAAGGCGCTAGTCCTTTCCCCTAATCTTACTGCTACGCGTATGGTTACATACAGAGACAAGGACAACAAGGCCTCATTTCTTTGGTTAGGAACAGGCTTGCCTCCTCCGTGTAGGGACTACAACCACTCACGGGGAAGTGCGGAAGAGACCAGTCATCAGAGATGAAGCCCAGTGCTCTGAACTTGGGGCAAATACTTGCCACAGAAGCCTTTGCCTCTTGCAAGATTCCCGCACTAACCTGCATAATGGGCTACCTTGCAAATAATTATCCAAAATAAAAAGTGATAGGCCTTCCACCTTTTGCTCATAAATTGCTAATACTCTCCTAAATGATGCTTTTCATAAAGACACAACAAATAGTACTACCCGTTGGACCTTTTTGCTGTGAGCCGTCCAGAGACAAAAGTGATTGGATGGGCTAGAAATATCCTGAATGAATGAGTCAGTAACTTTTGCCTGACCCTTCCACTGACCCAGCAGCCCGCTATGGGAAAGTTGCAAGTTCCCCAGCTGAGCACAGGAAAGAAATAACCAGATGAATACAGAGGCAGAAACGGGGGAACAGGCATGTCCATCTGGTGGCCAGCCTGGGCCTGTGAATCCAATCCCCTGCCATGGAGTACATAGTTAAAATATACTGCGTTTTGTAATCCTGGCCCTTTGGAATGGGACCCAACAGCTTCTCCAAATGCGGCCCTTGGAGTGAAAGAGATTCCTCACCCCTTGGCCACCAGCTACTGAATGGCTGGAGCGAGCGCCAGTTTCTAGGCTCCCCGTCTCAGGACACCAGCTGACACCTGCTTGTGCACCTCCCATGAAGAACTACCTGCTTGGTTGCAGCCAGCTTTTTCTGCAAGTGCTCAATTTGCTCCTCGGCCAACTTGATCTTACGCAAAGCATCTTCATCTGCCATTTTCTTGCTCTCCTTCTTCTCCTTCTCCTCCAGCTCACGGATCCTCACCCGCAGCTCCTCCACCTGCCCAGTGGAATGAAGTCAAAGAGAAGAGGACTGACTCCTTATCCTCAGCCCCCAATCTGGAACAAGACAACTTGCAAATGCCTGAAGGCGAGGAACAGTTAAACTATGGAATTTGTTCCAACAAGATGTAGTGATGGCCATCAACTTGCACGCCTTCAAAAAAGGGACTAGAAAATTCATGAAGGCGGCGGCTAGCAATACATCCTAGCCCTGATGACTACATGTCCCCCTGGTGTGCCTACACACACCAGTCGTTGATGAACACCTGGTGCTAACACGGCCCTCTTTTAAGCACCAGGATTAGACCTCCCCCACCGAGTTCCGCCCTGCAGCTCAACGCAGGCCATTGCCAGTAGGTCGCTTCATGCCTGGTGTCAGTTATGCTTCCATGCGGTTTGTTAATTATTTTTTTAAAAACATAGTTTTCCTCTATTCTCAGACATTTGCTAACATATTAGGGGCTTCTTAATTCAGGCGCTTTGGGGATTGTGCTATTTCAATGATAATTTTGAGTTGCTTTAAATATCTGTATGCTCTCTCTTTTGTTGCAAAATACCTTGAGGCTTTTTTTCTGAGCAAGGCACCTATTAAATTGAATACTGCTACCACTGAAACCTCCCCCACCCCCACAAGTGGAAGGGCATTATTGCCCTCATGACGTATTTGTGGGCTCCCCATAAGGCCTCTGGTTGACGAGTGCGAGAAAGAGGGTGTGGGACTAGATGGGCCTTCAATCTGACCCAGAAGGCCTACTCTTACTTTCAAACGCTCCCAGGGTTTTCCATTTGCCATTCTTCTCAGCCAAACCTCCATTTTCAGGGCGTTAATCTATGCCATGTGAGGGATGGCAATGGCCCTTGGCAGGACCACTTCTGCCTTCCCTCCAGACGTACTCTCTCACTTGGACCCAGGGCTAATGCCCCGTACGGCTGCACTGTGGCATACTAAACCACAGCACGTTCTGGCTGCACAAGTGCTTTTCCACAATGAGGAATCTGGAATGATGCTGGAAGGGGAGCAGGTGCGCAACACGGGCCCAACCACCTCACCTCTGCCTTGGTTTTCTTCTCAGCGGCCATCAGCTGAACTTTGTCCCGCTGCTCCTTGGGGGCTGACTTGTACATGTCTAAGAGAAGCTTCATTTCCTTCTGGCTCTCCTGAGCTTTTCTGAGAAAGAAAACACGTTCAGATGATACTCACAGTCCAGGGGGCCAAGAATCCCCCTCTCAAAGTTCCTCATTTCTTTCCCCAACTACCTCTCTCCTCATCCCTCCGCTGCTGCCTCCTGCCACGCTCTCCTCCAACCTCCAATGTCCTGAGTAGCAGGCATTCAGGGATGTTGGGAATGGACAACTGGCAAGCACTGGCTGGCCAACTCAGCTTGAGAGACACAATTTACTTAGACACAACAGCAAGAAATACTGCTGCTTTTGGAGACTTGTGGAAGCTGTGAGTGTAAAAAGGAGTCTCAAACTGTTTTATATCAATGAACATCTCATTATTGAGATCAATACTAGAAAGGAAGGGTTGAAGGACACTGGAGATTCATTTGCTGTGACCCTTCTCTTCCTTTCCTATATGCTCAAAAACCGTGACAGAGGGCTCACCGTCAAAGCATGACGTCTGACGCTCTCCCTGCTTTCCAAGGAGCTCCACCATCTTCAACCCACCCGCCCCCAGCCCTCCAGGACTCTCACTTGAGATCAGTTCTCAGTTGTTTGAGCAGATCCGAATCTTTCTTCTTGGCATCCTCACAGCCTCCACTGCTGCCGCCCCCCTTCTGTTTCTCCCGATCCCGTGAGGAAGAGGACGATGCGGAAGATGAGGACGAGCAGGTCTCCTTGTCCCGGTCCCGCGACCTCTCACGATCCCCTCCCCGCTCTGTCCCCCGCCCCTTGGACCGCTCAGGCTCCTTGGCTCGAGGGGGTGGGGGCGGCTGCGGCGTGGGGGGCTGGGGGGCAGGCAGCTCCTCTTCCTCCTTCTTCATGCCCTCGTGCAGCCCGAGTGGCTGGGGTGCCGCCACTGCTGCCTCCTCCTTGGGCTCCTTCTTCACCTGCGCCTCCCTGGGCTCTTTCTTCACCTCGGAGGGGGCTGCTCCGTCCTCCTCCTTCACGGCGGCTCCCGCAGGGGCCCCGAGCAGAGCTGCCGGCTCCTCGCTCCCTGGCGTGGTGGGTGTGGCCACCAAGCCAGAGGGAAAGCCGCTCTGCTGCATCCGCACCTGAGGAAAGGACAACGGAGGACTGTGCACCACCGGGCGAGAGGTGGTTTCCCATCCGAGCACATGCGATGGCGTGCTGAAACCTCCAGTGTCCCAGCTTGGGACTCCCACCAGCTCTAGCTAGCACAGCCCATGGGAGTTGCAGGCCACGAGTTGTCCACCCCACCCCCGGCGAAAGATTTCCTCATACCGTGGCAACGACGCCGAGTTCTAGGAGGACTGGGGGAAGCAAATCTACATATGTTTACAGTGTGCAGTCTTGGAGAGGGGGCTGTGAAGGACCAGAAAAAGTTTGGGACTCAGGGCAGTAAAACCACGTGAGATAGCCAAGCATGAGGGTACATCACGCTGCCCCAATCCCGTGTCTGCAGGACCGGCTGCGTTTTTAAGCAGAGCCCTGAGAGCTATAGACCAGGAATAAAATGAACTGCACGGGGACTGGCTGTATACCCACAAACCGCCCTACAGAGCCCACAGCTTCTGTCACCTAAGCCAAAGAAGCTAACGCACAGTTCCAAGGCCACAGCGGCGGGGAGAGGCACGGCTGCCCCCATCCCAGCGACCTCCAAGCCTCTTGAAAAAGGATGCCTCCGCGGTTCCCTGCCACAGGCCCACCTTGTTGATCTCTGCCTGCACCTCCCGGAGCTTGCGCTTGTAGCGCTGCACGTCGCCCTTCAGCTGATGGTTGTGGTTCTGGAGGCTGCTGATCAGGTGGCGCATCTCCCGGTTGATGGGGCCTCGAGTTTAAAATTGGGGGGAGAGAGGAGAGAGGGGGTCATTTAGCGGAACAGCTGCCTCTTGACACGCAGCAGAACTGATTTACAGTGGAGGTAACAAACCTCTTTCAGCCTCAGGGATGGATACAATTTGGGAGATGCTCAGAGGGCTGCACTCTAGTATACAGGGCTGAAAACAAGTAAGGGCAGAGCCAAGGAGGAGGAGAAAAGGGCCAAAGTGCTAGCAAAAGCAGCCAATTCCAGGGTAAAGCTCTTTTTGCCAGTAACTAAGTCCCAGCAGGTTTCGGGAGGAGGGGGAAAGCTGCAAAAGCCAGGAAACCATCAAATCCCTGGCAGCTGGCAGGAAAGGGCAGGTTCTTTGGAGCCTGAGACTCCAGACAGGATGCATTTAGCTCCAAGGCCTGAGGATGACACCCTTATTAACAGGCACCAACATATGGCAAGAAGGGATCAACCAAGAGTGTGAAAGTGGCCACACCTGCCTTGGGCAGAATAACCATGGGAGGAATCTCACATGCTGAGCCTAGGGGTGTGGCACCTCCTAGGCAACCAATGTGGTTCGCCTCTTATTTGAGAGCTCTTCTATGGCAGGCAAGCCACTCACATCAAAGGGCCCAGAAGAGGACCAAGGCCCAACAAGCTCGGCACAACATAGTTATGGGCCCCAAACCCCACTCTCCCAGGGTTGCCCCACAAACCTGCCGTGGGGAGAGGATCACGCCTCACCTGCTTGCTCATTGGCAGCCAGGTTCTGCTCGAACTCGATGCGCAGCATTTCATACTCCTTGCGCACCTGCGCCAGCGTGTCCTCCAGCTGGATCACCTCTGTCCGCAACTTCTTCTGCAGGTTCAGCTCGTCGCTCTGGTGCCAGGGAGAGGCAATGGGGTCAGCCACACAGAGCCGAAGTGCAGGCCCCAGCACCTCCCCCCGGCAGAGCGTCTCCATCCAACCAGGCAGGGCCATGCCAACATTTTAACTGCGTGGGCAGCATGGTTCTTTGTCAAGCCAGCATCACAGAGGGGCGGTGTGCAGACAAGGAAGTGTGGCCACCTCGGCTGGAAGCGACCAGAGTTTCAATCCCAGCACAGCTGCAGGAGACTAGATTGGGAGGGCGCTTCAGCCTTCTCCTTGGAGACCAGGAGTCTACCTTCACCTCTCACACTCTGCCTCACAGGAGCATGAGAAGCCGCCCTTATATTAGGTTCAGGCCATGAATTTAGAAACATAGAAACACAGAAACAGAGCGAGTCAGAAGGGACCTCCCGGGCCATCTAGTCTGACCCCTGGCTCCAGCCCGCTTCATTCATGACATGCCCACCATGTGCACGTCCAGACCTAACTGGCAGGGTCTGTTCCAGGCTTCACGCAGGGCTCTTTCCTAGTGCTACCTGGAGATACTGGGGAATTGGACCGAGACCCTCCACGTGCCCGACAGGTGTTCTGGCACGCTGAACTACCTCACCTCCATGTGTTCGATGTGGCGCAGGTGGCTGTTCTTGGTAGTGAGTAGCAGGGCCCTGGCCTCATCCAGCTGCGTTTTCACCTGCAGGCTCTCATTGTACAGCAGCGAGAACTGGGACTGCAGCACTTTGAACTCCAGCGTCTCTTTCACGGCCTCCTCAGGTAAGCTCCGCAGGGCCACCTACAGAGCAGAGACCCACACACCAGGGAAGAGGGCCAAGCTGGGCCCAGCTGCACAGAAACCCCTGCAACAAACACCCTCCAACACCTTCTCTGGGGAGCTGCTTTGGTGGGGCTTTCTGACTGGTACGCAATAAGCTACGACAGCGAAACAGACCAGAGCCTGGTCAACGCGGCAGCATACAGGCGGGATCCAACTAAAGATCCATCTAGTCCGGCATTCTGCCCACACGGTGGCCAACCGGCTGCCCAGAGGAAACCCACGAGCAGGACTTTGGTGCAACTGCCCAGTCTCGCTCGTGTTCCGCCGTCCCCGACACAGTGCATGCCTCCTCGGGTACGGCCACCGGCATCAGGACCAGCAGCCATTCACAGCCTTCTGCTCCATGCGTTTGCTCAATCCCCTTTACAAAAATATCCAAACTGGAGGCCACCACACCTTCCTATGGTAGCGCATACCCTTAAGGGTGCACTGTGTAAACGAGCCTCTTCCTCTGTTCTAAATCTCCCACCAGCTTCAGATAACTCCTTCATATCAAACCAACCTGAGATGGGAGCCTTAACAGCAGATTTTTAGGAGTCAAAGTGTGCCATGCATCACAGATGAGAAATTCAGGGTAGGCTACACTGGCTTAGGCCTCCCCATTTCAGTGCTGAAATGGGGAGAACATACCCAATTCCTTCCTTCCAGGGCACCACGGACACAGTGGAGCAGCAGTCCTGGCAGAGGCACATGGCTGGGAGGGAGGGAGGGAGGGGCTTCACCCTGCTGGACCACTCAAACATTCACCAGCACTCTCAAGAAGCCCTCGCTTTGCGGGTGCGAGGAGCAGCTCTACCACAGCAAGGTCTACAGACCTTTCTTAAGGAAAAAAACAGAACCAAGACAAAAACAACACTATGAAGTGTCAATCCTGGCACGCTCTGGGCCCACACATCTGGAGGGCAGATCCACTGGCAGGCCAAGAACTGCAGAGAACCGCGCGTTGCCCAGCCCTGCTCCAAGATGCTCCTGCACCACCTGAACACCACACTCCACCTTCTGAGGGTAACCTGCCCGGAGCCGAAGGCAGCCGTGAGCAGGGCCCCCTCCTTCTCTCGCCACAATGCTCTCTGGCTGTCCTCCTGACTACCCATAAAGAGGCGGCTGGGCCACAAGGAGATCGACTGCCAAATGCTGTTTATTCAAGGAGACGCCACACATTCTCATTTTCTTCTCCTGCTTGGCTTCCAGGCTGACTAGAACGAAGCCTCCTCCTGACCTGCCATGAAAAGCCAGCAGGCTGCCAAGGACCGGAGCAGTGCAGGAGCCTGGGGTGAAGGGCACGCTGCTCCAACCCCTCCTCCAGGGCAGGCCCGTCCCTACCTTCAGCTTCTCATTGGTCCTGACTGCCTGCTGCATTTCTTGCTGCAGCTTCTCCAGTTCTGCCATGCGGCTGTTAGCAAGTTCCTGGTTCTCTTCCAGCTCTGCATTCAGCATCTCAAACTGCAAGCACAAAGCAAGTCAGAGACCCAAGACTCCCAGATTCCAGTGATGCAAACTTCACCTTCCTGCCATTTTGCTCCTGCTTACCTTCTGCATGCTAAGTGTGATCTGCCCACCTTGGAAGCCGCCAGAACTGCCTGACGCATAGTACCCAGAGTTTAGCTGCCAAAGAAGCAGAGGCACACAGTCAAGACCTTATAAATACAAGTATTTCTACACAGGCTGCGATCTGCGAATCTTGCCAGTCTTGGGGTCTTAATAAAAGGCGAAATGAAGGCAAGTGTTATAAAAGTATTCAGAATTACAGAAATACCCTTTGATATGATGTGGGAAGGTGAGATGAGAACCTGTCATGGGAGGTCTCCGCCCCCATTGACCTAACACTCAAAAGAGCCCAAGCCAATTTATGAAACAACCCCCCGGATCCCTACACCTACCAAGGCAGAGGAACTGGCTCTACGCAGTCAGAGCCACAATTAAGAAGGCCCTACTCTGCGCAACATCTAAGGAAAGGGAAACTTTGCAAGGCTTCTTCTCCACAACGTGAGGGGCATCTCAAGCTGAAGATTCCTCCCCTGGCCGCCTATAAGGCTTGGCTGGTCTTTCTCCATCCAGCAAATGACTCGGTTAAGGTGCTTGGTCAGCATGGAGTTGCTTTACTGTGGGGGCAGCAGGGTGACTTGAGGACAGGCTCATGTTCTGGACTATGGCTTCCACTGTCCCTTCCCTATGAGCTCTGCTGGTTGGGGCTGATGGGAGCCACAGGGCAAAGCACCAGGGTGGGTGCGAGTAACAGCCCCTTTTCCACAAAATGGTCCTTTGAATTCTGCAGCTACCTTCTCCAAGGGCAGAGACGCATCGACCCAGGCAGGGTCCACAATACTTCCTGAGCGTCTGCCACCCAACACAGTTCGGGTGCAAGTTCACAAGGGGACCACTCGACTGAGGTGGGCGCCCCCCTGCCTTCCTTACTAGTACTACTTTATTACACCTTTCTTTGGCAAAGAAGCCAAGGCAGCTTATATAATTGGCCATCTCTCCAGTTTATTCATACAACAACCCTGTGAGGTAGGCTAGGTTGAAAGTCAGTAACGGGCGGTCACCCAGGGATCTTCATGGCTAGGTGGGATTGGAACCCAGGTTTCTTGAGACCCGGTCAAAAACTCAAGCACCCACGTCCTGCATGCTATCTCAGCCCATTCCCTTTTGCCCACTGGTTCCATGCATTAAATGGCTGGCGTGTCTCACTGCCTTCTCTCTTCCCTAGAGAGACGCAAGAGGCCTTTGGACAGCACCAGCCATGGGGGAAGGAGAGGAGGGCACCCCATGGTCCTCACTCGCCTGCTCCAGGGCTTCGGCCAGGTGCTTGTTCAGCTTCTGCTCTCGCTTGCGCAGCTTCTCGATATCCCACTGCAGGTCTTCAATGGTGGTCTCCATCTCCAGCACTTTGGTCTCTGAGGAGGTCACCTTGTCCTGCAGCTCTGTGTACTGAGCAGGCCACAGGTAAAAAAGAGGATGGGGCAAGCTTCAGGGGAGCTTTTTCACCCTCCCACTAAGCCAGAAATGCTGCCAGAAACATACCTCCAGGGAGATCTTGTGATGCTTCTCCTGCAACTGGGTGGTTAAGTCCTGTAGATGCCGGTTCTCCCTCGTCAGCTCTTTGGTGAGTGCCTTCACTGCATCTTCCAGCTGGTCGAATTCCACTGTGGGGAAAACAAGTTCCCTCTGAAACTGGAGTTGCTCAACTTCCATTTCCCTCTCCTAGAGGCTGACACCCAATAGATATCCTTGAGAGCCTGCATTTTTATGGAACATGCTTGCTATGAACCACAATGCCAAATGTCAGTGTACTCCAGATGCAAGAGTGATAGCCCTGGATCTGGATTCAAAGCTCCCTCAGAGTCTGATTCACTCTGTCTCACCTTTCATCTGGGGACTTCACTGTGAAAGGAAGTTAGCAGTTACCTACCTTACACAATGACTGTAAAGCCAAGCAGGAAAAGCATTGAAGATTGCAAATAAATGTTAAATAATCAGTAAAGTATATAGATGCCACAGATAATGATGCATCAAATACATTTTGATCCAGTTTTGCATACTAAGTTGACTTTATGGCAAAATCCAGACTTTAAACATTCGTAAGCAAAAGGGTTTGGGATGGACATTGATTTTTTTATTTGGGTCAATGTTTGAGGACAATGTGGAGGTTCTACCCTTTTCAGATTTCCATGCCAAATGTGATTTGTCCACTCTGGCTAAATAGCACTACCTGGAATTGCAACACTCGTTAGAATCAAAGTTTGGCCCTGCAACTGTTTCAGCTTCAGTTTCCTCTGCTATCGGAAATAGTTGTTTAGATTGCTCAGTTATACAGACCCAAGATCCACAGTTACAAAATTGTATTATTGATGAATAAATATGATACACAAGGTCTGAAGCTGAAATGGAATAGGAAAGCAGAATGTCCTATTCATTCTAAGCAGTGGATTATCACTTTAGTATTTATATGTCAAGTTGCAATGAAACTAAAGTTACAACTTATTCCACAGAAACTTTTGTGTTTATTTGATGGCATAAAATCTCCTTAATACATTTGCCTAAGTCTGCTACCTGCTGATAATGCTGCCGATACTTAATCATATATTGGCTAGTAGGGTGGCAATGAAATCAAATAAAGTATTTTGGCAATATGCAGTAGTTGCCCCTTATGGAGAGAAAGTTACACTATGAATAAATTTTGCATGGGAACACTTTTATATTTGCCACTTCATGCCTTCTTAACTTTTTAGAAGCAAATAGATAATTTAACACATGGTCAGTGCTAATGGATTTTCTGCACCCTTCTCACAGATACAAAAATGATATTACAATACTGGAGAGATAAAACCTCATCTCCTATAATATAATCGACTGAGGACCAAACAATGCTTTCAACTTTCGAACAGGTGGTGCACAGACAACACTCCTGAATGAGTTATGGTGTAGGAATCTGTCTCTTGTGTGAATTATCTTTCCCCTTCAGACACAAGAATTCTGGATCTCAGGCTCTTTTCCCAGTGATGTCTGAGGCGCTCCCTTGATGACTCTGACACAAAGGACGGTGATGCACAATCAACCCCCCCCAACCTGACGTGGAGCTTGGGCTCACCATGGGCATGGATCTTCTGGCAGAGTTCCTCAGTGCGCCGGTGGATCTTGTCAGAAACTTCCACGATGCGGGAGACAGCAGCTTTAGAGAACTCCATGCGCTCCTGAAGCTGCAGTTCAATTTCTTCGCTGCTGCTGCTGGCCAAGGTGGCCAGGAAGGAAAGGGCCGTCTCGTTCAGCACCAGGCCCCCAGCCTTCCAGGGCGCAGGGGGAGTGATGGGGGAGAGTACTGCCTCTGAGGAGACCAGAGGAAAGCAGGGTCAGTCTTGGCTCGGAGGATGGGGTGCCCCATCCCATCCCCCATGTGCCCCATAGACACAGAAAGCAGGGCTCACCTCTCCTCTCAGATCCCTCTGGTCCAAGAAGAGACCCCTCTAACTCCGCTCCTGCAAGCTCCAGTTTGGGCTCCTCCAAAGACTGCCCACAATCTCCATCGTAACGTCTCAGTAGCACTTGCACCGTTTCATCCAGCTGTAGAAATGAGGAGGAGGGGAGGAAAAAGGACTTTAAGAGTTGAGGAAGGAGTAAAGGGAGAGCATGTTTGGAACAACACAGGCAACGCTAGGCATTTGCCCCGAACGGTACGATTTCTGGAGATACAGAATGAACTGCACCAATAAAATCAACTCAGATTATGCTTGTCATGAATTGAGAATAAGGAGCAGATGCTCCCTGGGACCGCAAAATCCTGCTTCGGTTTCTGCTTCTTTCTAAACATTGCACCGGATGCGGGACTGAGCTTCAGCTTTGCAAATGCAAGCCTGAGATGAGGATCTTAAGGGGGAAATCAGCTGAGAGGACTGGGCCCCAACCTGCTTCCAGTAGCGATTGACAATCAAGAGGGTAGCATCGTCAGTGGCCTGTCTCTTCTCCAGCTTCTCGATGCGTTCGCGCAGCTCATCCTCAAAAGCCTGCCGCTGCTCCAGGCGCTCTGCTAGCTTCTTGTTCTTGAACTGCAGCACCTTGAGGTCCATCTCCTCCTACAGCAAGAAGCCCCCCACCCCAGTCATCCATGAAAATTGTATCCACAGTGAAAGTCTCTGCCGTTTCCAGCAGCTGTCCTAATGGACACATGAGAGGATGTTCCAAGAGCAACACCTGCCCTGCAAGCTGGTTAGCCCACCGAGAGCACTACTTTAACTTGCAGAGCAAGGCAGCAGGGTCTGGCTCATTTTCAGGGGTCTCAGGTGAAAACACCACAACAAAACAGATGGAAACGCTGGACTGGATTCAGGATTTGCACTCTGCAAGAGGAAAGGCTTTGCTCACACAAATTCCACCATGGGATTTTGCTGGATTCGCCCAACAATACAACTCTGATTCTCCAACCTGGTTCACAAGATCAAAACAGCCCACCCACAAGTTATTTACATTATGGTGTGATGCATGCCACTCAGAATGTTACATGTTCAACTCCCAATTACTTTGCGTTTGTCTCCAGGCAGCGCGGGTCTGTTGTTTAACTCTTGCATAACCCATGGTGGCTGCAATAACAACCCCTAATCAGGAAAAATTCTGCCTAGCTAGTACTGGCAAGCACTGTGGCTCAGTGTATTAAACAATCCATAATGGGCTGCGCTGATCATGTGAATCTGATCAGAGAGTTAAGAAATAAGCTGAGAAAGAAACACATGACAGGTATACAAAATTCTGCATAGCGTAAAGGAAGTGGGTAGGAAGGCATCCTTCTCCCTCTCTCATAATACTGGTACACAGAGCTGACTGGTGCAGGATTCAGGACAGATAAAAGGAAGTATTTCGCATAGCACATAGTTAAACTATGGAATTCACTTCTACAAGATAGAGTGATAGCAGCCAAATTGCATGGCTAGAAACGGGAAATGACTGGAGGAGGCGGCTAAGAATGGCTACTAGTCCTTCATTTACATTCTGCATTTCTTCCTTTTGCAAAGAACTCAAGGTAGCTCACAAAATACTCCTGTCCACTTATCCTCATAACAGCCCTATAAGGAAGGTTAGGATAAGGCAGTGACTGGCCCAAAGTCACCCAGTGGATTTCATGGCTGATTGAAGACTAAAACCTAGATCTCCTGAGTCCCAGTCCTGCACTCTTAACCACTACACATGGATCTCAACGAATCTGTAACTGACTGTGATGAGTTATAAATACCACGACAATCAGGCCAGTCAATATACCAACACATACTAGAAGCATTCCAAAATCATCTATTCCACAGACAAGCTCTAACACTGCAAAGAGATTAACAGAGTCTGATTCAGAAAGAGGCCATGCGTGCCGCCTCCTTACTGAAAGTAAGCAGAAAGTTTTGGGCATTTCTGGAAGTTTTGAACTTCAGCTCCCAGCATTCCTGACCACAGGACACATTGGCAGGGGCTTCTGGGAACTTCAATCCAAAGCAACTAGAAGATTTTACCTTCTGCCCACACCTGCAGTAAAAATTGGGCTTCTTTTGCAGAAGTCTGGAGCATATGTATTCACAAGAGATCACATTATTTCTTTTCAGAGTAGATAAAAATAGGTTGCTGCAGATCTTAATCCCACACCATCTTTACCCTGCTTTCTGACTCCAGGATCTCACCGTAGAAGAGATGCCGCCTAGCCGGATGGGCTCAATCAGGGTGGTGGTGGTCTTTTCCTCCCTGTTGGCTTTCTTCTCTGGGGGCCCTGAGCCCCCATCTCCAGCTGCCCGCTTGCTTCCAGGCCCTGACATGGTGACTCTGCGTGGTGGGTTAGAAGCACAGGAAACAGGCAGTCAGCCGAGGGGGCAGTTCTTCAGCTAGAAGGAAAAAAAGTGACAAAGATGGTTAGCAGACCAGCATTGCATCAACCTAATTGCAATCCTGTATCATTGCTAAGGCTGGGAATTGCTTACCTCACATCTGAGCAAAGTAGCAAAAAGAAAAGGAGCGTAAGGGAAAAGCTACAACATGTGGAAAGCAGTGCAGCAGCATGAGATACAGGCATGCAAAATATTAACAGAGATCACATATTTTGAGAACTTGAATAGGAATGAGGGTTGTGATCACAAATGCTAATATGCACATGTGTACCATATGCCTATTAAGAATGGCAGAACAGGTAGAAGTTCAACAGGTGTTTGTTGACATAAGGATGTAGCAATAAAGTGGCACCTGCCAAACTACTCCTGTCTGTCGCAGTACTGCCCAAGGAAGAGTAGATGCTCTGTTTGGAGGAGGGTGCTGACAAACAAATACGGAAGAGAAACTGCACCAGTCTGGAGAAACTGCAAGGCTTAGCAAGAAGGGAAATGTGGGCAGAGGAAGAACAGTTGAATATGCTCAAGGAAAGGAGTAGCACAGAACAGAAAATAGCAAAAGAAGAGAGAAGAAACAGAAGTGGCTAAAATGAAAACAGGCGATTAAAAAGGCAAGGAGGTAGCTAGGAGTGAACGCACTTGGTCTCTCTTCTTTAACCCAAGCCTCCCTTTGCACAACTTTGCTTCTTCCCTGCCTGAGATGACATATTTGATACATCTCCTAAAGAAATCATTTTAGAATTAATTTACTATTACCATCACAGAAAGGCAGTATCAGAAAATAGTACAAAAGGGATGCTCAGGGGGGAAACCTTAGTTTGGAAAAAATGCGAACAGGTAAGGCGAAAGACCTCAGTGAGGAGAAGAAATACAGAGATATGGGGGAAGAGGAATATATATAAAAGATACAGGAAAAAAAAGCCCCCAGCCTGCCTGGAGGGCAGGAGCCTCTCTCTCTCTCTCTCTCTCTCACCTGCCCCAGCGCCCCCTCCCCCCACAGCTGCGGATCCTTCGCACTCCCCCCCATGCGACGAGTAGAAACAGGAACGCCAACGCAACTTCTGCGCATGCTCCTACGTTACCACCCTTAAGGCCCAGCCCTCAGTTCAGAACCAAACGAAATTCTTCTCCCCGCCCCATGCGGGTGCGCATGCGCACTCAGACATCCTACCGTGAAAGCGAAGGGTAATTGGTTGAAAGTGATACACTGGGCAGGATTATTCTTCGTGAGAGGTTTGGGAGGGAGGGGAAAAAAAAGAAAGCCGGTTGTGATTGGATAAAGCACACAAGCGCCGAGGCTGTGTTCGTCGGAGCTCGTGATTGGGCTCGGCGCGATACGGTTTTATAGAGCCACCGCATTCTTATAGAGATAGAAATGTAGAGCTAACTGTGCCTTTGAAATCCACTTTAATACTTTTGGGTTAAAATGGAACTATTTTTACTTTAGTGTTGAGTGTAAAGATTTCATGAATCAAATACTATTCTGAGTCTTTCATAGTAGCAGGGGAAAGAGGAAAGCGCCCCTTGAAACCGTTTTAGTGCTCCAAACGAATGACGCCTTCTGCTTTTTATCGTTGTGTTACCTTAATTGATCTATCTCTATTGAAATTTTCCTAGCCACGGCAAAGAGTCCTTCCATGATTGGCTAGGCCCTCGTCCTGCCCTTACTGACTCACTTCGCCAGTATTGCTCATTCTGAGTGGGTGAATGGGCACGGGCTGCCAACCGGGCAAAACAGGGGTTGCTATGGCAACGCGTGCTTTCCCAGTCGGATAACCCGCGATGGGGCCCGAGTCTTTGCAACAGGTAAAAGGGAGTGGAGATGGGATACTATACACAGGCTAATCAGTAGTACGAACGGTCAACATGATGGTAACCATCGCATATTCATAGCCTTGGATCCACATTTTGTCTTACTCAGAGCAGACAAAGTTAACTACTTAACTGCAACTGACTTAAGACCTGTTGATTGTGTTGGCCAAGGTCCGTGTCCTGCTGCGCACATGCCCAAAATACACAACAGAGGAAAATTTTCTTTAAAGTATTTATTTTTCCAGAATAACCAGCTACCAATACATAGTTCCAGTTGGCTCACCTGAGCAGTCCTTAGTTGGCCCTTTTATGCATTGATCATAAAAGGGTTGCACGTAACACAGTTAACACTTTCTAATAGGTTACAGAAGGAAAAAGCCGCATGATCTTTCCAGTCTGCATACCCAAGAGAAAGGAGATTTTTTTCAAGAAGGGGATGAGGATGCGGTGTTATTCTGAGGAGGAGGAAGGGTGGTGTGAATTGCCCTTTGCTCAGACCGTACAGTGTCAGCTTGGTGTCTCTAGAATGGTGCCTGGTTAGTGTCAGCTACATTTCAAGGATGCACACATGCTGATGTCGAAAGAAAAGGATTCTTTTTCTGGTCCAGCTACATGCCAATATTTGCATGATTATATCTGTGTAGGTTGTACCTATTGATTTGTTCATCAATTGCACCGAGTCTCCTCTAAACATAAGTACATCTGTGCTTGATCTATTATTATTTTCATTTCTATACCTTCCTGCAGCCAAAGCTCTCTGGGCAGAAATATTAAATATTAATTTCACATAAGTGAAGGCATACAAGGCTACATGGATGGTATTCATTGGGAGGCATGGGTTTTCTCCCTTCTGTCAATCTAGTCCCACTTTTGAATCTTGAAGAAAAATATCTACCTCAGATTGTGAGAAGCACTAACACAAATTAACATTGTTCTTGCTTAGATCAGAAAAGGTGTGGTTGTATTTAAAACTACATCAACATGGCTTTCAGCCAGCTGTAATTTGCATAGCAAATAAACCTTGTTTCACAATAATGATCCATCTCATTTTAATTGTTTCATTTCCATTGTGGCAAGCACATCTGCCATTAAAGTTGCCAGTGGGATAATCGTGTTGGAATAACAACTATTTGGTAGTATTAAATAATGAGCTAACCTACCTGTAAATGGAAAGAATTATTATAATGATCCCCACATAGAAAATACACCTAAATCTTAACTTTCTTTTTCAGCCCCAGTCACATAAAGCAAAAATATGCATGTGGTAAGTGACTTCTTGTGACTTTTAGAGGAACTGTTAGATACCACATCCAAGCCTAGAGCCAGTTGCACTTTGATGCAGGGCCTGTATTTAGACATTGGTGGGTGCCCAGTACTCAATCGAACTCAGTGGGAATTACTTCTGAGTAGACATGTATGGGATTGCACTAGTAGTTACACCCAAGGCTGTTTGTGTATGTGGGCAACACACAGTTACCTTTCTTATTTTTGCTTATTTTCTGCATTTCAGGAAGGACATAGATGTTCACTCCATGGATCTCATCAACAAGGCAGAAACTACTGATGCTTTGAAAAGGTAACAAGAGTTTTAAGACTGAAAAGCATTTTGTGACTAGATGTGCTTTATTTATTTATTATTTTATTTATTTATTAAAACATTTTTATGCCGCCCCATTCGCCGAAGCCTCGGGGCGGCTTACAACAAAAAATTTAAAATAACATTTTAAAATATATACAATAAAATACAAATATACACTATAAAACAAGCCGCCCTGGCCAAATAAAATTCAATAATATTAACATTTAAAATACTGCTTAAATAAAAAGGTCTTTGCCTGGCGCCGAAAAACAAATAACGACGGCGCCAGGCGGACCTCTCTGGGGAGCGCATTCCATAACTTAGGCGCCACCGCTGAGAAAGCCCTCCTCCGAGTAACCACCCTCCTAACTTCTTCCATGGAGGGCTCCCGGAGAAGGGCCTCTCCCGCCGATCTCAGGGGGCGGCTGGGCATATAAGGATGTAAGCGCTCCTTCAGGTAACCAGGACCCAAGCCGTTTAGGGCTTTATAGGTCATAACCAACACCTTGAATTGGGCCCGGACTTCAATGGGAAGCCAGTGAAGCTGACGGAGAACTGGAGTCATGTGAACATAACGTCCAGTCCCCGTCAGCAGCCTGGCAGCTCTATTTTGGACCAATTGAAGTATCCGGACCGTCTTCAAGGGTAGCCCCACGTAGAGCGCGTTGCAGAAGTCCAAACGGGAAGTCACCAACGCATGTGTCACTGTCGCAAGGCAGTCATTCTCCAGATAGGGGCGCAGCTGATGAATTAGCCGAAGCTGGAGGAAAGCACTCCTCGCCACTGCTGTTACCTGAGCTTCCAGTGAAAGCTCTGGGTCGAGGAGCACTCCCAAGCTGCGGACCTTGTCCCTAAGAGGGAGTGCAACCCCATTCAGGACAAGGTTCAATTCACCCTCTCCGAAGCCCGATCCACCAACCAACAGGACCTCCGTCTTGTCTGGATTGAGCTTCAGTTTATTGGCCCTCATCCAGCCCATTACCTCAGCCAGGCACCGGTTCAGCACAGCCACTGCCTCACCTGGATTGGTGGAAAACGAGAGGTAGAGCTGGGTATCATCAGCGTACTGATGGTTCCGCAGCCCACACCTCCTGATGACCTCTCCCAGCGGTTTCATGTATATGTTGAACAGCAAAGGGGACAAAATGGACCCCTGCGGTACTCCATGGCATAGCTGCCATGGCGCAGAGCCATAGTCCCCCAGCACCACCTTCTGGAACCGGCCATTGAGATAGGAGCGGAACCACTGCAAAGCAGTGCCTCCAACCCCCAATCCCGCAAGCCTATCCAGAAGGATACCATGGTCGATGGTATCGAAAGCTGCTGAGAGGTCCAGCAGAACCAACAGGGACGCACTCCCCCTGTCCTTCTCCCTGCACAGGTCATCATACAGGGCGACCAAGGCAGATTCAGTACCGTACCCGGGTCTGAAGCCGGACTGCAATGGGTCCAGATAATCAGTTTCATCCAAGAGTGCTTGGAGTTGTCCCGCCACCACTCGTTCTAACACCTTGCCCAGAAACGGGATGTTGGCCACTGGTCTATAATTAGTGGCCATCTCTGGATCCAGTGACGCCTTCTTCAGGACCGGTCGGACTACCGCCTCCTTCAAAGGGGCCGGCACCCGACCCTCCCTCAGAGAAGCATTAACCACTTCCAAGATCCAGGTTCCAATCCCGTGCTTGGAATCATTTATTAACCAAGACGGGCAAGGGTCCAAAAGGCAAGTGGTTGGACGTACTCGCCCAAGCACCTTGTCCACATCATCGGGCCGCAATAACTGAAATTCATCCAATAAATCTGGACCAGACGGCAGCATTGGTGTCTCCTTTGAAAACTCTGAATCAATAGTGGTGTCCAGCTCGTGACGAATCTGAGCGATTTTCTCCCTGAAATGCCTGGCAAAGTCGTCACAGCGGGTCTTTGAGGGTGGAATCAGGTCTTCCTTTGGACCTGGACGGACCTTTTCTCTTACTGGAACAAAAAAGGAGGTGTGCACAGGTCTGAACATAATGTAAAATGTATATAAGTTCAGTATATCTGAGCAGCACACCCATGCAAAATCTGATTGTATTCATGTACAGGAAAGTGCATAATGCAAAAATGGACTCATGTATAGTAATCTGTATAACTGCTAACATCAAGAAGCACACACAAAATGCAGCTTTATGCCATAGTTGGTTTTTTCCCGTTACTGTGCATCAGGATGGACCCTATAGCTGTTATTAGTTGCTTTCTGTAGCAGTTATTCACGGGAAACCCATTCACAAATTCTTGCTCCTAAGTATCTAATATCCAGGCATTATCCCTAAATTCCATCTCCTGAGGTCTGCTATATAACAATGGCTTCCTTACAGTCTGTTCAGTTTCCCCAGGAACTCTTTTGCAGGGCAGTCAGTTCAAGTACCTGTACAGCTTCAAAACACAGATCTGTATTCAGCAGCTGCCCTTTCTGTCAAGTTGTTCTCTGTGGTGGCTGGGTCAACTAACTCTGTTGTAACAAAAACTACAGTGCCCTCCAGGATCTCAGTATTTTTCAGCAGCACAGGCCCTCATAAGGTACCGCTTGCTTCATCAGATGCTTGCAATTGATAATAGCAGCAGACAGATCAATGGAGGCAGGCTGGTGGGGGTAGCAGAGCAGAATCTGGTGAGTGAGAGGAAGGCTGAAACGCCATCTCTTTACTTGTAAGCATTACTGTGGAATAAACTTGCATAGCATTATGCTGCATGAGATGAATGGCTACATATCCTGAATGCAGAGAGAAGGGGAGAAACCAATCAGCATTTGCTGTTATTAGTGCATGGTTAACTGGGTACTGGTAAAGAGACTGCTCAGATTAGAACTATGTGTATCCATAGGTTAGCTGTCCAGCTTCTTAGAAAGGAGAAGGAACTTCCTCCCCAGGAAGTGAGACGAGTCTTTCATGTATTGTCCTTTATGGCTGGTGAAGACAGATTCATTCCACTGAGCTTTTAAAAGCTGCTATCAGTGCAGTTTTTTATTACATATCCTGGTGGGTTTTTTATCTAAATAGTCATTCAGCTGTTGTAGCTTATATATTTGTTACTTCTATTTATATAATTCCTCAGTGGAGCAGTAATCCAGAACTATTGATTTGCATGCATAGCTATACATTGAGTTAGTATGTGAGTCACCTTTGCTTAGCTGGAAAGACACAGGCCTGCAGCTGGATGGTGACCACATCTGGAAGCAGAGCAGTGGGGTGGACTCGATGTCCTCACAGTACCCTTCCAGCTGTATTTCTGTCCTCTTCTGTTTTAAATAAATGTTCAGCTGTGGCCAGTCCTCAACAATTGGAGGAGATGCAAAATCAACAGCCACCTTTCTACTCTTCCTCTCTTCAGTTGCACAGTATCATCTTCTTGCATTGGATTGTACAAACCAAAGGCAGGCGGTTATATGTGAAAGGAGAGTCCTTTTGGTCTATGCCTAAGCTGGATATCTGGATTTACACATCTTCTCCCCCTTTCACAGCCTTCTTTCTGAGCTCTTCCATCTGCAGGATTTTGACTCAAACCCACGCTCTGCTATCTTATTGGACCTCTACTTTTACACCATCCAATTCAGCCGGGAGCAGGGGTTCAACCGGGAACAAACCTCAGCCTTCTTCTCCATCGTGAAGGATGTCCACGAGGCCTGTGTGGGTGAGCAGAGGGTTGTCAATGACCAGGGAGAAGGCAGCTTTATGGGCAGGACAGAAAATGAAGGAGACAGTGGGAGAAATGTGCAAAAGTCTCAATAAGGAGGGGAGGACACCATCCATTTTCAGCAGGCCTGGATCTAGGATCACCTGTCTGAAACATCTCCTGCAACAGCCTGCCCCATGTGTCTACTGCTCATGGTGGCTGCTGGTGTTCTGAGCCCCGACTGCCATGTTTTCCTTTCGTTTTGCACATGTGTAAAAGATAGAAGAGCCGCCGCCACCACTGCTGCCAAGAGGAAGAGGTGTGGTGAGGATCCCTTTCAGAATCAGTGCGGCCTTGTTGTGGGGACTGGCAACGTGATGAGAGCCACAGGCCAGGTGTTTTGGCCTGTGGCTCTCATCATCATGTCTAATCATTGGCTTTGCTGGCTTGGGCTGATGGGAGCCACAGCCCAAAACACATGTAGGGCCCGAGTTGCGCACCCCTGCTGCGTTGGCTGCTGGTAGAGGACCTGGGCTGCCGGGTGAGACAAGAACAGAAGCGGCAGGGGAGATCAAGCTGAATCTTCGGCTTACCCCCCCCCCCCCCCGCTCTCCTACAGAAACACCCCTGCCCAATGTGGAGGAATGCTACAGCTATTTCACGGAACTTGTTTTCTGCCACTCCATCCGGGTGAGTAAGTGTGCCAGATAAAGAGGATTACAGAAGAACCCTGCTGGACCCTCTTCAGCATGTGTCCCTCTGCAGTAATGCTTGTTGCTACATAGCAATAGGCTAGCTGCCCTTCTGCTCTAATTGTCTCTCCTCCAAACACACTTTTTCCAGAGACCTCCCTTCAGTATCAATCTTTTTAATCAAGACCAGCTGGTGCTCATAACTGACTACATGATCAACACTTACTTCCGACACTACAAGCTTTACAAATATGCTTTCACTCCACAGGTAAAAGGATTTTCTCGCTCTCCTCAAACTGTGTGCAAGAAAAAGATCAGAGCAGCTCTTGTGTCAGCTCCTCATAGTGGGTGAAGGAAGTGTAAGATCCTGGGTGGCCATGATCTACAAGACGTGGCTTCCACCGCAGAGTGCTTATTGAAAAACAGCAGGAGTACTGCCTTTGCTATGCAGGAAAAAAATCAGTGGGACTAGAAAAATGCAACCCACTGAACTTGGTGGGTTCATCCACACTTACCCCTCTGGTTCTTCTGTATTCGTTAGGTGCGTTTGGACCTATCACTCACCTATATTGGGATGCCTGAACCACAGCCCAAAGATGAAGGTACGACAAGGATGCTGGGACCCCTCTCCCAGCTCTGAGCTCTATAGTTACCCCAACTGTCATCCAGCTGTCTTAGCAGGAATGTTAACAAGATGAAAAGGAATGGACTGGTCTTTCCTAGTAAAAGAGGATTGAACCAAATGAGAGAGCGCCACAGATAAATCAGAGATTAAAGGTGACTTAGGGCAACCTTCCCCAACCTTGTGCCTTTCAGACATTTTGTACTAAAATTCCCATTATCCAGTCATGGTTCATTGCATCTGGAGGGTTGAGAAAGGCTCCTGTAAGGGCTTAGCTGTGTGGACTGGATGCTGGAGATTTGGCATCAGGCATTGGCATAGGCAGGGAGCTCCTGAGGGCCCAGAAAACCGGAAGGGCACATTCCTGTCCTGAACCTACCTCAGCTGCTGCCGCCATCCTCCCTCTGCAGTGAAGGAGCCTCTGAAGCCCCTCAGTGAATTAAAAACAACAGCAATGACAGAAAGAATGTTTTCTGGGTGGTTGGAAGCAGGCAGGCATTGGCTCTGGTGCTTGATGGCTGGCAATAGTAGTAGGGGGCTTCAGCTGCAGAGGGCTGCCACCAGCCCTCATTTCATGCATAAGTAACTGCCATATATCAGGTATTGGTATCCTAATATGGGGGAGGGGGTCTACTCTGATGGTTACAGGCTTATCTTTCATAGTGTCACCACCCTGAAACCCTTTTTACATGGAGATGATGGAGGACTGAACCTTGTAACACATGCAGGGACAGAGCTCCTGGGCTGAGCCTGCCTTGTCTTGCGGCCGGGTGGTGTCTCTCTGAAGCAGGACTCGCAGGTCTTTGAAGCTCTGGCAAGTGCTCCAGCTACGCCGTGCTCTCCCTGGCTTAGGCTTAGCCAAATGAAGTTTATATGATCCTATGAAGTGACCTTACAAAAATATTTGAGTAAGGGATGACAATTTTACCTCAAATCCTACCTTTCTCCACAGCTCTTCCAAAGGGTTTAATATCTGTTTTTACAGAAGCAGCTGAGAGCACAGAAGCAACTTTGTCACCTTTACAGGAAGAAATGGAAGAGTCGGTTGTTGCACCTGAAGAAAGTAAGGCAGGATAGTATGGTGCTGGGGGCCAGGGCAGGGCAGTGGGCTGAGCTGGTTCGCCGGAAGGGGCCCAGACTTGAATTCCTTTCCAGACCTGAGGCAAGCCACTCTTCAGCCTCAGGAAACCCACCTGCAAGATGGAGATAACAATATTGCCCTCCTTTAAAAGGCTGTGGTAACTGAGCTAATAGGTGGGAGTACTTTAAATACTCAAAAGGCACTATTTCAACACTAAGTAGCAGTTATTCTTGTGGAGAGTGCCAGTCCTGTACCCAAAGTGGTTGCAGGGGGCAAATGCTTTCTCCTGTTAAGGCTGCTGGAGTTCAGGGTGCATTCTGCCTTGCCCTCCTCCTAGGTCCCACGGCAGCACTGCGGGAATTCATCTCTGCCCAGCTCAACCAGGAGCTGGCCCAGCTGCGTGTCTCAGTAGAGCAGCGTTTAAAGGCAACAGAGGATCAATTTAATGCCAAGCTGGTTCAGCTGGAAAAGGCTTTTGGTGCTGGCAAGGGCAGTTCAAAGGGGAAGAAAAAGTGAACAGGCAGGCCTGGAGATGGGACTAGGAGAGTAACTGTTTTAGGTTATAATCTTGCTGCCTCCTTGTCTTCGAAGCACCTGAGGAGAGACTATATAGGTCTAGCAATCACATCTGTCATGCCCCAGATGGCGGGGAGTGCATGCAGCTGTTGCGACAAATACTGTTAAAACCATATTCCCCAATGGGGTGCCCTCCAAAAGTGTTGGACCGCAACTCCCATGATTCACCGCTAGCACTTGCAGGTTGAGGAAGGCAGCTTTTAAAAGCAGGCAGCAGATGATAAACAGACTTTTCAAAGCATGATGTGGTTTACAAAAAATCTCTACAGAGAGATCTGTGTACCAAGAAGAAGCAGAAAGGTTCCCTGCAAGATGGGATATTAAGGCATTAAAGAACTTTCTGAACAATGCCTACCGTTGCTGTTCATCTTTTGTGCATTAGGCCCACACTGTGTTCCCCAGTTTGGGCCTGCGGTACCTCCCTCCACACTCAAACTGTTGTATTTTTCTGGGGACATCCAGATTCTATCCAGCCTTCTACCCAGCACCTTGGAGGTGCTGCCTGGACTGTAACGGTGCAACCAGGCAAAGACGAGGTAGCTCCTCACTGTTGCTTTAGCTCAGGAGTAACCAATGTGTAGCCCTCCAGATGTTGTGGCAGTTGCAGCTCCAGAACAGCTGGAGAGCCACGTGTGGCCCAGCCTTGCTTTGGCAGGACTGGTGGCTGAGGTGCCCGACACAGCTGCAGTCTCAGGACATTCCTTGAGTGCTGCTCGGTGCCAGCTCTGCCTTCCCAAGCAGTCCTCCTCCCTCCAGGCTCACATCATGCAGCAGCACCATTCTTTGCCCGCTCGCCAGATGCTCTGCTGGCTGGAGCACTTGGGATTTTTGGGTGGACATGGCAGTGAAGTCTGTCCCTTCTGGCAGCATCCAGTAGAACTAACACAGTCCCTCTTCGGGAGGCAAAGGATGTCCCAGAGGCCTGTTTTGGTTTTGTCCCATTATTTTAATTCTGACATCAAGTAGTTGGGCAAACAACACAACCACGCACACACACACATACACACACAAACAAGAGACATGATTGTACAAGGAAGGGCCAAACCCAGCTCCTGTTTATAGGAGGAAGGAAGTGTGTAATACCCGATTCCAGTCCCACCCACTTCCCCCAGTACTGACCATACATTGACTGCTTCCTCAGCAATGTGAAAATTGGCTACATTTTGGAAGGGTGAAATGTAGGGACCTCCTTACTGTGGAAACAGGTGTATAAATGGCTCCACTTCTTGCTACTCTAATATAAAAGATTTCCCCCCCACCCTGCAATGCTCCCTAATCATTTTGTATCAAGTAATACTGGAGCTCTGTACCCGGACCCCACACAGATCCAAGGTTCCGCACTCTCCAGGACAATTACAGGACCTTTGTTCCCATCAGCCACAAACTTAGGTTCCCAGATACCTACTCCACAGAAAATGGCCCCTCTGCATGCAAGGGCAAGTATCTCTCCCACAGGAAAGCTTTACGACTTGCCATTCTCCCAAGAAGAGTTCATTTCTCACTCAGAGCGGCTCCTGCCTCCCTCATGACAGTTCCCAGGACCAGCAATCCCGCGGCTGCACAGGGAGTGCAGTAAACTCTCAGTAGGAAGGGTGTTCCACAGCGGATGTCGAGGGGGCCTCCTCTCCCTCTGCACTGAGCAAGACCAACTGGATGGCCTTAGGGACGTTTTCAAACAGGGCAGCCCGGTTCTGCTGCTCGCCTTTCTTCACCCAGTGCCCATAGATGCGGAAGGCACAGGCATCGATCAGCTTCCGCACCCCCTTGAGAGCATAGGGTTCGCAGAGCAGCAGCTCCTTGGTGACTGGCCGAACACGTCTGTAGGTGGAGAAGATGCGGATAGAGGCCCGCACGGTCCAGGCAATAACCTGTCGTAGAGAAGAGGAGGCAGAAATGGCTATGGGCAGCAGTCACCACTCTCCCAAGTTGGAGAATGAGCAAGGGATCAGCCTTCCCCAGCACAAAACAAGTGGCAGGGATGGCGAGAGGAGGAGACCCACCCGGAATTTGCGGAAAGGGCTGAAGTGCCGGTGCTCCTTCCCATAGCGATGGAAGAAAGGGTGCTGTAACGCCTGCTCGGCTGTCAGCCGCTCTGCTGGATCCACCTGCAGCAGTCGTGAGATCTACAAGAACACAGGTGTGCTGAGAGGCACGGGGTGGCCATGCCCCCTTTCCCCCAACAACCTGGGGTTTGATGGTTTCTCCTGTTCTAAAACTGACGTACCGGGCCTAATGGCAGGCACCTGAAACTTACTTACTGACAGAAAGGATTCTAAGCCAAAATCGGCTGGGTTGCTTTGGACTGTTGAGTCTACCCTTTTGCCTGAGCCTGTGCCCCCTCTGGCCACACCCATCACTGGCAGGCAGCCCAGCTGACCCGGAATTCGGCTACTGGACTGAAAGAAGTTGGGCACCTCAGGTTTAAAAAATATTATTTATCCTACCCTTCCTCCAAGAACTCTGTGGTCCTTTCCCCTCCTCTCCATTTTATTCTCACAGCACCCTCTGTGGCTGGTTAGCTGGAGAGCGCCCAGAGATCATCTCATGACTTTCAAGGCTTAAGCGGAGATCAGAACCGGATCACCCCAAGCCTAGTCTCACGCTCTGACCAACACAGCGCATTGCCGCACAATTAATTACGAGTCGACAGAAGTTCTGTTACTTCGTCAGGTCTCTCTTTCCAGCCTGCCTTGCTAGTGGCCACCAGGTCTTAGTTCTGCAGTGGGACTTGGCAAGCACTTACACCAGCCGATCAGGACAGAGTTACCAGGGGAAAGTTGCAGGAGGCGGGCTCACTATAATCCGATCACAGTTAGGGGCAAACCCTGGAACTTCAACCTGGTATCTACCACCCCTGAATTCTAAAAGGACGTAGAAGTAGAGAAAGAGCATGGATCCCAATGATTTTCCTTCCTTTTAAAAAAGTAGTAGTGTTAAACTTTCATTTCTCAAGGCTTAGAGGATAGGTTTGAAACTTTATTGCTGGCATAAAAATGTGATGACTTAATCCCATAGGCAGGGTAAGGAAAGGATCGGGATTTCCAGTGGTAAAGGGCAGGGCTCCGGGGCTAGGGGTGATTCTTCATTCTTCCTCACAACCAACAAAAGCAAAACTATGCAAACTATGCAAATGTGCTCCATGTGTGTTGTGGGACTGCTTTTTTCCAGCACAGATCTTTCCAACTGGAAGATGGGGAAGCTACACACAGAACCAAGTGACCGACAACAGATCCTTCAGTCTTACCAGATCCTTGACTGTATCAGATCGGTCATCCCACTCAGGGGAGCCGAACTGGTACTGCCCCTCCATAATCATCCGAAGCATCAGCATCTGCTTGCGATGCCAGAAGGGGGGAGAGCCAGCCAAGAGAGTGAAAAAGATGACTCCACAGGCCCAGCTGCAGGGAAAGGAGAGAACTTATTTTCTGCATCTCCTTAAGTCCCCTCCACAGTCAGAGAGAAGGCCTAAGGAATATTGATCTTGCCAGCATCACATGCAATTTGCATGACTTCTTAAGGGTCTTGAGAATGGCAACATTTGATTTTTTTAAAGGTGTGTTGCTAGACCTTGTGTTAACTATGGAATCAAAGCCGTCAACAAACATGGACCATCTGGTCAAACCTGGCCTACATGAACCGCAGGCCAGAGCTGGACAAGGGAAGAGAAGCGAAGTTTGCCCTCTTCTTCCTACCACACGCATCCCATCTCTTAGGGCTAGGCAGCTGGTGCCTGTCAGATGCTTTGGGCTGGAGCTCCCATCTTCCCTCGCAATTGGCTAGCAAGGGCTGATGGGTAGCGCTCTGCCACGTATTGTGGCCTACAAATTTCCTGCCCCGACCGGAGTTTGGGGTTCTTTACCAACTGTAGTTCCAGTACAAGAGAACAGATGACCAGAACAAGGAAGGGGAGAAACAGACTCCTTCACATTTATAGAAATCTGAACGTATGAATTTGTTGTGGATTTCACCAACATCCCTAAGTCCAAATGAACTGCAGGGCACCAAAGAGGAGTTGGCAAGCCCCAACTTCCCCTGCTCCCGTCTGCCATGGGAAACTTACAGGTCCACCTCTTTCCCGTAACCAGGGTGAGTCTCATCCATGGAACATTTCAGGATCTCTGGTGCCAGGTAGCCTGGGGTTCCACACAGCTCTGGCAGGGAAGAGTGAAGGAATCAAGGAATGCAGAGAACCACTGAGCTGAAGCCCCCATGAACCTGAAGCTAGGAGCCCATGTTGGGAGCACATGTACAAGCCACGCATGCCCCCACCCCACCCACAGTAATGGCAGGCTTGTGGTTTCATCCCATCAGCGCTACCCAGAACATGGTGAGAGCTGCAGTCCAGCCACACCTGCAGGGCCACATCGATGTAACTGCAGAAAAACTACAGAGCGAGCAAGCAGGCTGATGGGCTGCAAAGCAACAGCAGGGCAGCCTCCAGCATCTGGAAGCCTTGCCAGGCCCAGCTCTGCTTTCGGGCAGGCTTCCCAGCCAGCCGCCCTCCAGATACTTTGGCCTTCAGTTCCCAGGGCCCCACGCTGGCCAGGGGCTGCGATCCTCCACATCCGCAAGGCACCACGTTGAGGCATTCTTGCCTTGGGACAGCACAGAACACTGAAAAGAAGGGACCCTCCCCAACACTTTCCGACCACAGGACAGCCCACCAAACGGGGCCACCCCCAGCCGCCATCTCTACCTCGCAGCTTCTCCCCTGGCTCCAAGTGGCAGGAGAAGCCAAAATCAGAGAGTTTGATGCTGAGGTCGTCATCCATGAGGATGTTCTCAGGCTTCAGATCTCGATGGATGATGTGGTTTGCGTGAAGGTAGCTCACAGCCTCCAGCAGGGCTCGCATAATACACCTGAAAGAGGGGGGGGGACAGGTGGCCCCTGCAGTTGAAGCCCCCATTTCTGAAAGCTCCTCCGAACTCGGGCAGGGATGCAAAGCATTGTGAAGGGAGCCTCCACCTCTCCAGGACCACCACGGAGGGCAGCACTTTACCTGGTCTCCTTCTCGCTGAGTGTTACCTTCTCTGTAAGGTAGTCAAAAAGCTCTCCACGTCTCATCCTGCAGGGGGAACGCAAGCTGAGATAAATCTGCCTGCAAGGGCGATGGCACACGAGAGAAAAGAACTCCTCCCCTCCTTCACACGGCACTTTCAATCGGTAGGCAAAGTGCTGCCTTCCAGGTGCTTTGGCCCCATCCTTTGTCACTGATAAGAGCTGTAAGCCAGAACATCTGGAGGGCCGCAGGGTGCCCACCCTTGCTTCAGCTGCAAAGCAACCCTTTATGGAGGGGGAGAGCCAATGAAGTCCAGGAGCTGGAAACCAGCAGGACTCGGGTTCAAGCCCCTGCTCTGGAATTCAATCATGAAAGGACTCCTCAACAGGGCCATTTTTCCCTTAGAGGAAAGATGACTGCAGGATTAATGATACCTTGATAACAAGTCTATTTAAGGTTGAACAGACAAAAGGGAAATTACAGAACAAGTGCTAATCAAACATTAATTCAGCCTGCTGGTTGGTTCTGTCAGTCTTTCTTGCCAATCATAACAGTATCAAAACTGGAGACATGCGGCTTTTCTTTCCACCATCTTTCACCTCTCATTCTCTTTTGCTCCCACCCCCATGGACAGAATGTGTGCATGTGAGACAGTGAGAGACTTCTTGTTTCTCCAAACCTGACTTGTTTCCACAGGGAAGAAGCACAGGCCTGTAATGTGCAAAGGGAAGTGAAGTGGCTTTTTTGTACTACTGGGAAGCCAACAGCTAGAAAAGAATTTTCTTTGCTAGGGAGAATGGGGTGCATCAACAGCTCATTTTCAGAGGTTTGTACTTACAAGTCAAATACGAGGAACATGAAGGTGGATGTCTCATAGGAATCTATAAGAGTAACTGGGAAGAAAAAGAAAAGGATTATTGCTTCAGCATTTTGGAGGGAGGCACTGTGAAACTCAACCCACTTCTGCTCAGCAAACATCAAGCATCTTGCCAACTTGAGAGAAAAATCGGGTGGGGGTTGTTTGTTTTTTTGTTTTGCAACACCCATTTTGAAGTGGGCTATGATTTTAATTTTACTTTAAATGTTTAAAGAACATTTGCATAAATCCCAGCCACAAATAGAGTCAATTCTAGACACAAACTGAAGCTGAAATGTATGTAAATTTCCCAGGCTTTAGCGCACCCCGCCCCCCTGCAAATCATGGCTTGCTTCAAAAGTGAAAAAGTGCATATTGGTTCAACTCATGTCAGGGCAAGTTGGCACCAACAAGTTGACAAGAATTAATTTGGAATGCTGAGCTGAACCAACATGTCATACTTTGATCCTTACCAGATTCCTTGCCTATCCCTATTTGGCAGTATACGTAGGAGACAGAAAACAGCACTAGTGGAAAACCTATTGACAGAATACTATTACTGCAAGAAATGTACAGTGACAACAGCCATGCTTTCTGTCATCTGTATTTTTTTTCTTTACTTGCTAAATGTGAATCTAGCTTTTCTACTGCTCATGATGCTAATAAAAAATGAATAACAAAATTTTAAAATTTCCAAACATTAAAAATGTGAAACATGGCATGTAAGACAGCAAAAAAAAAAAGCCAGTTCTTAAGCCAATAGCAACCTATTTGCAAACTCATTCCACTACAATTCCAGGTAACTTGTTTGCCCATTAAAGGCTGTGGTACCGAATTAGGATTTTGGGAGTTAAACCCATTCGGTGATGGTGGAAACAAGTACAGATACCAACAGGGAACTACCGGGATAAGTTCCTCCACAGTGAGATGTGCCCAGATACTACAGGCAGGGTTAACAGGAGGGTTCCATCTCCAACACAGAATTAGCAAAATGTTGGAGTTTTGGTTAAAGCAGGAGAGGGCAGCTTGTGGCCCCTGTGACTATTTTTATGCTCATGTCACCTTCCTGCTATTGAACTTGCTGCTGCCGCTATGGCAAAATTCACTGTGACAAAACATCTATAACAATTTTGGCAAGAGTAGGATTTGCCCCCAGCAGCAGGTTCCAGGGAGTGCTATGCAGGGTCTCCAGCCCCAAGTTAGGGAACTGAGCAGCCATCAAGGGGGTGTCACTCACTGATGAAGGGGTGGCCAGAAACCTGGCGCAGAATAGCGATCTCTTTGCCCGTCGACGTGCGCACTTCCTCCAGCTGTTGAGGGGTCATGCGCTCTGGGGTCACCTCAATAATCTTGACAGCATATTCCTGGCCTGTCTGCTTGTGAATACATCGCCGGACCACACTGCTCACACCCCTACAGCAGAGGGTTGTGGGGTAAACAAATTCCCAAGAAAGAGAGTTTAAGTTTCTACACAGTTAGGATAAGGATGGTAGTGATGGTGGGGAAATTCAGGGATCCTCCCCCTCCGGGCCCCTCCTTGCATGATGTCCCATGCCAGCCCCACCCAGCTAGCCCTTACCTGCCAATAACATCCTTGGGGTCATATTTCTGATAGAACTCCTTGGCACCAGCCCAGTCTGGAAGTTCATCATCTAAACCCACGTCCCGAGTCATCGCACCTCAGGGACAGGGTGGGTGGGGTGGGTCACAATGTCTGTAAAGCAAGAAGGAAACGAGCGTGTCAGAGAAAAACCTGTCAAATAACCAAAACCTTCAAGGACTAACCTACTTCAAGGCAGAGAAGCCAATATCCCACGTGGGGAGGGACCACAGTGTATGTGGGAAACAGGACACAGATGTAAAACAGCAGATGAACAGAGAAGAGGGCCAATAGAGAAAAAAGGCTGAGGGAATGCAGTTGCAGGAGAAGCCTGCTGTGCGCATGTAAAGACACCTTCCAGTCTCCTTCAGGAGCTGGGGACTGAGGCTGAGTGACAGAGCACATGCTCTGCATGCAGGTCCTACTCACAGGTCCGATGCCCAGCTCCTCCAGTCAAGGCAGGAAAAATAGGACTCTGAAACCCTGGAGACCATAGCTGCCAGTCAGTGTTGCCAATGCTGGGCTAGATGGACCAATAGCCTAACTATAAGGCCTACCTTGCAATGTTGTTGAAAAGGTACTGAGCCAGTGTGAGCCTTTTGAACTCTGAAGAAATCACTCTATAAAATAGCAGCTGCTTTACTGATTATATTGCCAAGTTTGTAAAGGTTGAGACAAGGTACCCATGAAATACACCCTGTCTATTGGGGAAGCCCTCTCCTCAAATCCCAAAACCCAAACAGGTGTTTCAGGGACGCTCATTAATAGGGTACTGCCTTCTGCATATACTCAGAGGCATGCTATTCCGATATTTTGGGACCAGGGCCTAGCACAAGCAACAGGTTCCAGGGCTGAACTCTGCAAAGCCTTATTGCGTTATGAAACATCCCGCACGTTACCCAAAGAGTAATTCAGCCCCTCCGCTCTTTTACGTGGATTCCCCACTACGTAATTAGGCCCCGCCCCGTGCACGCGAAGGGACTCCCCGACATCCTCACCCGACCGAACCTTTGCAGGGATTCAGTCAATGACCCCAACAGCAGCCGGCGACTTCCACGCTCCGCCTCCTTTCCTTTCCGATTGGTCCGCGCTGCTTCGAAGGAGGCGTTGAATGACAGCGCCAACTATCAATAGACGGAAGCGTGCTGCGGGAAGTGTCCCGGCTGGAGAGGGCAGTGTCCAGTAAGACGACGAGTAGATAGGAAGACGAAAAGGGGCGGGCTGTCGCCGGCAGTGTCGAATCAAAGAGAAGGTGAAGAATTTGGAAGGCGGGGATTAAAAGAGGAAGCGACTGTTTTCTGCTCGGTGCCGAAGGAGGAGAAGAATGTTTGTTATTGGTAGTCAAATGAGCCAATAAGATGCTACTCGAGGGGTCGCGCCGCAGGGAGGAGTTCAGATAACAAGTCCGGGAGGTGCAGTGGCCAATCGCGAGCAGAAGGGGGAGGAACCTGGCTAGAAAGGCTAACCGGGTTTCCTAATCGCGAAGGTAAAGGTCAAGGTGAGGACACGGTTCTTATTGCCCTCCTTCAGCGCTTGGACGTGTGGCTACACAGCAATACAGAGAACCTCGTTCCGTGGTGATCGCTTGACCTGGCCCTCCACCCAATTTTATCTTCACAACAACCCTGCGAGGTAGAGTAGCCTGGAAGAAGAAGTGACAAAGTGGCATACAGGGCATTTGACGACTGAGCGGGGCTGTCTCCTACTCTACCGATGACTTGGGCTGGGAAACGTGTGGCCCTCAGCCGCCATCATTCCTGACCACTGGCCATGCTGAGTGGGACTGATAGGAGTTGCGCTCCAGCAGCAGCTAGCAGGCCACACGTTTCCCACCCCTGACCTAACCACTGCACACCATAATGGCTCCTGGGTTCCTGATGGGTCCTTCCATTTTGTGCCAGTTAGATTGAGCAAAATCTAACAGCAAAAATATTAAAGAGCTGTTGTTGTTACTATGATCCCATCTTTCTCCCAAGGAGCTGAAGGCATCACATTCTTTCTCTCCATCCCCTCTGATTTTATCCTCATTTCCTCTCAAGCGTTCTATTAGGGGACCAGGCTGAGCAAGGCAATGACTGGCTCAAGATCCCCAGACAGCTTCATAACTGGGGGAGGTTTGAACCCAGAGCTCCCCAGGCCAACCATCTACCTGCTGCACTGGTTCTCTATGTTCTCTCCCCTGCTGGTATATGGTACGACATCCATAGGGTAAGAAAAGATGGAAGCTGTTACACAGTAATTAGTCGATAGAACACAGACATCCCAGGAGTAGCTGCATCTGGGCATAAAGGAAAGGATTGCTTGGGCACTAAAGAATCCCTTTCCTTGCATCCAGGCACATTGGATGATTTGACTTCTAGCTTAGGCTGTTGCAGCAGAAACATTTCAGAGTTTTCTCAAGGCTTCAGTCTCTCTCTGTCTCTCTCTAGATTAGGGAAACTTCCTGGTGAGCTGTGAGAATTATAAACCTTGGGCATGATATATCTGGATTTCAACAGTCCTTTTACAAAGTGCCCCATGATATCCTGATTAGCAAACTAGCTAAAAGTGGGCCTGAGGGAATAACTATCAGGTAGATTCACAAATGGCTACAAAGTTGGCTCCAAGGGTGCTTCTCAGTGCAGCTTCTCAAACTGGGAGAGAGGATGCGTGGGGTACTGCAGAGTTCAGTCCTAGAACCAGTGCTTTCTGACATTTTTGTTAACCATTTGGATGAGGAGGTACAGAGAATACTTATCATATTTGTAGATGACACAAAATTGGATGGAGTAGCTAATACCCTGGAAAATAGAAACAAGATTCAAGATGGTCTTGATAGGTTGGCACTCTGGGCTGAAAAGTGCAAGCGGGCCAGAACCAGTCTTATATATTCAGATCTACGGGTCCCAGTTATTAATCTGGCTGTCACGTTCTGCACAAACTGCAGCTTTTGAAGTCTTCAGAGATGTAGCTACAGAGAAAGAAAATGCTAGTTTGGGCTGCATTAACAGAGGTATCACATCCAAATCCCATGAAGTACAGTGCTAGTTCCTGGCTAAGCAACACTGCTTAGGCTTCATCAATGACCAATGCTCTAGGGAAGTTGTGGGGCTTTCCCACACTAGAGGCATTCACGATGCAGTTGGATAGCCATCTGTTAGGAATGCTTTAACTTGCGGTCTTGCACTGAGCAGGGGGTTGGGTCCAGTGGCCCTCTGGCCCCTCCCAACGTTCCTATTCTACGATTCTATGAGGGCAACAAAGGTGCCCTTAGGATCTTCAGGTTCAGTCCTCTGCATGTTTAGACAGGAAAATGTCCTACAACTCCAAACATTCCCCAGCCAGCCATTTTCAGCATTCCTCATGGTACTGGTTTCTGAAGACAGGGTAGGTTACTCAGCTGACTGGGACAACTCCATTGTCTTCTAATCTTAAGAACATTTAGAGGAACAGTTCTTCTCATGAAGGATTTGATTATATTTCAGAAAGAGCTGCACCTTAAACATATTCATGAGCAAGTACTTCCTTGTTTTTAAATCATATTTATTTCTAGTAGATTGTGCTCAGTTGTATAGTTAGTCATTACAGGAAGTACAATGGAGCAGGCCTTTCCCCCACACCGTTTGCAACCCACTGCTCCCTTTCTTTCTTGTGGTTGACAAGGAGGTAGCATTTTTGCATTCACGTACAATTCAACCTAATGATATTTTTAGCTGAACTTCCTGATTATTATTATTAGTCTCTTATATCCTTTCAAAGAGACACACACTTGCGCACATTCTCATGCCAACAGAGGGTAACACTTCATGAATCGGATGTAATAGACTCTAGCCTACGAAAGCTTGAGCTTGTAACAGGTTGTTAAGGCGCCACGATGCACATCCTTCTTCATTCTACCTGCATTGCTGAAAGACTGTAACTATCTATAAACCTGATCTGACAAAAGATACTGCTCATCCACATCAGCCAGAGTGGCGGGAATTGTCAGTGCCAGTTTTTCACATTGCTATTTTACAGGAATCTGTATTCAGGCTAAGTAGCATTTACTACAAGTGGCTTATCTTTGAAAAAGGGTATGAAACAAAAAGTCCATTACAGTTAACGGTAATAAGAAATACAGTTCTGTACCAGAGTCCATGCTACCTGGGAATGATGGCACTTGCAGTCGAACAAGAGAGATTGGAGAAGCTTGCTCTATTCCAAGTGCCAATAATGATTTTCTTCCTGTGGAGAGCTCTCGTGTGCAGAATTATCTTATTTTATTTGCTCTCACAACAATCCTATGAGGTTAGGATATTGCATGAACAAGTGAGGTGGAGAACAGTGGGACCCAAAAGAGGCTACATCCAAGAAGGGATTTCAAGCAAAGTCTTCTAAGTTGTTTTAGCCATTCAGTCAAAAGCATGTTGCGTAATAGACATCCAACCAACGATTAAAAAAACACCAGACCACAGCAGCAGGATAGTTTCTGATGGAAGAAAACAGCACAAAAAGGAAATGAAAGCATATCCTGTGCTTCCGTTTTTTGATACTCCATAGCTCTAAAGAGCTGCTCTCCAGCGTGTGCACGTTTTCAATTGAGAAGTGCCCCAAGGAGGACCTTGATGCACCCCAATAAGATGTCTGCAAATACAAGACAAAGTAACAACTGCTCTCTTCTCTGATGCTCACAAAGCCAACGGAAATGAGACGGCACCATGGCAGGCAGTCTTGCTTAATGACCTCTTAGGATATATCCTGATGGGGAAAATACAGTAAGAAACAGAGATCTTGGAAGTTCAAAGTCACATGTTGGTGTGGGTCATCATTCAGCTTGTGCGAAGATGTAAGAGACGAGGATAACTAACAGGGGCACCAGAATGAGAAGGCACAGCCAGACAGCAATGCTGAAGACAGACATAAGCCGGGATTTCCGGGCCCAGTAAGCTGCAACATCTTGGGAACCGGCTTTTTGCTTCTCACTTGCCTAAACAAGAGAAAATTGAGAGTCATCAGAAAATTAGTTGCTAGAGTTTTGAAGAAAGTCCCTCTGTATTCTGAGTTTGTTCCTGTTAGCCTAACCTTTCTTAAATGCACTCACCTGCTGAAGTGCATGGTAGAACTACCAGAATTTTTTGTTTCTGTTTTTTGTGCTGGACTGCAACTCCAAGGGTCCCCCAGCCAGCCATCTTCCCATCCCCAGATAGATTTGGCGCTACACCCAGTACTTATGAACCATGCGAAGTGACCTGGGAGGAAGGTCAGTTTGGACAGGAAAATTTATTTTTGTATTTCTTTAGGGAATCTCTTTCTCAGAGCTATCTTTTCATTGAGGAAGCCCTGATGTCCCTTCCAAGGCACCTCAGGTTTCTCTGAACCACCTTTTTCTGAATCACAAAGCCACACAGAAAATAAGAGCTCTCCCTTTCTCCAGGATATGACATCTTCACCAAACATTCCTGGCAGCTTCCTGGCATAACAGGTATGTAGGAGATTTCAGTGCAGTGAGTGCTAACTTGGGTGGGGCAGAGATGAAGTAATTCCTTTTGTCAGTAATGCTCTGCTCAAGGGATATTTTGCCCAGACAGACTTAAAATATACGATTTATTTAGAAAGTAATCTGACAGAACCCACTGTCCAGTTCCCAATTTCACAGAAACTCCTAATTATCAAAGGACAACTTGTTTTTAGCCAGGGGTTTTTGCCATATAAAATAAATAGAGTGAATAGTCCAGTGCTTTTCTCTTTGAGGTATGGTTCTTTGAAGGAAGCGATTCAAGTGCGAGCCAACTATAAGCTATAGCCAGGAGCCCTTAACATTTCTTATTACCTCTCCTTGAACTCCTAGGAGGTAGACCCAACCTGCCTGGAATGCATATGCAGCCTATTTGTTCAGCACAAGGATGGGGAGGGCAAGGCTAGAAGTATTTGCCCCCCAGGAGCGAGTGTGGGGGAAACAGTGCAGCAGCCCACTCAAGAGCCAGGTGTCCACCACCATCAGCGAGCCAGAGAGGTCACAGAGGAATCTGGGGCAGGCACTGACCTTCCTCACAAGTTTCCCCTGAGGATGAAATGGAGAGGAAGAGGAGGCAGAGCAGCCTGTGGTTCCTTGCAGGAAAAAAGTTGGGCTAAAATCATAGTTAAAAATAAATTAATTCTAGGAGTCCAAAGGGCTCCTAAATACCTCTGAGCCCCATGCCTGGAGAAATCCCTGCTACTGAATGGGAAGGAGCCACAAGTGAAGCATCCTCAGGGGAGTTGGTGGCCAGAGCACTCCCCCAGTCCCTGATGCAGCCTCTCCCCATCAGGGATACCAGGGTGCAGCAAAGCAAGGTCCCAGGAGAGATGCCAGACACACAGTATGTTGGCCGGAAATCAGATTGTGTCCCTGATGTAATTTGACCCACAGGTGACTGGGGGGTGGGGCCATCCACTTCGTTGAAGTTGCCCACCTGTTTTATGACAATGCAGGAGTAGAAATACAAAGTCAACCATCCTGTCTCCCTGCTGCCCCCCACAAGTTCCCGTCACAGGAACATGTAGCTCACCTTGATGGCATAGATCAGTGCAAGGACTCCGATGCAAGAACAGCCACAGATGATGCTAGCTATTGCCAGATTGCGAAGTTTGTGCAAATGCAGAGGCGGCAGCTTTGTAGGGTTATCCCCCTGGGTGGTGCTTGCTGTGGTCATTGGAACCATCTCTGCCCCATCTTGAGCAAATCCTCCATTACTGAGCTCCATCTCTTCTCCCATGGCAACAGGTCCATGTAAAGTTGCTTGAAGAAGGGTGCTGTGAGGATCCTAGTCTGCTTTTGTGATTCAGAATTCAAAGCCAGGAGGTGATGACAGCCAGCTGAGAATTTGCTCTGGGAGACTGTTCTGAATCCCACCTGGATGGTTCCAAGAAGAACTCCCTCTTCCCCAGACTCAGCCTCTCTTGCATAAAGCAATGGGTTGTTAATGATGCCAGACCTCACCAGATTTTTGCCAAAAGGAACGTGGCATTTTAAAACACCTTTCACCAATAAAAGGCATTATATGAATGACAAGGTCTTGAGGATTCATCCATCTGAAGCAATCTTTTAAAAAGAAGCAGGAGCACCAACTGTGATCCTCTAAGCTTTCCTGTAAGCCATTGGTACTTCTTTATCAATAAACTTTGATTTCATTCACCATCCTGAGTGTGCATTTGTAGTCCCTCGTTCAGCTTTACCTACCAGTCTAAACCCAAATTAGCACAGCACACACGAGTTCTGCGAGCCAAACTGGGTTACAGTCCTCAAAGGTGTAGCATGACCAGTTCATTTTCTATAGCTTTTTTACGATTCTGTTTGCTTCCCTGGGAAGTACCATGAACATATTTCAACTGCATGTCATCAACATGCTGCTCTGGGATTGGCAGCAACAGTACAAAAGGAAACAACTCTTATCCGAGAAATGGCTCAGACAAGTTCAAATATAGGCACGCCTCAGCACATGGCGAGTTTCACACAAGATTCCCACTATCAGGCAATTCAAGGACAGCTAAGAAACCAGTCTGTGCACATTCTTGCACCCTGTGACAGAAAACTTTCCAAGGCCTGTGCAAAACCATGTCAATTATTTCGAACTTCCTTTCCCTCTTTTAGAGCTGCACTCTGAGCTTGAGAAGTATCTCCATATTCAATTATTCTAACAAGCAAATAGCCCGACTGAGGTGGCAAGAGCACTCTTGTTCATTCCTGTATGGTTTGGCCCATCTTGCTGAACCTGGTGCTACACCCTGCAGGGTTCCTGACTGTGCTGGCTGGGGCTGATGGGAGCTGAAGTCCCAAACATCTGGAGGGCACTTGGTTGAGGAAAGCCAATTTTAGACAACATAACGAGTGCACGACCTGCTCCACCTTTGGGTGTTAGGAAAGTATGTTGATTCTTGGACAAGGGTGGGAAACCGGTGACCTTCCAAATGTTGCCAGACTACAATTCTTTATCATTCCAGGCCACAGTCCATACCAGCTGGGGCTGGTGACAATTACAAAAGCAGCAACATCTAAAGGCTACAGGCCTAAGAAAATGGTTCAGACCCAGCATAAAGCCTTGCGGCTTGGCTGCCTGACTGTTCAGAGAGGTGCACTACTACCCGATTATCACTTGATCCTGGGGGAAGGTTGAGGTGTGCTACTCATTGTTATTACTCCAGTGCAAGACTTGACTCCCCAGAGCTGAGGGATCATAGGTACCATGCTGTTACCTATTGTGTGAAGAAAATTTTGAGAGGCAAAAGTTAAGTATGCTTCCACTCTTGTGCTTTATTTGAATGACCGAAGACAAACGGGTTAATATTATTTTTATTCGTTGTGGTGGTTGTTGTGCAATACAAAAGTAACCAAACCATGCTATTAAATGCGGTGGGAGGGAGAAAAGGATAAACAATTTTTGAATCAAATGTAAAAGATCCATAGCACTAATTGCATGTATATTATATATATGTATATGTTAACACGGAACATACTACCAGTAAAGTAATTATGTGTAGACTTCAACAAAGCACACTCCCCAAATCCATATATTTATCCATTACACCTAAATGCCACCAGTTCAATAATTGAACAATTAAATAAATCCTCCACCCATTGTGTTATTATAGGTGGCAGTTTATCCCTCCAAGGTTGCTGTATTAGTCTCTTAGTTGTCAAAAGAGTGCAGAAATTTAGTTGCATTTACCTTGCATTACATTCCAAGAGATGGCAAGATAATTCAAAAGAACATGTGTATCCTTGACTGTAAAAGAACTTTCCATTGTAAGATTTATCTGATTACCTTCTCCCAAAAGGAAGCTGCCAAAATTGGGATTGCCAAAGCACGTTGAGAACCACCGCATTACCAGCATCGCACTTCCACTAATTGGCTGATTAAGCTTCCATCAAAAAGATGTTGTGGTATCCAATATACCTGAAACATTTTTTTTTTTTTGATGAATTAAATGTAGCCTAAAGGATGTTTCACTGGAGACGAAGACCAAGATCATCCATGCAATTGTATTCCCCATCAGTATGTACGGGTGTGAAAGCAAGGCAGTGAAGAAAGCTAATGGGAAGAAACATGGTGCTGGAGGAGAGCTTTGTGAAGATCCGATTCCAACAGAACGACCAAGTGGGTCCTAGAGCAAATCCAGCCAGAACTTTCTCTGGAAACAAGTGATGAAACTGCCATAGTTTTAGGCATGTCATGGGAAGGCAAGACTTACTGGAGAAGACAAACATGTGAATGACTCAAAGGCAGAAGAGGAAGACCAACTTTGAGATGGAGCGATTCCATAAAGGAAGTCACCTCCTTGTTTTTACAAGAGCTGAGCAGGACAGTCAAGAACGGACCATTTTGAAGGGCACTTGTTCACAGGGTTGTCGTACTGAAGAACTCCATTGACTGGGCAAGATGGGGTGCTCCAGTGTATTATTCCATTCTTGGTTAAGTCCTTGTGTATCATATTTATTCAATGATAATAGATATTTATAGAAATGAATTGCAGGCTGATACAGCTGTTCAGCCTCAACCAATGCTTCCAACAACACAGGCAGCTCTGAAGGCATAAAAGCAGCAGGACCAGACCTGGATTCTAATAAATGTTTCAAGTGCATGTATTGCCATGTTGCTGTAGCTGCGTAGAACTAGCACACAAAAGCAGGAAAATATTATCAGGACTGACACATCCATCTAAAGCAAAGATCAGCCTGCCATCCAAGTCTGCCAAACAAATGTTTTCTTGTTCATTTTAAAATCTAGATTTCCCCATAAAGTTGACAGGTAAAATATTTCAAACTGCAACTGATGTGAAAATATACCCACTGCTCTCTGGCTGCCACAAGCAGAGGCTACCTTGCTCATTTTGGTAGGACAAGAGCCCGGATGCCGTCCACTAGGGAAGAGGAGCCAGAAAGGAAGATGCCAAAACTGACTGAGATGAGGAATCCAATCCAAGGGGAAAAAACTAAATCTAGTGCAAGTCAACAGACAGGCTTAATAGTATAAGGACAGGTTAAACAGTCCAGATCCACCCTCTGACTGAAAGTTGCATCCTTTTTGATATTTGTGGTGCACTGGAACTGCGTAATAATTTACAAAACAAAACATTACACTTCTGGAAATGCTTGCCAAATATATAAAGGAATTCCATATAGAACATAAAGTGAGGTATTACATTCATTGTAAGTATATTTACCCTGCTCCATAGACTTAACTTTATAGATACCCATCTGTTAATGTCCCTTAAATTCATAATTTATGATGTTTCTTGGAACAAGTATTCCCAGATATATTATTAAACCTCTAATTGCCAGTTAGATAACAAACTATGTGGTATATATTCCCCAATAGTCATGACTTCTGTTTTTGACCATTTAAAACAGAAAGTAGATAAATGTTCAAGATCATTCATTGTCTGCTTCAAAGCAGGAACAGATGAGTGGAGTTCAAAAAAATAAAAGATCAGCAGCATAGAAAATAAGCTTATATGCTAGTGCACTAATCACAAATCCATGGATATTAGGGTTCTATCAAATAGCACATGCCACGTGCGCCAAACATAAATTAAGTATCAAGGGGGATAGAGGACATCCCTGCCTAGCACTTTTCTTTTCAGTAAAATTCCATTGGCCCTTACTCTGGTTCTAGGGCTTTCATATTTTAACTCATGTCTTAAATTCAACAGGAAAACAACTTCTCAATGTGGCAATGATAAATATCAAATAAATTTTATCAAAGGCCTTCTCTGGATCCAACTAGATAATTGCAGTTGTCTTTTCCATCCTCATTTAATGCAATCAGGTCCACAAGCAATTTCAGCTCCTTGCCTATTTTTAATGAATCTCACCTGGACAAGTTGAATTATGGCTTGTAGTCTTTCAGCCAGAATTGCTGTATTTTAATGTCAACATAGATCAATAAAATAGGTCAGTAATTAGGACAGTACATACGACTTTTCTCAGATTAGGAATTACTGTAATAATAGCATAAATGAGCACTGATAAAAGAGAACCTGAAGCAAAAATACGCAAGCAATAATGTTTGGGAATACAAAAACTGGAAATGTTTTATATCACTCAGTTGGAAATCCTGTAAGACCAGGTGCTTTTATTGTTTTCATGTTAGTTATTGCTTTGGCAACTTCATTAATCAGCAAAGGCACCATTAAAATGGACTCTGAGACATATCTAGACAGGGAAAATTAATTTGTGGGGTGCGATTTATATCCTCCTCTGCTATTTCATAACCACTATTGCCACGTTGGGATGACCAAAAACTAGTAAGCTGACAGAATTTTCTCTCACTGCGCAGGTGCCGCACCCATGTGTGAGATGCACCGAGACCTCAACGAAGAACCACTACTGCCAATTTTTATCTTTAGGATGAATTAGTATCTTGCCACTATCATCTTTTATTGCTGAGATAGTTTGATGTTTTTGTTGTCAAAGGCAACTTGCCAAAATTATAATGAACCTCTTAGCATTCTCTCAATATCTCTGTCTTAAACAAGCTAATGCAAATTCTACCTGCTGTGGAAAAAAATTGTCCCGGTCTTATCTAAAAGGGGTTAACAGTATGAGAACATGTATGCTTTTTGAGTGAACGTCAGCAGGTAGATGAAATATGGTGTGCCGGTGGAGTGGCAGTTACTGCTCTCCTTGGGAGGGGAATACAAGGCCAGGTATGTGTCTTAAACAAAGATGGGAACAAAATCAGCCCCACCTGCCTGAAGAGCTGCACATTCTAATGATGCCCATTAGTTCTGAGCTTGAACAGAGCTCTCTGACTTTTTACTGAGCAGTGTTCTGGAGAGAGCTGTCAAGAGGCATCCCAAGTTCACTTGGGGAAGTCTGTCAGAACAGTGACAACACGAGTGTCTTCAAAAGAGCCCGAGGAACACAGCAGTGAAGCAGCGGCTGGACTGGGAAGCCAAGCTTGAGGCGGGCAAGGCATCGGGCAGCGAGTGAGTGTGGAGGGGAAGCCTCCAATTCAGGAAGAGCAGAGGCTGGGGGAGAGATGGGGAAGTGGGGTAGCTGCTAGGCCAGACTGAAGACTTCAAGGGAAACCCGGTAAGCTATTAAATGTTTCAACCCTTATGGGAGTATCAACCCTTCACCGCCAGGCCAGTTAGTTAACTGTGCTGGAGCCTCATACAGGAATTGACTAAAGTTTGTTTCAGATTAGAAACCAGTAACAATATAGCAGCTCTATTTTTAAAAGGCTCTTAAAGGGTTTTACTCCTCTTTAGTAACACATTCATCTTTATAACACATACCTTTGTCCAATGAACGTCTAGCTGCCTTATGCAGAAGTTGTGTATTAAATGAAGGGGGTACAGATTTAAGGTGGCTGTGGAAAAGATGGTTCAGTGGTGAGGGATGATCCTCCACACCAGATAGGAATGGCCCTGTAAATGCTTCTTCGTAAGCTTGCTAGAAGGCACCCCTCAAGCTGTGGACCAGAAGAGTGTAAGCAATGCAGGGAGGCTCAGATTTCACATTCTAGATGGAGAAGGCCTCAGGTGAGTCAGATTCAATACCATGCACGTTCCTTTCTAAATTACATAGCAACCAAGTGCAGTTGTATTTCCACTCCCAGTACACAAACACACACCTGAAAAATTGGCAAGTCTCCAAGTTTCAGTGAGGAAGGAAACCCCCTTCCTTTCAGGGCATCAGCTTGGCCACTCCTGCCATTTATGCCCATATTCGGTTACCTACCTTGCATAAAGCACAAACCCATATATCATTCAAACAGGAATGGCAAGCCAACAGTGGCTTGGAATTTGGATGTGGAAGACAAATACTAACCCACAGTATACTAATTTGGATGTAACAGCAAATTCTATTTTACACTAGATGGAAGCTGACTACTCAAATGTGAGTATGCTGACATACGAAGCTAACTCACATATAACAAAATGTGTTTTAAGATTTTAAAGAAACTTAACCGAATGGCTGAAACACAGTAAAGCACTGCTCTCCAGTGTCATCTATGGCTGGGATTAATGATTGTGTTTTGGAGGCTTGGATTCTATCCCTACCTTGTATTTGTATTCTTAGTTTCACTAACTTGCATTCTGGAAAAGAACCATGTTGCACCTGCTCATGCCCACCATGGCAACCATTTTATTAATGGGCAAACCCTGCCCCCATGGGAGTCATTTTGTGAGAGCATCTGTAAGACTCACAGTTCCAGATGTGCCAGCCCACGGGGTGGGGATCCCTGAACCAAACCTTGATTTCATGCATTGCCTGACTGCCAGTTCATCTTCCAGGAAGACTACAGCAAGGAAGACAGAAGCGCGGGAGGCTTCATTTACAAGAAAGGCTCCACAGACCCATATGGTGTGCTGTTGTTGTTTTTTCCTTTTTTTAACACTTTATTCATAGCATTATTCTGAAGAAAGATTACATCGGTCTTCTGTACAAGTTCTGAACATGCTTCAGTAGGAAAGACAGCTCCATGGGAACACCTCCCCCTCCACCCCACTGCACCCCTCCCCCAAACCAGAGAACCACTGCCACCCCCTAATCCCACTGCGGTGGGGGAGGGGAGGGAACGTTGTGCTCCCCTATACAAAATAACCTTTGCATAGATTATGTTCAAAAGAACCTATTTTACATTGAGAGCTGTACATAGAGGCAGGGAAGGGGAGGGGGATATGACCCAACTCAGAAGCCCATAGAGAATTCTTGGAGCAGTGAGGCTGCAATATACATAATTAAAAATACAAGTTTTCTTCTGGAGGTGACACAAAAAGTGAGGGCAAGACCTTACTGGAACAGGCCTTGCCCCTCATATTTTGAGAGCCAACTCTCTCTCCTCCTCATGCCTCAAGAGGGCCCTAAGTGGTGAACGGAATAAGCAGAGACAATCAAAAAGGGATAGCCAGAGAACGGGGACCCAGCATTTGGTCACTGTCATTTAAAAACCAACCCAAAGCCATTAAAAAAGTAAGAGCTAATTGTGTTATAAATCAGGAGGATGTCCCCTGCAGGTTTGGGTTTTGGGTGGAGGGGAAGAAGGGGCAGAGGACAGGGACACCTAGCCCCCATTGTGACGATTATAAAAAGGGAGGCAAGCGCCTATAGGCTTCCCAAAGTGGTACTGAACCAGCAGGGCATTCAGGGGTGGTGGCAGCCCTGCAGCGTTCCTCCAAGGGCCATGGCTCTGGAGAGCCACCCCCTGTGCCCCTACACACTCCACCACCAGGAAGCAGCAACATACACTAAGCAAAGTGCGGGTCTGGTCACTTCCTCCTGCAATGGAGCAGTCGAGTCACCCCCACTAGCAGCTTCAGCAGGAGTGCCCCTCGCCCCACTCTGAAAAGAGCATCCGGGAGTGAGCCACTCTCCTCCTTTCAAGTAGTACTCTAACAGTCAAGTCTGGAATGCAGGGAGCTGGGCGGGGACAGGGATGCCCCACCGGCTGCCCCCACCATCAGGAAGAGTCAGAGCAGGGGCATGGGCTGGCGGACTAAATTTGCTTACTGCCTTGTGTGGGAGAAGAGATGGCACTGGCCCATCCATCCCTGTAGAGAAGTGACAGCAGAACTTCTCACGCGGTGGTCACGTTTTGGGCTTACGGCCTCTGTTACTTAGTGAAGAGGTAATGGGGGTGCCTGGGGAGGAGACAGTTGAGGGAGAGAGCGCTCCAGTGACTCCCCCAGCTGAGGTGGAAGCAGAAGCAGAGGCAGGGCCTGTTTTCCTGGTGGGGATGGGGGAAGAGGCCGAGCGGGTGTTGTCGGCCGGCTTGGCCGCACTCCGAAGGACGCGGTCAGCCATGCTGCTCAGCTGCCGGCGCCCTCGCCCCCGCCCCCTGCCCCGCCCCCCGGCTGATTCATAGCACTGGCGCTTGGGCTGCTTGTTACCACTAGACTCTGAGGAGGACCTCAGGGAGGACTCTGACTCCCCCCCATCCTGCTCGGAGATGGCTTGGGGGGCAGGCGACTTGCTGCTGTTGCTCACCCGGCTGCCGTCCAGGGAGCAGCGCCGCTTCCGCCGCTGGGTCTCCCGTTCCAGCGGTGGAACGAGGCTGCCAGGCCGCAGGCGGGTAGAGCGAGTGGGGGTGTCGCCAAAAGGCTGTTCCCAAGCACTACTCTCGGCTGAGGAGGCCCCCTCTGCAGCAGCAGGCTTTGGGGAGGGCTGTGCTACACCCTCCCCGCCAGACTCTGGCTTCTCTTCCAGCTTGTGCCGAGCAAGCCTGGTGAGTGGGCGTGTGTCCTCACCCTCCGAAGAGCTCTGGCTGACAGTGGGCAACGATGGGCCTAGCTCATCCTTTCTCCTTCGTCTCCTCCGTTTGCGGACAGGAGGAGCAGGGGTTTGCTTCTCCGTGGAGGTCTCTTGGTCAGAGGTTGAAGCGGGAGGTGGTGCAGCCTCTACTTGAGGAGAGGGCGGGTTCTTTGGGGGCCGACCCCTCTTCCGCTTTGGTGGAGACTCTGCTGTCAGGGAACCAAGAGCAGCTTTGTGCGATGCATGAAGCAGAGGAGATGGAGAGGGGCGCTTTTGCATTTCTGTGGAAGTTTCTGTGGCAGACACTGCTCTAGGGGGAATGGCAAGGGATTCACACGCTTCTGTGGAAGATTTGGAAAGAGGTTTCAGGGGGGTAGCCAAAAGTTCTCGTGCCTTAAGAGTCGATTTTGACACTGATGAGGGATTGGGATGCATTTGGTTCTGTGGCTTAGGTGTTGCTTTTGAGACAGGAGTTGTTTTGGGACACAAGTCCAGTGACTTTGATGTTGCCTCTGGTACAGAGGTAGGCCCGGGGGATTTTTGCAGCTGCTTCTGCACTTTACGGGATAAATCAGTGATCAAGGGTTTTGTGGATGCAACTGATAGCTTTCCAGAAACAGAAGCTTTGGGAGACATGATAGGGGATTCCCGGACCTTGGGTGGCCGGCCGCGCCTTCGCTTTTCCACTGGTGAGTCATTCTCACTACTCTCGGTCTTGCTCTTGGGAGACTCACTCTTGGGTGATGACGACTCAGGTACCCTCCGCTCCATGGCCTTACTTCGCGGTTGTGTCTCGGGCACCTTCTGCTCCGAGCCCTTACTTAAGGGTTGCCCTTGAGGCATCTTCTCTGTGGCCTTACTTGAGGGTTGTGTCTCCAGCACCTTCTGCTCTGGGGTCTTACTTTGAGGTTGTGTCTTGGGTAACTTCCACTTTGGTGCTTTGCTTTGGAGGTTGATCTCCAGAACTGGCTCAGGGAGCGGTTGAAGCATATCTGGACTTGGCTGTTCAGAAGACTTATTCTTAGGGGGACGCCCTCGTTTGCGTTTAACAGGCTCTATGGAAGGGCTAATAAGCAACTCTCGTTTTGAGCTGTCATCTCTTTCCTTGGCTGCTGCCCGGCATTCCAGCTCAATTCTCCGGCGGGCAGGCAAGTCACGCAACAGTGGCAGCTCTTTCCCAGTGGGCGAGATCTCTGGCTCCGACATGCTCTGCGCTGAGCTGTTGCTGGGGCTCGTCATGGTGCTGTCAGCAGCATCCAGTATGCGGACACGATTACGGCGGCGCCGAATTAGCTCTTTCTCCTCCACCACTGTTACTAGTCGTCCAGGCAGCTTGCGCAAGACTTTGGCAGTGGGGCCATCCTGCTCCTGACAGCTCTGCCGGATTTGCACATCAGCACTAGTTCGGCGGCGGAGGGGTTTGGCTGGTGAAAGACTCTCATCTGATGACAGCGCTCCTGGGCAAGTTACTGTAGCTAATGGACTCACATGTGAAGAGACAGCACCAGTGGAGATGGTTGCGATCTCGGCTTCGTTTGGGGTCTCATCCCCAGGAAACCTTTTCCCCACCACCCCCTGCATCTGCTTGGGTGACTCACTGAGGTTGTTGGTTTCACTGCTAGCTACTGCCACCTCTGATGTTTGCAATACAGTTTCTGGTGGCAAGATTTCCAACTGAGGCTTGTTCACCAAGTTTGAAATTGGGCCAGGCAGACCTCCAGTCCTGGAAGGCTGCTCTAAACCGTTCTGTTCATCAGCACAGGGCAAAGTTTCCAGTTGAGCAAGGGAGCTAGTAGCTGCTGTGGAGTGGGCTGGAGAAGGAAGCACAGGCACCTCCGTTTTGGGGGTCTCACGATCCAGCTGGGTTGCTGCACCACTGGTGGCTTCCAGAGGGATACCCTCTGAGTTTGGGGAGGAGAGAGTAGCCACTGCCCCATCAGCACTGCTGGAAGGTGTCATCTCCTGCGAAGCCTCCTGCCTGGGTGCCTTGTCCACAGAGCTCAGCGATGCTTGCTCTGCAGTACTGTAACGGATACTCTTGTCAGTCTCTTCCTGTGGCCACAGCAGGCTCTCCTTTTGTTCACTCACAAGTTTATCTACTTCCTGAGCCGCCGTAGGTTTGCTCTCACTAGGTAGTTCGTGGGTAGCATTTAGAGGTACTGGGCTTGATGCCTTCTCTTTTGCAGCTGGGACTCCCAGCGTGACTTCACCAACAGGTGGCTTCTGCGTATCCAACAAAGTCTCAGCCACTGGAGCACATGATGCTTGGAACGCTGGCACTCCCATTGTTGGGACATTCTCAGCAACTTGGAGTTCAGAGGCTGACAGATTGAGCAGGGGAGTTCCTTCCTCTTTCTGTTCTCTCTTATATGCTCCTTGTTTGAGGACTGTCCCATCAAGCCCCTGGGAATGAAGCTGGGGGGGCTCTACCTCAAATTTGGGTGCTTCAGGCTTTGGTGGGCTCAAATGACGCCTATCTAACCCAGAAGGCTTTTCAGGCTTCTGGGGGCCTGGTCTCAACACCTTCTCCAATCCAATATGAGTTATTTGTGGGGAACTTTGGGGCAGCCTATCAGTAGCAGGCTGGGCTTCTGCTTTAAGAGGCATGCCTCGTAGAACTCTGTCCCCTGCAGATCCTGGATCAGGCTTCTGTGGAGTACCTTGCAGCAACTTATCCCCCACAGATGAAGTCTCCACCCTGTGCGGATTAGTTCTCAAACCCCTGTCACCAGAAGGTTCAGTTCTGTGTGGGGTTGTTTTCTGCACCCTCTCCCCACCAGCTGGGGTCTTAGTCCATGCTTCTTCTCGGCGGGCCAAATGTTTGCGAGTGTTCAGGACAACCTGAGCAGGCTTTTCGTCCCTCACCAACTCTCTACGCACAGCAGCACCTCGTGTATGCTGAGCCACTTGGGGCAAGCCATCATCTTCTTCATCTGTCACTACTCGGGAATGCCGAAGATTGGGCAGCCTAGCTTGGGTGGACTCCACATCTCCACTGTCTCCATCCTGTGGTGGGAGACGGGTGCTACGCAGTCTTTCACTCATGCGGGTGCCTGTCCTCTCTGAAGCAGTACGGCTAGGGACCCTGGCCTTCTTGCTCTTCTTGCTTGAGCCTTCCTCAAGGACATAGCTCTCGTCTTCATCCTCCGGTAACTTGAAAACCACCTCGTCCTTAGCCTGGTCAATATCTTTGCGGGCAGCTTCCACCTGTTCCTAGGGACAACAGACAAGATGGCTGAGTACACTTCCAAAGAATGCATTTACCCTTGCTTAACAAGTGATGCCCAGGAAGGACAGAGACCTATTTGGACAGGAGTACCAGTGAGAGGATGACTCTGGAGGCCTAAGCTCTCTTCCTCCCCAGCATGACTTGCCAATGAATCCTTCACACTACAAACTCACAGAAACAGTTGGTTCTATTAGTTTTTGGGTGTTATCTCCATGAAAGGTTGCAAATCCAGAGGAATGGGATTTGCAACAGCCTGAGAGATGGTTGCTGTGTGGCTGCCTTTTCAGAAGTTATATCAGACTGAGGAACTGACTAACTTCAGACAGAAGACAATTCAGCCGGCTAAAATTCCAGATATTGCATCCAGGGTAACCACAGTACTGGAGGCTGGGAGTTTACCTCTGCTTGCTTCAACTCCTCTCGACTGATGTCCTCCAGAGAAGCCTCCAAGAAGTTCATGGCATAGCGTTCGATAGGGGTGAGCTGCAACACAGTAAAAGACCTTCAGAGGGAATCTTTGAAGAAATATGCACGTCTGTCACTCAGAATAAGGAAAAAGGTAAGGATATGCTCAGCTGAATAAAGTTGGGAGAAAGAGAATGGGAAGCAGCGCTTCCTGGCTACTGGAAAGGGAAGACCATCAGTTTAGCGGAAGCAGTCGCACGCTTCAGGCTTCAAACCCCATCATCAACAGTTACAAGGATCAAAAGGAGCAGGGCTGGGAAAAACCTCTGTCTGAGCTTTGGAGGGAACGAACAATGCTAGATGAAAGAGCAGCTTGCGGTGGCCCCAATCAAAACACACCACCAAGAAACGATACTAATTCATGTCCAACTCCTTTAGGTTAAAGGCACACAAGTAATCCCACTTTTCCTCAAGATGCACAGAGAGATGTGTACCTGTTCTACCAGTGAAGCAATCTCTTGTTCAGCCTTAGACAGCTCCTCTTCCTCTTCCCTGCTGGGCCTCTCTTCTGCATCCAAAGGGATGTTCTCATTGAATTCTGCCAGTTCAGCCACTTGCTCTGCCTTGGCCTGGGTGGCTGCCCGGATGTCTTCAGGGTCTTCTGCCTTGCACAGTGCCTGCATGCCAGACACATCCAGGTAAACCAGGACCCTTGTCAAAAGACAACCACTGTAACTCAGCATCATGGCTGGGCAAAGGAAGCTTACCTGCTCCAGAATCTGGGCTTGTTTGGTGGCCATGGGCTCCTCTTCCTCCTCCTGTGCTAGAGCTGGGACCTCCCCTTCTTTCTTAGCTGGTTCATCTAGTGGCATATCAAACAGCTCACGAATGGTTTGCTGAGGAGCATGAAAATGAACTGGTCAGATATAAGCAGCTTTGGGGTAGCTAACTGCTTGCTCTTGGACCCACTGAAAATCCATCCTGAGGCTAACTGGGTTGTCTTTAAAATGTCTTTCTTACAGCAGACTAAGACAGCTAGTCAATTGCAATCATTCCTAAGGATGCCTCAAGATAATTCCACATTGTAAAGAAACCTCCTTATGGCGCTCAGCATCAAAGCAACATTATCCCCAAACCAGCTGTTCCATGGGCTGCACAAGCCAAAGCAGACTCCACTGGCATAGGGGGGAGCATGTAATCACACAAATACAGACATACAATTCAGCACACAGGCTTTCTAACAGTGAGAGATTTGCATGATCACCTGTTTGAAATAGGCTGTGGTGAAGTTGCCTCCCTCAATAGCCATATCTCCCAGCATCCTTTTCTGATTGGCTTTCTTCAGGATATTTTCCTCCACTGTCCGTTCACTGATCAACCTAAAGAATGAATCAGAGAGTTAACCTGCACTTTGCTCATGTGCACAGTGTCTGCGCTATAGTATCATCTCATGAGTGTGAACGTGTAATCCAAGTCTCCTTTGGAAAGGACATCCTGAAACCTCTTACGGTCATACCACCTCCTGGGGCACATGCTTCGTAAGCGAAAGGACCCCAACATGATCCTGGCATCTCCAGATATGTCTGGGAATGACCCGATTTAAAAAAAAAAACCCTGTCAAATCACTGTCAGTCAGGGCAGACCAAGGATAGGCCTTCTGGCCTTCCTCAGATTTTGGCCAGCCACTCAATTCATCCCTCCATACTGGCTATGCTGTCCAGAGTTACTGCTTAAAATAGCTGGAGGACAACAGGCTGCCCACCCCTGCTGCAGGCACTAATGAAAAGATGGTCCAGTGGTGAGACTTAGCATCAGGCAGTTTCCTCTGTCCTATGGCAATGGAACAGAGAGCCCAGCTAACCTGTAGATGTGAACATCCCGTGTCTGCCCGATGCGATGGCAGCGATCTTGCGCCTGGGCATCCATGGTGGGGTTCCAATCGCTGTCATAGAACACCACAGTGTCAGCACCGGTCAGGTTCACCCCCACACCCCCACTGCGTGTAGACAAGATGAAACAGAAGATGCGCTTGTCTGCATTGAAACGTTCCATAAGGGCCTGCCAGGGTCAAAGAAGAACCCAGAGTCAAAAACAGAATGAAAATCCAGGATCGAGACTCCTAGTTTTACTTCCACATTGCATTACACAATACCTACAAAAGCTCACACATTAGAGGATGGAGAATCTGTTACTTGCAAGGCTCTCTTTTCCCATGACTCCTAATCCCCTTCTTGCCACCCAAAAGTCTTCAGTCCTCTGACCAATGGCAAACGGTCAAACTTCTCCCTTTCATTTATTCCAAATGCAATTATTGCGGCAAATCTTTGCTAACCTATTTGACAAATAGATGCAGACCTGGATATTCTCCCTGTGGCAGCAGGATGCCATTCCTTACCTGCCGTTGCTCCACACGGGTGCTGCCATCCAGCCGCAAGTAGATGTGTCCATGATAATTGAGGAACTGCTCCAGCACGTCTAACATACGGGTCATCTGGGTGAAAATAAGGACTCGGTGGGCCCCAGCCTTGAGCTGCCGCAGCAGCACATCCAATGTCTGCAACTTTCCTACAAGGAACAGTAGCAACAAACCGATAAAGAATCATCAGTGTCTATGTGTGTGCCTACCTAAAACTGAATTGCCCAAAGCAGGGGTGGGAAACCTCAGTCTGAGGGATCAAATCCAGATCCTCCTGAAAGCTATGCCCCCTGCTGCGAACCATCAGTAAATTGGAATTTCCAGGCTTTTGTGTAGTTTTTTCTCTCTCATTCTGAAAAGCTGAAACACCCTTCCTAGGACTTAACTACTGCCAGTGAGTTTCAAGCTACAGTGTGCTGGTTAGTTGTTGGCTTTTTAATAATTTTGCCTCAGCCCGCCACTGAAGTGTCATGAAACCGAACTGGTCCTCAGTGCTCCACCACTGGTCTAAGCACAGTGCCCTCACTCCCAGCTGGAGTCACACAGACTCCACCCTGCAGCACGTACCACAGTCATACTGGATGAGGCGGAGGTCTGGGAACTGAGTCCTCATGTTGCAAATGATACGATGCAGGCAGCTGGCATGGGGCGAGAGCTCTTGACGCAGGGTCTCCTTGAAGACAGCCTGCTGGAGCAGGAGCGATGGGGGTGGGTGAGAGGTGTGCATGGTGATAGCAGGAGCCTCCACAGGAGGCATAACGAAAATGAACCTGCAGAGACAGAAGGAAGGCTAAGGGCAGTAAGGGAGGCGTCAAGACAACTTCGGAGAGCTGGAACTCTCGAGCTCCCTTCAGAGATGAACCTTGGAACGCTCAAGAACCCTCTGGAAAAGTGAAGTGCTCCTCTGCCCCCCTCCCCTGCCGCCATGTTCCTTTGCTGCCACCATCACCCTCCAAATGCCAACGTATCTGACAGAGGAAAACGCTACCTCTCTATGATGTCTCTCAGTTCCTCGATGCGTTGCTGAGGTGTCAGGATGGCCTTGGCCAAGGACTCTGATCGCTGCCAGTGGGCCTCAAGGCGCTGGGGATCCCGTTGCACTTGTGCTGCGAAGCAGTGGGCGTAGCTGGCTCCTCTCCAGCTCTGCAATTCCGTTTCCTGGGCTGTCCCCTCATGCTCTTCACTCCCCTCCTCACCCTCCTCCTTCCAGGATGGGGGAGCAGGAGGGAAGAGGGTGCAGAAGCTCAGCACCTCAGTACCATAAATGGGCACCAGGTTGCAGTGCTGCTCATTGAGGCGGAAAAGCCGGTCGAGGCGTTCCTCCTTCTGCTTTTTCCGCTTCTCTTCAAGTGATTCCTGCAAACCAGGAGGGTGCGATCAGGTGGTGGAGCCGAATCCAGCCCTTTGCTCACAACACAACCGGAGTATTTGCCAGCCCCTTGACCACCGTGCCTCCAATCCTGCCCACAGCCCCAAGTCCCCTGGCCAGGCAACTCACCAGATAGAAGGGTGACCGGGGTGGGGGAGGTGGCTGCCGCCGCGGTCTTGGGGCCAGGATGGAAGGGGGAGGGGGTGTGGGTGTTGTGGAGCGCAGCGTTAACAGCTCTGGTTCCTCCCTGGGCACTGGGCTTGAAGTGACGTGAGAAGACACAACAGGGGGCGTGCTGGTGGCGACAGTGACGGTGGTAGCTGGGGTGACAGCAAACGGAGCCACTGTGGGAGGTGAGGAAGCCGTCACTGCAGAAGGAAACAAGAGCACGACCGTCAGGGGAACAGGCAAGGGGAACGATAAAAGCGTCCCGATATTCTGATGCAGAACAGTGTGAAACCATTTTCCGACCCTCCAATCATCTGGGACGAGAAAACCCTGCCTGGGTTGCTGGCACACATGCTTACCCAACTGCTGCTCCACACCAGGGTTGGGTGCCTGGACCATTCGCAACATGGGCCTCACAAGGGCCTGCAGAGGAGCTGGAGTGGGTGTCCTCACTGGCACCAGTGGCTGAGTGGGCAACCTGACTGGTGACACAGGATTTATGGAGAGTGGGGCTCGCTGGGCCATGAGCGCCGCTGAAAGGCCGGGCAGGGTAGTGGCAGTTGTCGGTGTAGCCGGGCGCAGAGGAGCCTGCTGTGGACCCGGAGAGGGCGGTACCAAGCCATCTCGAGGGGCCTGGCGCACCACGATTTTTACCACACCAGAACTGTTCACCGCAGAGGAGGGCACTGTGAAGTCAAGGACAAAGACACAATTCGCACAGGGGCAACCCAATGGGTGAGGAACATTGCCCATTATTACTTTTAGGGCTGTTATTACAGTTATTACTTTTATGTCAGTGCAGAGAGGCAAAGCTTCATAAAGCAGAAGGCACAGAAGAGGAGTGTTGGAAGCAGTGCCTGTAAGACTCAGACGAACAGGAGTAGGAAACTGGGTGGAAGGCAGCTAGTAGCAGATGCTGGAACTCGATGCAGAAGGATGGGATGTGAGGGAAAGGAGATACAGTTGGAGGTACAGGAAGGAGGTTTACTGATCCCAGCACGAAGCCCCAGAGTCCTGGCCCTCAGCCCCACAAGCCTAGTGCTAGAAGAAAAATCCAGGAATCCGGCTGTCTACTGACCTTGAGTGGCAGCGATGGGGACACTGATGGTTGCTGTGGAGGCAACAGCGGCGGCAGCTGTGCTGGTAGCTGGGACAGGCAAGATGGTAGGGGGCTGGTGGCCTTGCACAGCCTGCACACCCACTGGGGCCTGCCCTGCTTGCTGGGCCATGGCCTGAATCAGAGCCACCTGTGCTGGCTGACTAATGATGTGATGCTGCCCCCCAGCAGAGACCAGGTGAACTACATTCCCTAGAGCATGGAGGGAAGGAGAGGGAGAAAGAGGGAGACTGAGAGAGGGGAGAGAACTGTCCGCTCAATTGCCTGTTTGGTCTGCAGGGCGAAGCACGTGTAAGCCTTCCTAAAGAGATCCCACCAAAGGAACAGTGGTCCTCTATGTCAGGCAAGGCTCTGGCATTTCTTCTATCCCTCGGGTCACCGGATGGCTCACAAAGAGGCACCAGGAGCTTAGAGGGACTTTTCCTCTCCTTCAGGGGAAAAGACCCTTCTCCCACTGCTCCCATTTCCCTTTCATCATGCCCCATAACAACCTGGTGTTACCTACTCCCTGCATGTGAATCCAGCAAGGTTCTGACTGCCTGCTTGTAGAGTTGAAACTAAATTTTGTCCATTTTGTTTCAAATAAAGAGGCAAGTAATGGGCACAGAAAAGACATTTCTGTTGCAGGACCAGTCCCCTACAGATGGCATGTGTAAGACTGGATGCTCCCTCACAGAAGCCACCTTTGTACTTAAAATTAGCACATCAGAGAGAAGGTGAGGCTACAGCTTCCCCTTCAACATGCTTGGTTAGATAAGCTCCATGCCTTTAAAAGTTATTATCATTACCACTATTTTTATTACAACCTGCCCCCATCTTACTCAAGTAATAGTTTAGAAAGACACACATCATGCAGAGCAGTGGGGTGTCATTGGAATCATGGGGGACTGGGGTTTACCTACTTGGCAGCTGTCGGGCTGGCTGAGGCATAGTGACCTGGCGCACCTGTGTACCCGTCAAAGTAAGCTTATTTCCCTGGATTTGGAAGGTGAGGGGTTTGCTGCCAGGAGCACTCTGGAGGGGCCGGTTGGCCAATGAGGCCAGCTGGCCAAGGCTTACCACTTCACCTGCTGTAGAGAAAGAGGGGTTGGTTAGGCTCTGGAAACAGCCGTTGTCAAATGCCACCTTCCTGCCATCCCCTCAATACTCACAAGGCAGCCGGGCCTGCATGTCAGGGGAAAGCAGAAGCCTTTGCTGCAAGGGTCCAGTTGCAAAATTGTAGCCTGGCAAGGCAGGTACTGTTGGATGGATGTTCACTGGCTTCATCATGCCTCCAATGGTGCCTGCAGCCATGGTGCTGGTAGACTGTTGGACTGCAGGGGTTGGGCCCAAAGTGTTGGCAGGCGGTGGCGGCTGCTGCTGCTGCCCCCCCAGGGCAGAAACACCCAAGGGGTTAATGGGCTGCTGCTGCTGCTGCCCCACAGGAGGTATGCCCAGGGTGCTGACTGGCTTGGTGCTGATGGGCTGCTGCCCCACAGAGGTGATACCCAAGGTGTTGATGGGTGGCGGCGGCTGTCCACCTACAGGAGTGATGCTCAAGGTGCTAATAGGCTGCTGTTGTCCCATGGAGACTGGCCCTCCGCCAGGCTTAAGTGAGGACGAGGTGGTTGTGACAGGGGAAAGGGGCGGGGGTGGAAGTAAGGGCCGAGGAGTGTTTGGGACCAGCTGAGCTGCAGTCATCGCCATTGGCAGAACTATAAAAAAAAGGAAGGAATTACAAACATGTTGGGGCTCCCAGATCTACCCTGGGCCTCCTAAAAAAGGAATTATTTTGCTCCAGGTAGGATAAAAGAAAGCTCTTCTCATCTGTTCTCTGTGCTAACAAACCCTTCCCAGCAACACCCATTACCACCCCACCCCAACTCAGATAGAGGCACCCCTGGTTGAAGCAGTTCTAGCACATAAAAGCAGCCTATGTTCCCGTGCAGTTGTAAGGGCTAAAAGCTTCAATGTTCAAAATTAAAAAAATCTATCTGCATTTCTGTATCAGCACACATGCACATAACAAACACATGCACACACTATTCACGCAGTAAAAATTCTCGGTGCATGGCTACTGATAACTGATTTGAAGCCAGGGTTCAAATGAACTGGAAAGAGGGAATAAACCGCCACCTTTTTCTCCCCTCTCATCCCACACTTCTGGGACCTCTGAACCTTACCCTGTGGAGCAGAGGCTTGGCCCTGCAGCAGGGCAGCAGCAGTGTTGTTCTGGCTCAGCGTAGGCACTAGAGTCTGGGTCTGTGGTCTAGAGGAAGGAGGCACCGGTACTGACATTGTCACTGGTGAGGGAGCCATTGGGATAGACACAGGGAGAGAGACTGAGACAGGAAGTGGGGAAGGCTGCACAGGCCCTGGCAACACAGGCCCTGGGTGTGGAATGGGGGCTAGAGCCGGTGGCAGTGCCTCTGGAAGCACTGGAGCGATGGATCTCTGCAGGGGGGTGGGGGGACGAGGGCTGTTCACCAGCACCACTGTACGGTTCTCTGGCTTGGGCACTGGCTGCAGCATCCTAAAGAAATGGGGGGGAAAAGACTGATTCAGCACTGGGATCCCGGTCAAACCCCTTCTCCAGTCAACTCTCCCTCCTATAGAGCAGAGCCCCCATTATGCATATCTCAAGCAAAACTCTTCCACTGTTTGTGCTCTAACTGAAGGAATAGTTTGAGTCAGGCTCTTGGAACCAGCTAGTTAAGGAGCAGCTAGCCATACTGTGAGTCAGTAGCCTGCCATCTAGATTCGGCGGGAAATAGGCAGCATCTCTCCCCAGTGTTGTCGTCTTCTTCAGGACAGGAAACTCCCAAAACATGCAGAGGTGAGGAGCCAGAAACCAAGGGAAAAGGTCTGGAGAAGCCTCTTTGAGCTTGCCAAGAATATTAATGGAGCCCACTCACTGCCCCACTTAGTTGAGGCAACAAAGAATTGAAACTCCAGGTTAAAGCTGCCCACTGAGGAGACAGGGAGAATAAACCCAGGTACCTGTTCACTTTCATCTTTACTGGTTTGGGCCTGGGAGGAGGGTCTGGGGACTCAGCAATCTCTTCAATCAGCTTCCGTGTCACCTTCCATTTGGGGAGGAACGTGTCTGTCTCATAGCGGGATACACGACCCTCCAGGTTGATCAAATCAAAAATGCCCAAGTCCACGTGCTGTAAGTAGCAAGGCCCACATGCAGGAAATGAGCTCCAAGCCAGCTCTGATGCCTTGTTTACCCACCTATGCTTTTCCCTTCTGGACCCGACAGTGGCCACCCTCCCACCCCAGTGCCTCCTAAATGATGCAAACCCACTCTCTCCCACCAAACCAGATTGGGAGGCACCTGCCTTGAAAGGGTCATTATTGAGGGCATTCAGGACGAGGGAGGCTGTGTTGAAGCAGATGCCCTCTGTTATGAATGGTGAGTGGATTGGCCGCGGGTCAAAGAGGTTAGGGTGATTGCAGACCTTCCGGAGCTGCATCAGAATGTTGATGACACTCATGAAGTGTCCAGTTGCCAAGGTCTCCTTGGTGCTGAAAAGAGAATTGGCCACAGAGAATCAGCCATGTTCAGAGATGCCAAGCAGCACAGTCCTAGTATTGGCCTCAGAGAGGAAAGGGTCGTACAGGGTTGCTCAGTGCTGAGGAACTGAAAGAACAAGTCACTGAACACAGTTCCTCAGAACTCCAGTTTCCTTTGCCAGATGCCCTGTCTACCAGACCTGCAAAATTTGGGCCACAAAGTATTACGTCACAGAAAGCCCCAAATCCTTGTTTTCAGTGCTCTCCCTATGGTCCAACTCCCCTTTTGTACTCACGTAGCCTGGGCCATGAAGTCATCATAGAGATAACGCTGGCGCTTGGAGAGCCGGCACTTGATAACATGCTCATATTTCTTTGGCATTTGCTTCTCAACATCCACTTTTACCCTCCTCAGAAGGAAGGGCCGCAGCACCTGTTAGCAGAACAACAGCGAAAATCGATCTCTTGCAAATCCCAGATCTTTTCCTATCATGTGAGCTGCCCCCTGCCAGGACTGCTCACTCCCCAGCCTACTCACCTTATGCAGTCTTTTGACCAGATTTTCGTTGTACTCCTGACTACCTTCAATCATACCCGTCAATGGGTTGGAAAACCACTCTTTAAACTCGCGGTGTGATTGGAAGACATGGGGCATCAGGAAATGCATGAGGGACCACAACTCCATCAGGCTGTTCTGGAGAGGGGTCCCAGTCAGCAGCAGACGCCTCTGGCTGGAACACAAATGCAATGGGAGGGTGAGAAGCAGTGAGGAGGTAGAGAAGAGTCCTATGCCACTCTGAGGGCAACATCACTGACTTCCCACCTGTTGAAGTTAAGCAAAGACTGCCAACGTTGGGATTTGAAGTTCTTGATGTTCTGAGCCTCATCTAAAATCAGATACTTCCAATTCTTGCGTCGAAAGGCTTGGTGATCCTGCAGCACCAGCTTGTACGAGGTGATGCATATATGGAAGGCATTGGGCTTGGTCCAACCCTGAACACAAATAGTGAAGGGGTTATGAAGTGACTAGCAAGAAGGACTCCATTTTACCCATTCTTCATCCTGCTTCAGGAAAACACCAGCTAATAAAGGCAAAATTGTCCCTCAAGTCAAACGTGTATAAAGAAATCTCATTTTGTTCCAAAATGCAGCACTGTAATACAGTTGCTTCCACACATTTTATCTACAGTCTGGTCTACTTCCGTGATTTCTACATAGTAAAGTTTCTAAACTACAAGGTGTATGGAAGCCAATTTCCAAGGATGATACATGGCCTCTGAGCCTGAGATTTAGCACCCCTGTTGTAAAGTTTCAGGGGTCCACTAAGTTGTTGATTGAGACAGAAAGTCAACAACAATACCCTTCTGCCTAAGGGAAACATTTTGCAATAAAACAAAATAACCACCAAGAGCGCATACAGAAAGGTTTTATTTTAAAATTTGTTTATTGATATAAAGAATGTTTTAAGTTTTAAAAATGTTAAATCTATGATTTAAACATTTAAATTCTATACAATTTATAAATGGGATGTACTATTGGCCATTTTGTTTCTGGAATACTGTATTCTGCTTGTTGCATTGCTCATACATTGGTTGTTTTGCTATAAGAGTTTTTAAATCTGGCATGGCTTTGAATACTTTTTCACAAATGCTACAGTCTAGAATCTAATGGCAAGGATTAAGTCCAGGGTACAACTGTCATCTCAAATGCAGTTAGAATTGACAAAAAGATGCATTTATTGCATCTTTACAGCTTATTTACTAAACAGCACTTTGTAACTGATTTTGTGATAAATGACATTTTCTAACAGTTAATATCCATTTAGGATATCTTCAGTCTTTGTTCTACCATTGCTTTTAGAATTTTCATCCATTTAGCAAATCTAATGAAACTCAGAAAATATACATTTCTTCCCTGTGAGTTGAAGAATTTATTCTTCACACCTGGACAAACTCTTTATCTGCCCTTTCGTACCTGAAATGTTAGTTATTAAATATTGCAACTAAATATACTGAAGCCACAAATATTCCCACTTCCTTGTTTGCAAATTAATACTCCCATGGCTTACCATACATTTTAAAAGTATGGAATGTCTTATTAAGAGAACTCTCTTACCCAAATTAATTCAGTCTATAATGGAAACTAGAGGAAAAATTCTAGGATTAATTAGTTGTGCTTATCCCAGAGCAAGATCTATGTTGAACTAATTTATTTCTAATCAAGCATTGCCTCTTATGGGTATACATAATCTTCTACAGCCTCCATGGAAGTAAATGTCACATAATATGCTCATTTTATTATATGGCTCTATATAAGCTAGGGATCAGGAACCTTTGCAGGTTTGATAAAACCCATGGGGGTTGTCTACAAGGCCTTGCAACTTCTTCCTCTGGTCCCACCTAAGCTTTTCTCTCCAGCCAGCAGCTGATGAGAAATGTACATTCCCCATGCTTAGTGCAGAAAGCAATTATCACTTATCAGCCACTGATCAGAGCAAAAGGTTTCCTCTGCAGGACTGAAAAGAAGAAGCTGTTGGGTGATTCTTTCCTGCTTACATCTTAGTAGAAATGCAAAAGTCTATCCAGCTTATTTGTGCATAGACATGTTTCTCATCCTTTTTAAGTTTTGCCAATTTAAATATGATTTGCCTGCTAGGGCTGAATTACACTACTTACAATTGCAACATGTGTTAGCATCTAGGTTTGGTCCTGCTGTTTATATAGCCTCAAAGTCTCTTTTGTTATTGGAAGCACTTATTGAGGCTGATCAGTTACATTGACCCATAATCCATGTTTATGAATATGTATGAATATTGGAGGTTTAACACAACTGTTACTTAGAGAGCTTTAATATATGCATACATTTCCTATGCAAGTACTGAAACTGACATGTGCAAGTCTTTGTAGCTTTTTGTTTTCTTTAAGCATTTCATGAAATTCCACAGAACAAAATTATTTAATCCTAAATACTTGATATTTATCTGATTTTATACCTTTCCAAAAGTATTTTGTATTAAATATGCTGAAGAATGCTCCTTTACATGCATCTGTTAACTCAAGTTTCCTTACATGTGCCAACTGTAATTTCTTACGTGCACAATTTATTTTATGTTTAGTTCCCATGTCCTCTGTTCTGTTTCCTATTTTTTATGTGAAGTAATGCTGAACAAACCCCTCCTTTGCCAAGAAATTTACTTTCCCTGTAAAACCTCCATTTTGTGAAGATGGGCCTGTACGCAGCCATAAAACGACCCGTGTGTTATCTTCTCTGGTTCTGGTTTCAAAGCTGGAGCAGCATTCTGCCATTTAAAGTGAATGATTTCAGCATAGCTTCTGTCATAGTGTCCCTCCTTACCAAAAATTCCATGGAAACTATTTTGCAATTGGTGTTACCACTGTCAAAAACATCTAAGTATAAAACAAGGGAGATTATGACTGTATCTTAGTTTGGCTTGTGTTTGTCTCGATCTTTGCTTCACACCCCACATATGTGTTTGGTGCTGTCCTATTTGAAGACCTGTGCTTAGATACATATATGGGAAGCTATATTAGCTTTGTTATTTTGTTTTGGAAGTGCTGTTTCTAAAGACTGCTCAGTTTTGTTCTATGTTTTCCCTTTCACTTTTATAAACGAACACAGCACCCATCATAACTGAAAGTGTGTGCTTTGTTCAAATTAAGCCTTCGGAGCTTACTTGTCACTACCGTTTGAAATAAAGGGTGCTTGATGGGCCCTTATTTCTGAAGCAACTGAGGTGCCCTGTAAGATCTGAGAATCCCAAGGCTCAAGAGGAGTTGGGCATAAAGGGTGGTGGCAGACTGCCTTGTTGGGCTGGTGTTCAGCTTGACCAATCTTTTGTCCCTGAGAACTGCAGCAACCCTCTTCCTCCCTTCACATCCTTATTAACACCTCAAATGCATTCTGCACCATTATCATATACTTCAGAGAACTAGAAAATATCAAAAGAAATTCTTATACATCCCCCACTTGGGGTTTCCATCTTTCCTGAAACAACAAAGAATTCAGTCACCAAAGTGTTTCATTGCTCTGTCTTTAATTAACTGCCAGAGCACATAAGTACAGAAGCATTATTTGATTTATCCAACATTCCCTGCCTTAGGTTTTTCCCAAATGGAACAGACACATTCTATTTATTACAACAGCATAAGGTAATTCTTTAATCCCTACATGCCAAACTTCTAGATATTCCAATTCCTAGCCATTCTCTGATCTCTTAAGAAATTATACTTCTATTCTCCTTCCTATAATATGTAGATACTGATGACACATCCACGTAGATATGGATGACACATCATATTAAAATCACCCAGAGGAGTCACCTCACTTTTTCAAAAACATCTCTGTTTTAGACTTCAGGCTTGTCTGATCTAATTTTTCTTTCCTCCACTTCTTTTTAGTAGGACCTGCAAATCTGTTAACCACTCAAAGCTTGATACAAAGACACACACTTGGAACTGAAGAAAATGGTACCCTGAGCACATAGCAAGTACAGGAATTTGTTATCAGTACTAGAATAGAACTGAGCTCACAGGTTTTTTTCACACAAGAGTCAGCTCCTAGTTAACCAAGCTTTCTTCATTTCAGCAGCTGCATTTATGCGAAGGTTATTTGCTATTGCTATTATTAAGCAACTGGGAACCAGAAACCATTGCCAGTAGATCCCAATTTATTGTCTGCTTACCCCTTGGTCTAAAACAAGTGGTAAAACATAATGTAATGACCCACCAAACTGTAATTAGTTCCATCATTGCCACTCAACATAATAGTAATGGGGTCTAGTTTTTCACTTACTAGATCAGCTACCCCTAGATTGACTTAGGAGCAGACTGATGGTGATGGGGAATCCTATTTAGAGACTTTTATGCAGGATCTTAAGACACAAAATTTTCTGAAGCAAAATGATATAATTTTACTTTTTTCAACATAGAACAATCTTTCTACTGTGTAACAAGAATTCAAACCATTTATATTGTGAGATTTAAAACCCATTTTTGACCAAGATGCAAGGGGCTGAATTCTCTCACCTGCCGCTTTAGCTTACGCTCCTTCTGTGCTCCATAATATGTGAGGATCTTGAAACTGGGGCACCAGCGCTTGATTTCCATCTCCCAATTCAGCATCACGCTGGTGGGAACAATGATCAGGTGTGGGCCCCAACTGCCTGCAGAAATACAGCAAAGAGAACTTACACACTTGCGGATGGCAAGACTGCTTCAGTTCATATCTAATGCCTGGAACAAAAGCAGCTATTGCTTTGCCACAGCCTATTCATCCCCCAAACAGAGTGCTGGCTTTCTTAGTAGTCTGGCCAAACGTTAGCAGTAAAGGGGGTGCCATGCCAATCTACAACTTTTGCTTCCCCCCTCTCATGAGAACCCACTGTCACCCGCTCTCCTTCATGACGCGATTTTTGCACTGGCCAGGAAACAAGATCCTCTCAAAGTCTCTCACCCACCCTTTTCACAGGCCAGATGTGCCAGCAGGGAGATCGTCTGAATCGTTTTGCCAAGCCCCATCTCGTCTGCCAGAATACCGTTGAGTTTCTTCTCATACATGGTGACCAACCAGTCCAGACCAATGTGCTGGTATTCTCGCAGGGTGCCACGCAACAGATAGGGAATGGGTGTCTTCACCTGAATAGGAAGATGGCAGTATTATCCGTTTGCATTATTCCATTTCAAGCCAAGCCTGCTGACCCTATGACTTACCTGTGTAGTGGCTAAGGTATAACCTTTGGGCTGCAGGCTCTCAGCTGCAGCCGCAATATCTGTTATCTCCTTCTTGGGCCCCGGGGCTGGAGTTGAGTCATTGTCTCCCTCACCACCGCGATCCTCATCCTGCTTCAACAGGTACTCAACACCAAAGTCCTCCTCCTGGTTCACTGACACTTCCGCCTCTTCCTCAACTACATCATCTTCACTTTCATCCTGCTCACTCTCCCCATCATCTGTGGATTCTAGAAGAAAATGCAGCAAAATTAGGGTAAAAAGGATCCCTATTCTACTAATATGCTGGGCCCTGCATCAGGCAGCTGGGCAACCTCTTCTTACCATCTTTAAACCAGTGCTTTTCAAACTCTTGAGAACATGTACATTTCTCTGCACAGTAAATCATTTGTTACACACCCCAACTTCCATTCAGGCAAATGTAACTGATCACAAGCACAATCTTCTGTCTCGCTAGACAGAAAAGATCTGAAATCCCAACACTTCCCAGGCAGTCATGTTGGCTAGCTAATAATTGCAGGGCTTTTCATCTGCCTAAACATGCACAGAACTGTGTCCTAAATTGTTTTTGGGACAAGCACTTCTTCAGAAAATCAAAAGCTGATTTGTGGATTGAAGGATGAATGCCTGAGGACAACGGCTCAGAAAAAATAAAGCAACAGCCAAGACGCAGAAGTTTTGACTGTGTTTTGAACACTACAAAAATCTCTCTCCCTGCTCCGTCTACCTGAATGACTACTGCTGCCCTCTTCCTCAGATTCCTCCTCATACTCTGAAGTACTGGGATCCAAGGCTTCTGATGAGATGTCTGACTCTTCGATCTCAAAGTCTGAGGCATAGGCACCAGCATACTTCTGCAGCAGTTCCTCCATGGGCAGCTCACCTGTCAGATGAAAAGAAGACCTCACATTAAGCTCACAGGTTTTGATGAGCTCTCTGTCCCCAATATCAACCACATCCTATTCGTGCTAAAGTGACCCCTCATACCGCAACACAGCCAGCACAGAGATGACCCAAGTTGTGGGTTGCAACAGGGGGTTTAGTCCTAGTACAAACTCTCAAATCTGAGCCTGGGGTTAGGTTCAAGCACTTGCTATCCTTTCTGAGCTCATCCTTGCCCAGAAGTTCAAACCAGTCTATTTATACTTTTTGTCTGCAAAAATGCTTTCTTTTCTCATAATTTGCCATTTTATTTGTTGCTTCTTGTAAACTGTCCTGAGATGCCAGTAGATGGAGAGTCTGTAAAAGCTTTAAATAAATTTGAGAAAAGCTGGAAAGGTGAAAATACTGAAACCAGTACAGGCCCTACTAAGTTTATCAACAAGCAGGTCTGATCTAATAGTCCTATTGCAGGCTCCAGGGCTACTTGAGACTTCTATGGGGTATTCCAAGAAATACATTGCTGAGAGGAGGCAGGTGCTTACCCTGGCCCTATGTCTCTTTAAGAGCAAAAATTCTGAGAATGATGATCCACAGTCCAACCTAGCAGACATTTGGAAGCCCAATTTAGTAATAGGGCTAATTATTTTCAGGGCCCATGAAGCACATATTCTGACCCCATTCACCACCCCAGCTAGGATGTGCCTCCGAACCTTCCTTGGCCAGATCATCCAGCTCTTTGCTATGATCCACATCTCCTTCCAGCTTTTCTTCTGCATCTATTGTCTCTTCTTCATCTTCAGCTAGAAGGGGAAAGATACTCTGCATTACCACATGGGAGGAAGCATTCCAGCTTTTCCCCTGCACTCCCAAATTCCTGGCACATTGTTAACCTCAACCCCAGAAGAACAAGCTCACCCTCTTCTTCGTTAGCAGCAAATTCCTCATCCTCTTCATCAGGCTTCCAGGTGGTTTTATTCCTCTGAGTAACAGGCTTTGGTTTCTCCTGCTAAGCATGAAAAAGCTTTCAGGGGACGAAGCAAGGTGGAAGGATTTCAGCATTGTGTGGCCATTGTCACACAGGCTAGAAATGACAAGGCCACAGCATGTGAGCAGGCCTGCAGAGGGAGGAACCACCACTCATGACAGTCAAGGCAAGGCACTTGCTGCCAAGTATCTGCTGCAAATGAAACTGGGATTGGATTTCCTTATCTGCAGAATCTAAATGCAGTCCAGGCCACCCATCCCAAGACATGCCTCTAATTCAATAGCACACCTTTAGATTCTTTGAGGCCTGTTTTCCTTCTAGTTCTTCTTCCTCTTCACTGTCACCCTCTTCCTCATCATCATTGTCAGAGCTGGAGACACAAGGTGACATGCTGAAAGAGTTCTCTAGGACTTGGGGTGGCAGCGACTGCAATAGTTCCTCTAAGGGCAGCTCACTTTCCTGCTTTAGCAGCTCAATCTCCCGTTGCTGAGTCTCTGAATCATTCCCTTCCTGCTGCTCCTCCACTTCAATTGTCTCCTCATCATCCGATTCCTCATGGGGCTGGAAATCCCCATCTGCCAAAAAGAGAAATGATGGATCAGATTCAACCTTACAAAAGGGACAAGATCTCCCTTCAAAAGAAGCACAAATTACAATTCTGTCTCAGGTTTGGTACTGTTTGGTTAGAAAACAGACAAGGCAGGCTCTCCCTTCAATGAAGTTAACTTCCAACAGAAGCAAAAGTCTGCAGCATGGAAAATGGGATATATTGCACGTAGGGTGCTAGTTCTGTACTAGCCCTGGATGGGTTGAGGGTTCTCCATTTCAGAGCCCAGAATTAGGATGTCTATACTTCTGACCTTCATCCTCAGTGAGGTGACTGGGGGGTGGTGGGCTAGAGGCAGTAGAGCCAGCATGGGAGCCACTTGTCTTGCTGGAAACAGGAAGGGTCTCATTGAGGCTCTGGGTCAGCAGGTCTGAGTATTTCTCTGTCTGGCCCACTATAAAGTCCAGCTGCAGGTCCAGGGCTTTTTTCCGTTTCTCCTCCAGACGTGACTGTTGCTTGAACTGCACAACCTAAGAAAGATGAAGGATCAAAATGTCTCTGTTGTCATCAGCCTGCAAGACTGGCTGCTGCTGAAACTTGCTCTGGAGTTGCAGACCTGGGCCATTCAAGTTCAATCAGTTTTTCTAAGCCCTCGAAAACACATATTAGTACCATTAGTTATAATGCAGAACAAGGATTCCAATTAAATGCTTTCTTAAACACACTGACACACAGAATCATAATGGGAGATGATTTTGAGATTACATAGAACAACTGGTTACTATAACAGAATATATAACAGGTTTGCCTGCCCTCCCTCCTTTGCACCTTCATTGCTCAAAATAAGTGTGGAAGTTGCTTTCCCTGGCATGGGCAGGTTCCAACACTGCTGCCCCTCACCAGACCTTTGCTATTTCTAGTTGGATCAGCGAGTTTCCCTCCAACAGGTGGGTCCAAGCACCACACCCCTGGAAGAACCCCTAGAGGCCAAAGAGCCAAATTGGGGTGCCTTACAGGCTGGAGTATACCCACTGGCTGGAGGTTCTGCAGTTCTAGGGTAGACTAAATGTAAGCAAAATATACCATCAGAAAACTGGCTGAAGAGTTGGATGTATTCAAACAGACGGAAAGCCTGATATACTGCTTTTATGACACAAGACAAGCGCCTCATATACCTTCTCTACATTGGTCCAGAATTGTTTGACCTCTTTGGCGATGGATGATGCAATGCGGCGTAACTTGGCCTGCTCCTCCCGTTTTGCTCTTTCTTCTTTCTGCTTCTGCTCTTCATGATGCCTTATTACCATGCGCACAACCTGCATATACAAAGGGGAAAGGAACACCTCAGTGACCGCAACTCATCACAAACATCTACAGTCTTTCTTTGAGTTCTGGGTGTTGAGCAACCTAGCTCTAACGCTTTGCAGATGGAAAGTTTAACAGAAACCACTAAGAAGTGTTCTGTGCAATGGCATTTGCACTTTGGAGGCCTAGATTGGAATGCATTGATGACAACTGCTGAAGATGGTTTAAAGGTTTGGAAGACGGCAGACAGTTCCATGAAAATGACAGAACTCACCTTCCTCGCAACACCCCTCTTCCAGCGGCGCTCTTGGGCAAAGTCAGCAGACAGCCACTGCATTTCCTCACAAAGATAATCCCAGTGCACCTTAGGCCGAACTGGCTCAGGCACCTTTGATAACCTTTTCAGGGACCAGAATCCTTCCTTCTTCATTTCCGCAATGCGATTTTCAATCTCTGCCTCCTGAAATACAGTGGGCAATAGTTAGGTAGTTCATTCCTATCCTGCAGTCTGCAAGAATCCAGTACACAATCCCTTAGCCCTGGGTTCTGTTTGTTAATGCCCCAGGCCAAAATGGTGGAAAGGGTTCACAGTCCATTAGCCTGGGCTAATGCCATGTGCTTACGTGCTTGGCCTGCTCAGCAATCTCCGCATGTGTCTTGTCCCACATGCTCGCTGGGTCAGGGGAGATGTACATCCCAGGTGATACAAGGGCTCTGTTCTGTGTCTTGGAAACATCAAAGCCAAGGTGACTGTCCAGGGAGGAATCATGAGCAAGATGTGGGGGTGAGATGCTGCCACTTGAAACAGGCGAGCCTGAAGAGGCTGGTGACACTGGGTTGCTGCCTGTCATTCTGTCTGCTGCAGTCTGGTGAATGGGAGTGACAAATGAGAGTAACAGGGTGTTAGCATGGTTGCCTTAATCCAAACAAGGAATATTACTAGTCCAGCTGCGTATCTGAATAAGGCATGAGAGAAGAGTTCCCCTTGCCCTGCTCACAAAGCTGCTCCTTGCAGCACAGCGTTCTGTACACCTCCTTAAAGCATTCAAACGCCATAATTAGAGCCCTTGCCAAACCTCCTATGAGCTGCAGAGCAGTAATACAGTAGGTGGCCCTACCTACGCCACTGGAACTTGCTCTGGGCTTCCCCTCACCTCCAGCTCTACCTGTGTGTGCAATGCACAGTGCTGGCGAGGAGGACTGCTCTGCATTTTAATTCTCTCTTGCTCTTTGCTTCTCGTCCCAATAGTTTCGTCTGTGGTTGTAATGCTGGCGTCCTGCTCCAGTGCATGCTGGGAACCGGCCTCATTCTGGTCAGCCAGCCACTGGGACGAGCCGTCCAGCTCCTGAGTTCCTTGGCAGCCCAGCCTGCGCTCGGGACTGCCTGTCTCAGAATTAGCTGAAAAGAGTCATACAGATAAGTCAGTCATACTGCAATCGATCAAGAACATGCCAAAAGGATGATTTCTGGAGGAGCTGAAATTAAACACGGCAAAATGAAATTAACATGATCGCTGCCTACTACTTAGTATTAGTAGGCAGAGAACATGGTTACACACAAAAAAAGCACTGAAAAGCTGGTGGATCCGGGCAGAGGTGTTCAACCAGGGTTGGATGGGCTTATGCTCCCTCTGAAATACCAAGTTCACAATATTTAGGATATCCTGGATTTGGGGCTATCTGTAGAAGCAAAGATGGCTACAGTAGCCTAGAGTACCTTTATCAACTAATGGTAGTATACTAACTGCAATCCTATCCAGATGCCTTCCATTAGCATCAAGTAGAGGAACAAGAATTTGGAAAAGGGCCTTTTCAAAGGTGGCCCCTTGTTTATGAAATTCCCTCTGTCGAGTTTTGAACAGGCTCTTAAGACCTTTTGAGTCAAGGAGGTTCTTTTAGTCCATTCTGATGAGTTGAGTTTAATTAGCTACCTTTTAAAAACTGTGAATGTTTTAAATGTTAATGATCTTACTATTAATGTGCTGCTATACTGATTTTGAATTATTGTTCTGAAATTTTTAATGCAGTTTTCAGAAATTTTATTTGAAAAGCACAATCAAGCAATAACAAAAATCAGAGAAGGAAAACAATACACCTTAAAACCAACTAATAACTAAAAGAATGCAAATTTAAAAGGAAGCAATTCACAAGTGATCAAATATTCTGTTCCTCTCCAGTTTTGCAAAAAGCAACTATTAAGTTTAAGGTTTACAATGATCTCAATCATGAGTAAAACATAAGAGTGGTAAGAGTTAATTCCCCACAAATTTTCCAATAAAATGGTTTCCCTTCCCAGAAAGCTGCTCTTTTCTCAATGACAGCTACACAGCGTAGATACAAGGCCTGGAAGGACTTTCCATGGTGAGCTTACTTGCAGCCATGCTTCCAGTGACTGATGATCCAGTGCTCCTCATTTTAGTTTTCCACAAGGCTCTGAAATGACCCCTTGCGAAAGGTATTGTGAGAAATTAAAATAGCTGCTGCTTGAATAGTTGATGTTTAGTCATGGAAAAAGTGAAAAGGGAGGGCAAGGGCAACAATTAGCTGTGAGCCTCTCTAAGATGCTGGGACCAAGAATGTTATTTACGTGCTCCTGAGCCTACTGGGTAAAAGCAACTGAGGGTGGGTGGATAAGAGGAATTTTCATAAGAAAATGGGGGAACCGAATTTCCTTCCTATCTGTTAAGCAACAGCAGGGAATGTTTGTGATTTTAATCAAGAACATGACACTGGAGAAAAAAATTAACTTCTACTACCTTCCTCTCAATCAGCATTTTAAAAGATGAGGAGATGAAAATCTGATTTCCATCCATTTATATCACCTGGCCCTTCTTTATCATGTGTGAAGTGCCTCACAGAAATGACGCAGCCCTTATCTGGAGGTATTACAATCTATGTAAGATCATTCCTCAAATATGTTTGAAAACCAGAACCTTACTTTAATATATCTAATTCAGCACCAATATAGAATTTTCACCCTAAAGTAGGTCTGTACACAGAGGCACTGATGTAGACCAATGTTTCAATCACCAAAACTGACATGATCATGAATATTCCTACTTAGCATCCTAAAACAGGGCACAAGACCTGTCTTTTCTCCAAGTTTTCTTTAGAAATTTCATTATTTAGTATAGGGCGCATGCAAGTTTCATCTTTATAAGGAACACAAAAGACAACTGTAAGACACAACAAATGTATTAACAGTAATGAACACAAAGAGCAAAATCAAATATTGATTATAAAAACCCAGGAAAATGATTATTCTACTGTTTAACACCAAAAGCCAAAGTATTTCCAAAGGAAGTTGTGGTTGCAGGCCAATTAGAGAATTTTCAAAAAATATTTCCTGCCTTTCTGCTGAAATAATTCACAATGCATACCTCAGCAAGCAAAGCAAAAGGAGCATGCGGCCAAGACAAATCTTATCACAACGCAAGTTCTGATCCATCAACGATGGTGGGGGCAGAGAATTTATCTTGGTAACCAAGTAAATCTAGCTTTGGCTTCTGGAAAACAGTCAAGAATGTTGGTTTCTTCAGCACAAAGGGTCTTTGGCCAATCCCCCAATGGCATCATTTATTTCCACCTGTACCTGTGTGAGCTGAAAACTGCTCTTGCTGTTCAGACTGCACTTCCAGGATTTCGTTTTCCTGGGGAAGACTACTCCTGAAATGAGATGGAACTGTCAGTCTAGGACCAAGGACATGCTTTCTTGTGGTACCTGTGCATCAGTCTGTTTCTGTAGCCAGGAATTCTTCAAACATGTTCCTTTTATCTCTGTCTCTCCATGATTGTAACACAGACAGCATGGGAAAAGCCTGACCTTGTGTTGCGGTGGAGAGTTTTAATGTAAGCACCAGCTACCAAATCCAGGCCTATGATAGGAGGCAAGAACCTGTTTGGGGTGCTCTTGAATGAGCTACAAGGGCAGTTCCCCCAACTTTTCCCTCATTCTGAAAGATTCCAAGTTGTCCAACATAATGCTTTGTATGCCTTCCACTACCACCAAGTCCAGGGAGTCAGAACCCCATACTTCCTCAGTATCCATTTCTCAAATGTGTTTTATCTTATTTGCATAGCCATTATGCACCCAGAAGTGTCAACAATTTGCCCATTATTCTCATATCATGGTCCCAGATCCTTTTCCACCATTCTCTGCAAACCTACTGAATCCTGCATGGTAAGATTTTGCAACATACCTGTATTACTAGCAATACCTAGTCATTTCTTACATCTAGCACTTCTGCGGCCTCAATATGTTCTAGCATTAATAAAATATCCCCCAGCCCACTGTACCCTCCAGTTACCTTGAAACTCTAGATCCCTGTCCTGGCCCTACAAACTCCATGTCTTGCTTCAAGGTATCAGACAGCCCCTGTCCCTCTACCCCCAGGAGTGGCGCATTCTCATTTGTCACATGCTGCGCCAGCTTCAACACCTTTTGTTCCACTTGTCCCAGGAGAGAACTTGTCTTAATGGCACAAGCTGGACTGCTGTCAGAACCCCCAGCCATCTTCACACCCTTCACTTGCAAACCAACAGGACCTTCACCCCACAAGGCCAACCTCACTGCGTTGTATCTTTTAATTGCAATCCCCATCACGCCATCACGCCAGTCTTTTAATTCTTGCTTCCCTGTTAAGAGGCCAGCACTCTGCCTCTCTGCTGTAAAACCAGAAACCCCTCCTTTTGAGTTTGAGCCATGTCCTGTTACAGAGAGTTGGGATGCTGCCTTTTCTGATTCCAACACTTCCTTCAGCCAGTGCACATCCTCTGACTTGCTTGCCAGTCCAAACACTCTTCTTCCTATTCCAAAGTTTGGCTGTTCAGGACTCAGTCCTGATTTTGATGTTCCTTGACCTACCACTGCCATGTCAATTCGTTCTTTTATTCGTGCCCGCAGTGGTCCTAAAGCAAGCCCATGCCCTGGCCCTAACCCAGCTGTCCACCCAGAACTTGGTCGCAATGCCATATAATCTTGAGTCAGTGGCCTACCAAGCCAGGCTAATGGCACTTCTTCAATATCTTGCCTTGCTAAGTTATTAACATTAATCTCTGGTTTTTCCAACTCCCTAACTTCCTGCTCCTGCTTGGGTAGTTCTGCCAGCTCCTGCCCAGACATCCTTTCTGTCTCCTTAAATAAGGGCACCTGCAGAGTCTTTGGGGTCTCTGGTTCTGAAAAACATGACATCCTTTCCCGCCCAACTCTGTAGCCCATGAGAACTACTCCTTCACCCACCTTAACTCTTGTTCCCAGTCGCCCCAGTTCAGCTGATCTGGTTCCCCTCTGTTCTAGTTTTCCCACCTTCAATTTCTTATGATTCTGTTTTATCAGTCCCCTTTGCTCTGCTTGTGCTGTTAAACTGGTCACAATCAAACCTGGGGCCACATGCTTTAACACGCCATCTCTCTCTCTTGACTGTGTCGCCCCATGCTGTGCTACGAAAACTGGCCCTTGCCGTAGTCCTGCCAACCCTGAAATTCTTTTTCCTTTTGCTCTCTGACTTGGCGTGGCTCTCCATTGTGACAACACTGATGACCCAGCCGAGGAACCCAATTTATGACGTTCATTAGCCACCCTTGGGCTTCTTCTTGCTAACTCTGATCTCATTTGATCTTGGCTGAAATCAGGTGTCATCCAGCCTACTCGGGCCAATACTACAGTTTCTTCTTGACTTTGCTCAGCCAATTTTTGACCCAATCTGGATCTCCATTCCCTAGAATCCACCCCTACTTTCTCCTGAGTTTCTCCTGACAATTTCTCATCTAGTTCTGGACTCCAAACTAATACCTTTTCCTGAGAGAGTATCTTTCTTTCTGCAGCTTCCTGCTGATCCTGCTTCAATACCTTCTCACCTTCATCACTAATGTCTGGTGCCTGATCTAAACATAGTTCAAGCCATACCTTATCCTCACCAAGATCCACTGCTGATACCACCTTTTCCTCTACAGCCATCACTCCAGCTGATTCTAACTCCTTGTCCTCCCCCTGATCAAATCCTACTAGTTCTTTTTCCTCCCTCTTTTCTGGTGAAGTTAACTTTTCAACCATCTCCTGACTCTTTCTGGATTTCATCTCTCCTTCTGTACTCTTCTGACTTAGTTCAGGTATTTCCTCAAAACCTCTTCCAGGTATGTCTTCCAGGCCTCCTACTTTCTCCAGTAGTGCTGCTACCTCCCCTGCTTCCCCCTGACCAAGTGCCAGGGCTACATCTCCCTCAGCAGTCACCGCCTCTGCCTTATCACGATCTGCTGCAAGCGATACATCCTCCTTTCCAATCACCACCTCAGCTGTCCCCACCAAATTCTCAGCCTCCTTGGCAATCATTTCTAATGCTACATCTTCCTCTGTGGTCCAACCCTGTTCCACTACTGCTGTTACATCCTCCTTAATTTTGTCCTGTCTCAGCTCGTCCAAATTCTCAGTTTTTTCATGATGCACTATTAATACACTGTCTCCCTCCTCAGTCACCTTCTTTGACTCCTTCTGTTCTGCTCTTGGCGCCTTCTCTGTTGCCCCTTCATCTAGAACTGATGCCACTTTCTTTTGACCAGTCTTCCCAACCTCTCCCTGACTTGCCATAATCAAAGACTCAACTACTTCTTTAGCCACCACTGCCTCTACGCCTGCAGTCTCCCCTTTTCCCTCCCTCAGATTTTCTGGCACTGCTTCTTCCCTGCTGTGATCTGCCACAGTCACTGCTGCAACTTCCTCTTCTCCATGATCCACCACTGGCACTGCAGTTGCCTCTTCCCCCACAAGTTCCACTTCCACTGCTGGCAGCACCCCTTCCTCCAACTGGTGATCCAGCACTGGTACCACCTTCTTCTGTGCCCCATGATCCACTGCTGCCACCTTCTTTCCCATATGATCCACTACTGCTATCTCCTTTTCTCTGCCCGTCTGCTGTGCCTGGGCCTGACTTGCCCTCAGCAAGTTTTCAGTCTTCTCTTGACCCACTGCTAGGGCCACACCTCTCACTACAGTCACTAAGTCTGCCTCCCTCTGATCTATTTCAGGCAGTTTTTCACTCTGAACTACTCCAGATGCAACATCCTCCATTCCAATTGTCTTCTTGAGTCCCGCCTCACCTGGTAGAAACATTTCAGCTTCCCCCTGATCTAAGGGTGACTCCCCAAGTTGCTCTTCAGCCAATACCTCAACTTCCTCCTGACCTATTCCCACCAACCCCTCGATCTCCCTCTGAACCACCGCTGATGCTACATCTGCCTCAAGAGTTACCACCTCCAACCCTTTCTTATCTGCACCTAGCATCTCAGTTTTTCCCAGGTCTACATCCAACTTCTCTTCCATTATTTGCAATGCCTCCTTCTGGAACAGTCCTAACAACTCATCCCTGTCTCCCTGACTCTCGCCTGATTTAACAGAGTTTTTTCCACTTCCTCCCTCCATTTCCCACGAGTCTGATCCTGGCACCTCTTTGGTTTCTCCCCTTGCTAAGGTCACTACTTCTCTAGCAGTTGTTTTCTCGACCTCCTCATCATCCAGATTAAGTAATTTCTGTTGTCCATATCCTCTTTCATTTTCTTCTTGGATATTTGCATGATCCTCTTCCATCAAGTCTTCCTCTCCTCTGCCATCTGTTCCTGCCAATTCTGCAACCTCCTTTTCACCTATTTCTAAGCCAACTGCACCTTCTCCAATCATCTTTTCTTCCATATGCACACCTTGCTTTGTCTCCCACTGATCTGTTCCTTCTTCAGCTTCCCTCTCATTTGGAGTTATAAATGCATTTGTTCCTTCCTGATCTAATTCAACCAGCTCCTCCACTTCCTCTTTCATCCCACTACTCTCAAGGTCCTCAAGAGCTGGTACTGCTATTTCCTCAGCCTCTTTGCCAGCCATTTCCAATGCCATCTCTTCTTCCATCTCCTTATCAACCATCCCCTGATCCAATCCTCTCAAATCCCCCAAAGTCTCCTGATCTGATCCCACCAACTCTGCAGCAGCTTCTAGGAGCAATCTTGATGTCTTCTCTGCCACCTCTATCTTGGGTCTTTCAATTACACTCTCTTGATTCATCTCATCTCTAGTGCTCTCAGCCTGAGCATCATCATGCCCCTCTTCAAGCTCCATGACTGCACTGTTACCTTCTTTCACTCCTGACCTTTTCTTTCTTTCAAAACTCTACACCTTTTGATGACACTAAAATGCTTTCTCCTCCTCCAATGCCAGCCTTTTTCAACTACTTCCCCACACTAACTCTAATGCCCTTAACGTCACCCAAATCCCCTGTTCCCCAATGCCTTATAACCTTTCCCCTTCTGGATACCTTAATGTTCTTTGAACTTGCAACACTTTCCCAATCCCCTATGTCCATTAGCATCTCATTCCCTAAAACTTGCAATCCTTTCTTTCTCCAACGTGACCCTAAAATATTGCTCTTTAACACCTTGCTTCTTCCTTTTAAAGCCAAAGTTCGAGGTTCTTTGATTCCCACCCCGTAACCCCTTTGTCACCCTTCCCCTCCCACTTCTCCCCTTTGACCCCGCCCTGGTTTCCCCAAACCCCGCCCACCCAGGAGCCCAATCCTCCCTCCCCTCCCAACCCCTGTCCCTTCAGGTTCCCCCACTCGCCCCTCCCCCACGCACTGAGAGGCGGCAGTTGGTTGGCCGCTTTCGCGGCGCGCACAAGGAAGACGAGTTGACGGGGGAGGGGAGAAGAGGACGGTGGTGGGTGAAGTAATAATAGGCCGGCATTGAGAGCGGCCGTTGGCTGAAAAAGCGTGCGCGCTCTCCCATTGGCTACTGTTCCTTTGCTTCCCGCCCCTACCACTTTCTATTAGCGCGCCCTCTATAGGCAGGGGGAGGAATGTCGAATGGGAACACGGGAAAGAGAACACCCGGGTTTTATCGGTCCCTCACTTTTCCCCCTCGACTCGAAGCGAAGTCTCGCACCACTCCAGGGAGGTGGGTGTGAGCGAGAGGAGTACAACCCCAGCCGGTCCGCCATCTTACCTGGGTGGGAGGGGGGAGGAGTGAGGAGGGAGGGGAGGCGCCTCCTGCCCCGCCTCCTCCTGCCGCCGCCTCAGCCCCAGCGCCGCCGCCTCGGCCGGATAGAATCCGCCGCCATCCGCAGCCCCCAGATCGCTCCCACCCGGCTTCTCCTGTTGCGTAGCCCCCGCCGGCGCAGCTCAACACGTCGATGACCCCTCCCACCCGGCAATTGATCCCTAACCAGGCCCCGCCGAGCCAGACCCGACCCGCCGCGGCAAAATGGCGGCCGCCACCACCAAGCGCCAGGGCCAACCCCCTCCCTCCTCCCACTGCTCCCTCCGCCCGCCGGCCTCGGCACACAAATCTCGCGAGAACTGAGGCAACGCGAGGGCGGGAGCGAGCAAGAAAGAAGCGCAAACCTTAGGTGCCTTACACGAAATGGTGAGGGGTGTGGAGATCGCTGCCAGGGGTAGTACCAAATGGGCTTCGGAAAACGGAGCTCTTTTTTCTCTTAACGACGATGGGAAGCTTAATCCGCGGGGAGGAAGAAAGGTCGTCATAGGAGAGGAGCGTGTTGGGAAATGGAGTCCTAGGGAATGCTGGGAATTGCTGTTCTTTCCTCCCCGCGCCCAAAACTTGGATCCGTCTTATAAAAGGAAAAAGGGGACGCGGGTTTTCATCGCCGAAATGTTGTACTGACTCGTCGCTAAAGGGGCTGGCGGGACTGTTCGAATTTACTAAATAGATCCTTTATACTTTTTGTGAATGGAAAAACAAGATCCTCTGTATTTTGTTCAAACATATTTTGCACGGGATTCGCAAATATTTCAGAAGTTTACAGTTACGGAACTTAGTTATTTCGGAAAGTTGGCTATAATTTTTTAAAATCATCAATAAGCTTGAGTAGCGTGTATCTCAAAAGTATGTCTATTCAAACAAGGAAGATTGGCGTAAGGAATTCTCTTCTGCTTTGTCTGCCATTCCGTATCTTGCTGTAGTAAGTTGATCAGTATTTTAAGATGTCACAAAAGCCGAAAACTTTCAAAGCTCATGTCTGCTTAAGGGCAGCTAGAGTGCTGACCACACCTTTTACCTTCCTGCGACCCAGAGCTGTAGACAGCAAAAAGCTGTAGTTCAACAAAAATGCAACTAAAAATTGGCTCTATTTTGAATATTTGAATATTCTGCCCTGATTTCAAAAAATAAACTATGGTCATGATAACACGTGCACAAGGCTATCTTAACCACGATTGGGACTGCAGCCAGAACGTATGTACACTAAAACAAGGCGATTGTATATATTTAAATGAACGAACATATGATGCTTCCTTCCACTGAGTCAGAATGTTATCTTTCCCCAAACTTGGACAGACATGCTGGATTACAACTTCATCTCCATCCAGAATATCCCCATCTCAAACTGGGACGTTTTTCTTTATAAATTAGTTGCATCATTAAAGGTAAATAATAAAACTGCAAATATTTCAGACATCTGAAAAAATTGCTTCAAATAGAGACATAACCACTTTTGAGAATGTATTAGGCTGAGTTTCACAGAAGACTGTTTTCAGGAATTTGTAAGATCTTTTCCGCTATGAAACAATGAAATTGTAGTATAGATTTAAATGGCCAGAAATGTATTGAGGCTGTGCAGTTCTTAAAATGATGAGAGTCTACAGATATTTTTGTAAAGGTAATTCTTGATACCAGGTTCTGTTGAATGAAAGATGATATTGTTTGGGCTACAAAGGTTTGCCTACTTATTTTGGAGTAAGTCCCAATGAACTCAATATGGCCTATGTTGTTAACAGCTCTAGGATGCTGGCATTGCATTCTAATTGCAAGGTTGTCAGAGTCCCAATTTACTGCAAAAAATGGATTATGAAAACATCAGTTATGGTTTTAAAAAATCCCCATTAGAAATAACTGTAGAATGTAAATTCTGTTGTTTTGGACAGTTGGAAAACATTTTTGATCAACTCCACTGGAACACTTTAAGTCATGTGAAAGGGAACCTCAAGAAAAATAAATTATATTGTGTTTAACTTTTATGTGTTTTGATAATTTTGTTAAACCCTGCAAGATCATGTAATGTTCCTATGTTCTGAGATTGCTTTAAAATACTTTTAAAATGAGTAAAAATGGCATTAAAATAAAATGCTACTGATTGAAAAAAACTGGAATGTCCCAATTGTGATTGGATGGAAAATTGCAAGATTGAAGATTGTGTGGAAGCTCTTGACAGCTAATCTCACATGTAAGTAAATGACAAGAGAAAGGGATTCTTCTAACTTTTCATATTTTAAGACTGATCCTGGTCAAAACTGAAGCAAACACTGGGGCCATTTTTTGAGGGGGTGAGGAAGGTTCGTCTATAGCTTTGGACTACTTGCCTCTTTTCTGCAAAAGTAATTTCTGCAGCACCTAGTACCTTAAATATAGCTAAGGCTTTCAGGTTTCTTCTAAAGTGTAGTGAAAAGCTCATTTACCCTAAATCAGGAAGAAATTTTATTCCAGTCCCTTTTGGCTAAAATTTCTTCTGCTTCCTTGTTCAAACTGATGGAGCACCCAAATCAGTATATTACATATGGGTTATGGCTTGAGATCAGGTTATCCAAAGGAGTGCCTCTTCCCCTGCATGCCTACCTGGGCCCTAAGATCATCATCTGAAGGAAATAAGCAGGGTGGCTACAAGAAGGGCCTTCTCAGTAGTGGCCCCCTGAATCTGGAATCAGCTCCCAAAGAGGTTCATTTGGCACTATTCTTTTTGGTGCAAGGTAAAGCCCTCTTTGCCTAAAATTTTCATTGTTAAAGGTTTTTATATTTATTACATCTTGTGCTACTGTGCCTTTTATTAAGAACTGAGGTAATTGTGTGGTTTTATTACAAATTTTTCCTCATGTTTCATTTTAATTTTATTGTTGTAATTGTTTTTCTCATGTTTTAGTATGTATATTGTTACATTTTGTAACCCACCCAAAGAGCCATTTTGGTTAATGGGCAGGATAGAAATCTAATAAATAAATTTAGGCCCTATCGCAGGATGTTGGATCTATTTCTGCTGGTGGACTTTATTCCATTTCAGAGCAGTTTTGGGGTCCACAATTCAGTGGTTGGTAAGGACAAAGCAATAGGGTCAAAAATACCAGCATAATTTAGCTTACAGCTCTTAGTACTATCAGTAATGAAGGCTAATGAGAGGCACTTTGGCCTTTAAGACTGGGGAGCACTGCACAAGTCAGGAAACCACAAGAGGGAAGGGGCCCTCTTGAGGACCCCAGGCTGATGTTCTGCACTCCAGTCTTAGAAGAGCTGGTAGAATACCTACTTTTTGAAAGAATCATAAAAGATGCTATATGGTAAGATATACTTTCCATATCTTTCTCTTGTGTCATGTCTTTACCTTGAAAGCCTGTGGGCAGGGGCTGTTTTGTTTTACTGACAATATATAAGGCTCTCTAGCAGCCATTTTGACTGAGCAGTGGGATAAAAATACTGTAGATGAATGGGATACGGTGTTTGAAGTGAGCATGGGCACACACACACTAGCAATCCTAGTCTGGCTCATTTCTGGCTTTCATGCCACTTCATCAACTGCCCCAGTCCCAAAATCTACTCACCCCAGAGCAGTTCATGATATTAAGCAGGATGTAAAGGCATGGAGCCCAACCCCACATAGCCACACATCTCTGGGCTGGAGACAGCCATGGGATTTGCTTGAAAACCACCATTCCATACTGGCTACCCCATTCTACAGTTCACTAATATGCTTAATGCTAAGGGCTGGGAGATGACTGGTCCTTTGAACACTTTCTCAGCCTAGATGTTTATGACAGCTACAAGTTTCAAAGAAAATAATAGGTGGCACTCTCTCGGGCACAATAACACTCCCAAGTGCAGTCCTTGCCTCCCAAATTTAGGTAGCTGAATGGAACAAAATGTAGCTGTATATATTGTTTTGTTACACAATCAGGTATTTTCAGAACCCAGGATAAATTATTTTGGGTCAGAGCAACAATCCCATCTAGTTTAGCATTTAACAACAGCTAGCAAACCTCTGGCTATGACTGGTACTGGCTACCCTTCAGAGATTTCTAATCTGGCAGTTTGTTGCAATGCATTCCACAGACTACCTGACAGCTTTGCTGGCTGGGAATACAGGGGTTGCAGTCCAATATACTGGGAGGGCAGCAGGTTGGGGAAGGCTACCAAGGCTTCCCTATACAGGGAAGAGGCACTTAGACACACTTAATTCCAAGAAACTCCTACCCAGCAGGCATCTCTCTAGGATGGGCATCTATCCCTGTCTATGATCTACTGGGGCAAGATTGTTCCAAACAAGTCTTCTGGACTGTAGTTCTAGGATCCACTGATGATAGGAGGAGAGGATGAAATGCTTTCCATTCTGAGCAAAGTGATTTCTGTTAATCCGAAGGCAAAAGGATGTTTTGAATTTTCCAAAGAACAGCCTTCTCTAATCTGGGGCACACTTGATGTCCGTAGTTCCCAGTGGCAGGGTAGGCTGGGGGTGAGGTTGGGAAGGGCTGCCTTAGGACCACTGCTGATTATGTCTCAGTGCCAGAAATTGTCACCTGCCCTTCTTGCTCCAAAACTGCAGCCCTATGTCCAACATGACTGCAATATTTGATGAATGCTTTCAGGGACATGAGGAAATCTGTGCCAGCAGTCTAGTATTTGACTGCACATCTTACTCCCTTTCTCCTCAGTCCGGGCCCAATTCAAGGTGTTGGTTATGACCTATACAGCCCTAAATGGCTTGGGACCTGGCTACCTGAAGGAGCGCTTACATCCATATATGCCCGACCGCCCCTTGAGATCTGCGGGAGAGGCCCTTCTCCAGGAACCCTCTGTGAAAGAAATTAGGAGGGTAGGTACTTGGAGGAGGGCTTTCTCTGCGGTGGCGCCCAATCTATGGAATGTGCTCCCCAGAGAGGTCCGCCTGGCGCCGTCGTTATTTGTTTTTCGGCGCCAGGTGAAGACCTTTTTATTTAAATGTCATTTTAATTGTTAACAATATTTACTTATTTATCTGGCCAGGGCGACTTCTTTTCTTTTCTAACTTTTCTTTTATAACTTCTTTTATATCGTTTATATATATATATATATATTATTAATTTTAATTTTATATTGTTATTTTTGTATTGTATTTTATTGTGTTGTAAGCCGCCCTGAGGCTTCGGCAAGGGGCGGCATAGAAATGTTCTAATAATAATAATAAAAATAATAATAAAATGAAAAAAGTTAATACAGGGCTCAGACTTCACTTTCCCAGGGTTGCTATTCCCTTCCCAGCCCAGAAAGAAATCAGAAGGCTTAGCCCACCCACTCCCACCTTCTCTTGCCCAACTCTCCCCAAGTCATCCAAACACACACGCAGAGCAAGGAATCCAGAAGCACCAGTTTGGGGTTTAATTAACCAACCTGGGGAAGAAAAGGGCATTGGACAAGTGCGTTGCGCCCCACCCCCTTTGTTGCACCTTTTGGATCACTTACAGGAGGAAAAGGGATGGGAGGTGGGCAGAGAGTGGATACAGGTATAGAAAAGAGCAGTACAGTAAAAACAAGGGGAGCTGTGGGGGGAGGGAAGGAGAGAGAGAAGTCACTTTTAAAATCACAATCTCAAACCTTTTATAAATGTACAAAAAACCTTTTCCCCACCTGCCTGGGGCAGAATATATAAATATTTACACTGCCTGGTGGGGGAGGTGCCCCAAGATACAGCCCTCCCCTTTCCCCTGAAAGCAGCTTTCCCATCAGTTCTTGGTGGGAGGAGCAGAACATCCACCCAGAGTTCAATTTCAGCCCAGTGGGAATACTGGAAAAAGACACCAAACCTCTGTCAATTCCCACAGAGGCAGGAAGAGGGATTTTTGCCGAAATTAAGAGACACAAAACGAGGGCACCCCAACACCTGGATTCCTGCCCCCCTAAAAAAAAACAGGCCCCGTCATCTTAAGCCCCAACATGAACCAGGACTGAAGGGACTCAAGTCTTTCTGGGGTGGTGTTTAGCGGCAGGCCCCTAACTCAGGCTAAGGCGGCAGGAGGACCACACTTCCACCCCCCAGAAAGGGGGCCTAGATAGCTGCCTAGGGCTTCTGCTGACTCCGTCCATCAGTCCAGTAATGTGGGAAGCCTCTCGGTTTAGGCGCTCATGTTCCAGGGCCCCTCACTGCGACACCATTATCTGGAGTCCCGGTCCTTGTAGGCTGCTGCCAGTTCTCGGATGTCTGGGGCCCGCCGGGGGGAACAGGGGCGAGCATTTGAAGCTGGGATGAGTGGTGGGGGGGCACTGAGTAGTCCCACGGCGGCGGCGGCAGCGGCGGCGGCCGAGGGGGTGGCTTTTGCCAGCAGCCCGTTTTGGTGGCGGGGATAGGCCATGAGACCAGGGTGGGGTGGGGGTGGCAAACCATACAACCGGGCCCTTTCGTAGTCCTCAGCAACAGCCGGCGATGTGGTATCCAGGTAGCGGGGCAGGCGCTGAAGTGGGTGCAGCTCCAGCCCACGGTGGTAGGGCTCACGCCAAGCTTCAAGCGCAGCATAGGAGGCTGCTGAGGGTGGGGCAGCCACCAAGTACGGGGAGACGCTTCCACCAGTCCCGGCTTGGGGCCTCTCAAATACAGCCAGTGTCCCCAAGGGGTGGGAGACATGCAGGGTGCTGTGATAGGGAGCCCCTGTGCGCAGGGCCCCCTCAAAGCCTGTTAGCTCGGGCTCCTCCTTCACCTTCACTTCCTTCTTCAGGGGCAGCTCAGGATATGGAGAGCGAGAGGCATGGCCAGAACTGGCTGGGCTTCCATAGCGGTGCTCGCGTTCTGCTGGCACATGGGGCCGCCCAGGGGGCTCTTCATGGGCCAGGACTGTGTTCTTTGGGGTGGGAGTAGCTGGAGAGGCACGCAGCGGATGGCGCGAGAACAGTGCATCCCTGAAACACATGTACACAGATGACTGAGTGACAGTCCCGCCTGGCCAAACCGTGAATAATTTTCTGGCAGCCACTCAATGTCTTGCCCACTAACCTGGCCCAGTCTCCTCCACAGCCAACCCTTGCTCTCACCTCCACTTAGCACCCACAACAACCATCCTCCCCACTCCCAAAGAGGAGTCCTCTCTATTTGCTCTTCACTGCACCTTGATCCCTTCCCCATATTCTGTTTTGATTCTTAATACACCCACATAAGAAGCCCTTCCCTCTCTCTCTGTCCAAGTCTCTTCACACTTTAACCAAAAACGGCTTTGAAAGTAACCCTCCTGTTAAAACATAAACATAGCAAGATGTGCATGACTTTGCAGTACTTCAGCAAGTCCCACCATCACTCCCTACATGCTGCCTCCTCTTTGCCTCTCACCTGTCCTTTTCATCCTTGATCACCGGCCCTTCTGGCTTTTCAGTCTCCTTGTCATGCTGGGTGCTGCCACGCTCAGTCCCATCTCCAGTGCCACCTTTGGGCCAGGCTGGGGCAGTGGGGAAGGAAGGGGGTGTGCGATGTAGGCGATTCCATGTCTCATGGGGGCTAGGAAAGCCTATAGCTCCAGGACTGTCCTTCTGCCCAAAGACAGTGGTTGAGTCTGGGAGGGAAAGCAAGAAAATCAGATCTGGCACTTTAGCAGCAGAGCTGCCCCAGCCCAAACAAACTCTGGAACAATGGAGTACATAATCAAAATCCCCAGTGAAAAGCTAGACCTTTGGGTTTCTTTCTCCAGTTCATGGTGAAGAACTGAGAGGCTTGCCAGGGAATCAGGCTTCATGGGTTTCTTCTCTAGCTGCAGTAGTGAGGTGCAGTGAGGGGAAGAAAAGGGGCAGGAATCCAGAGCCTGGGGTTCTATTCCTACCTATCAAAGGAAGGTTCATCCTTCATCATTTGCTTACCTGGCCTAGTAGCTCCAAGGGAAACCCTAACAAAAAATTTCCTGTCCTCATTAAATGATAGCTTCTGAAGTTCAATTCCCCAATAATACTCACTGAAGGATGGGTTGCCCAGGCCCCCAAAAGCCCCATTGGAGAGAGCCCCGAGGGAGGCAAAACTGGGGGGTCGGCCAAAGGGATCTGGAAAAGAGGTAAGCAGAGCAGTGAGCAATTTTACTGATGGTTTGGATTCCTGTTCCATTTGCCCCATCCCTCTGGCAAGCCAGCTCTTACCAATGTGGGGACTAGGGCTCAGGAAGGATCCATGAGGGGTGCTGGCAGGACCAAAGGAAGAGCCACTGCCTGGATGAACAACACCTGAAAAAGCAAAAGGGAAGCAGGGGAGAAGAATTACTGATGATGTGTCCAGCTAGTGAGAAGAAAGGGATGTAACTGATAGCTTGAGGACACTGGGCTCCCCAAAACAGAAATCCTTTTGGGGTCAGAGCCCTAGCCATTCTCATGTAATTTACACAGAACAATACCTGTTTTAGGTCCATTCATTTCACCTAACAAACTCAGAGCTTGCATCCAGTAATCAAAAAGCTTACAGCCAGTAAGCAAGCTTTAGGAAAGCTATTTCAACCTTTTAGAATGGCATGGGGGACTGCACAAAAGCCAGAAAACCATCACATGATCAGTAGTTGGGAGCAAGGGGAAAGGGTTAGGCTTTCTGGAACACCTCAGAGGGTCAGATTAGCCTTCGGGTCTCAGGTTTTGCATTCCTGCTATAAAGGTAGGGCAAATATGTTCAAATTTGACAGAAAAGGTAGCAGAGGAAAATGTCCCTTGGAAAAGCTCACTACTATCATTGCTGGGGAGCTTCCGCATACTGTAGAAGGAGACTGGCACCATCTGTACAAGGGTCAGAGGGCTGAAATGGTGAGTCGCCAGGTGCTGTCATCTTACAAGCCCCAGGGAAAGCCCCTCCTGGATGGAACAGAGAGCACTGACCAGAAGCTGTGAACAGGGTGGCAGGGCGTGCCAGCTCCTGGCCATGCGGCAGGCTACCAAAGGCTCCCGTTCCAGGCAAGCCCGTGAGGAGGTCATTCCGAAAATCCAATTTGTGGGGGTCCCCCTGCATCAGCTGTGAGGAAAGAAAGAAGGCATGTCCCCCATGAGCAAGAGACCTGGCACAAGCTTCAGCCCATACTTTGGCAGGAACACCTCCTACTTGGCTCTGTTCCAGCTTCAGTAGGGTTTCTGGTTCCCCAGCCTCCTCAAGCCCAGACTTGTGGACCCAAATTTGGATCCAGGTCTTCGTCACTGTCAGTGACCTTTTGGCAGCCACCAGCAGGAGCTGTACCACGCTGTACAGAGGCTGAGTGGGGAGGCAGTGCAGGCCTACCCTACCTTCATCTTCTCCTGGTGCCGCAGGATCATGTAAGCTACACGAACGTGCATGGCGCACCACTTCCCAGGCTTCTGCGGGAGAAGGGGGAACCATCAGCTCGGTATATTAGTTCCCTGCTGGGCCAGGCACAGGTTGCCCTACATGCTAACTGAGTCATTCTCCACACCTCACCTCACCCGCCGTGCAACTCCCACCTCTCACCCCTGCTGAGTCAGTCACCACTATGCCTTGCACCCTCCCCACACACATCCATCCCATTGCACTGGAGTCAGGAGCAGTCCTTGGGCTTACTCACTCTCAGTGTTGGCCGGAAGGGATCAGAGAGCTGCAAAGAGACAGACAAACCAAGGGCTGGGTTAGACATTGTTTCCACACTGCCCCCACCTCACCCCACACCTCCAGATAAAGATGCAAATTCACCTGGGTGCCTTTCTGGGCCAAACTGGGTGGGACAGTGGCCAGCCGGGATGGCAGGTCAGGGTTAGTGCTCTGGGAAGAAAAAGACAGTCAGGTCACTGGACAGAGCTATGAGCTTAATTCCCCTCTTTAGTTTTTCTGTGTTCACATGCCATACCCAGCCATGCCATTCAATGACAGAACACGGGAATTCAGTCTTCCACCCAGTCCTCAACTATGCTTTCTCTGTAGACTCCAAGGATCCCGGCTCTCTTCCCATCTACTAAAGGGTCTTGGATCTGAGCCCTCCTCTCCTAACCTATAGAATTGCTGACCAACTCTGAAAGATGGGAGAAGCCACTATATGCACACTGCATATCCGTTCTCCTGCATGGTTGCACAAGGCTTACTCTGCTGGGACCTTTCCAGAGCCAGCAAGTGAACCCATGAGTCCAAGCACCTGATCAAACACACAAAGCCCCAAAGTCCAAGGCATTCTAGCTTTTGTATCGTCTGCTATTTCCCTTCAAGCTCATTCCTCACAAAGACAATCCAGGCAGCCCAGCTCAGCCCTCCCACCTGTAAATCTACTAGACACCCCCTTCCACTTCCCAGGAGGTGGGAAGAGAACCCAGGAGTCCTGAATTCTAAACTTTCCTCCCAAAGAAATCCCATTTATCAATTGCATCTGGAGGGTTCACCTTAGGTTGGAATGCCCCCTGCAGGGAGCCAAAGGTCACAGCAGGAGGCAAGACTGGAGAGATCCCCGAAACAGTTGGGCTGTATCCAGTATATAACTAGAAGAAAAGAAGAAACCAATAGAGGCATCACCTGGAGAAACCAAGGCACGGGGGGAGGAGGGCTCAGCTCCATTTTCAGGATGAGCCACTCCAAGACCTTCTGTGGACTACCAAAAAGACTATGGTCTCCACCCTCCAGAAAGGGTGCACTTACATTATGCCTCAGGATCCCATCCATCTTGCCAGGATATTTATCAAACTGGAGAGAGAGAACAGAATCAGAAAATGACTCTTCTGGCCGATGGGATGGGGATTATCCCTACCCAAAAATCGGATCCCAAAGGTTTACCCCTACACCAGCTGATGCAACACAGCCCTGCACCTGTTGTCTCCCGCTTTGCCCAGCAAGCCCATCTAGGTCTTCACTCACCATGGCTGGGCTAGGTGTGGGAACCATGCCTGGTGGGAAAGGGGTGAAGTGCTGGTGGGTGTGCTGGTGGGTGTGCTGGTGCTGGTGGTTGTGTTGGTGGAACTGGAAGGCCAGGGGGCGGATGGCGGTAGCCCCCATGTCGGCGCTGCCTTGTGCCGTGAGGAATCGGGAGCTCAGGTCTTGGCGAATTAGTTCTTGTTCTGGGGAAGCAGAAGAAAAAGTCACCTAAAAGCATGTTGCTGGGAGTCCATGAGGGGAGAACAGGAATGCTGCAAGAAGAGGAGACAGACACCCACCTACCTGCCCATGTAACTCTCCATCTGTACATAGCCCCTACCCCCCAGGAGTGGGTCAACTGACCCACAAGCATTTGAGCTAGGCTCAGCTTCAGCATTCTCCCTCTTAACCAAGGCTCTTTTTGTCAACAAGATGTCAACCTTCCAAGGCATACAGACTCCTCTGCAGCTCAGCCTTCCATGTGCCTTTCCTGTTATTCCAACTTCCTCCTCAATTTCTTTAACTTCCTGCTCCATATTACCATCTTATGTTCCAACAGTTCTCTCTCTCTCCACCTTGTAACAACTAAAAATGTACTTTAAAAATGAAGCTGGGGATCACACGACATAATGAATAGTACCTTCCAGTAGTACTACTTTATATTGCTCACCTGACATTGCCTGAACCCATATCCCCACACATACCATGGGGACAGCCATGAAATTAGAAGTTCACTTCAGGTTTTCCTTGAATAAATATTCAAGGCTTGCTGGAACCCAGCATCAGCACTATTTTTGTAAGAGAACCACCCACATGAGCTGCCAATTCCCTCCCAGGCTTCCCTGTTCCCTCTGAGCTTAATACAATCCTCAAAATAAGTATGGGAAGATAAATTTTTCCCACCAGCAACATATTGCTCCTTTTTGCAGTGTAAAGTAGTTTGGGGTGGCTTGGTATCAAACAGGCAGTTAAGATGTATTAGACTTGCTAAAGACCTGCTCCTGATGCAGATGAAAACTACTAGAATCGATTTGCTGATATAGATCAAGAGAGCTACCTGAAATTTAAGACACTCCCGAGGGTGTGAGAACACTTCAAAATTTACCACTATACCTTTGTACCACAGTGCATAAAAATGTGAGTGCAGTTTATATGTAGCATTTTTGGGGGTGCAATAACTGTTGACTTCTACAACTGAAATTTGTATAGTCATTCACACATGATTCCTGTACGTGTGTACAGCACATCATGTGAACAGCACTCTTTGCAACCACCCTTTCCCAAAGCACTGATCGTGCCCCTCCATCCAAGTCTCTCTTACCAGATATGGCAGCGGCTGCAGCTGGGTGCCCAGCAACTTGAAGCAGAGGGGGTGGTGGGGGGAGTCCAGGTGAAGGGGTGAACATGCCTGGGTGGTGGGAAGGGGGTCGAAGCGTGGACGAAAAGGCATGGGGAGGCAGGGCCAGTGAGGGGGTGGAGGGTCGGTGAGGGAGCTGAGAGGAAGAAGGGGAGCAGGGTGGGAGGATGGGCTTAGGGTGAGCTGCACCACGGCTGCACCTGAAAAAGGGAGAGAAAAATAATTTGCAGTGCACATATAAGGAAGAAACAGAATAATGAAAGATGCCAGAAAGGACACAAGTCAGAGAAGGACTCTACAGAATCTTTTACTCATAGTAACATTAGAAAAAGGATTTTCTGTAACAGTTGGTTAGAAAATTGAAATTAATTTGGGACACTTCTACATCCCATGTTGTCAAATCAAAACATCTTTGTGATCAGAGCATCTAGATGAAATTTATGAGGAAAGACTTAAACAACTGAACTAAAGTAGGGAGGGGCAAACAATTAAATGTGGGGGAGCAAAGGGGAACCACAGTATAGAAGCAGTGAGACAGGAGGAAAAAGGGAAAAGTGAAAGCAGGGGGAGGGGGGAAAGGGGAGAGGGAGGAAGGCAAACAGAGAAAAGGAGAAATGGTAGAGTGTGTTCTGTAGACAGATCATGTTGGGACTCACCCTCCAGTGCTGAGGTCCAGCCCTACAGCATATGGGGCCTGCGTCTGGCTGGTAAAAGGTGGTACCTTCATATGCAGCTGGCTCTGGGTGAGATTATGAGGGACTGCACCCCCCTGAGGTGTTGGAGGCAGCTGGCCTTTGGGCTGGGGTGTCCCATGAAGAGTATTCGGCGTCTGAGCCCGAGTCCTGGAGGGCGGTGGGGCAGGAGGGCTAGGGGGCAAGGCCTGAGCTGGAACGGGGGCTGCGGCTGCCTGAGAAGGGGGCTCCTTGGGCAGGAAAGGCACTAGCAGGGGGTCCCGGTCGGCCTCGTAGTTGCGCTCCTGGCTCCGCTCCAGGCCAGAGACTTTAGGGATCACAGAGAGTTTGGCTTCACAGCTCCCGTTTAATGCACCAATGGGTCCCGAGGCTTCCGGAAAAAAGGGAGGGGGAGAAAAGACAAGTGAGGGGTAGTGAGTCCCAATGCACAGAGCAGAACTGAGAACTAAAAGCCTAACTCAGTCACAGGGTCAATGACTAGGCCAGCATCATGTTTCGGTGACAGTTTTTGCTGTGCCAAATAAGCAACCATAGACACCCACCAGAGAGTTATTTTGGAGGTGCAGGAGGCCAATACTCACAAGCAACAATGTCATTTAAAAACAACATGAAAAGCCAGTACAAAGTGGGTTGAAACCTCGGTGGTGGGGGTGGCGGCGGCAGCAGAGGGGTCAAACTAGAAGAGCACTAAGCACTTCAAGTATTTACTATACCATACAATGAGTAGTATTACTACTCTTTCAGGAACTCTGAAGGGGTGACCCCACTCTCAAGGAGAGGCAGAACCTAGTGCAATATATTCATTTTGTCCCAATTCAGATCCATTGCTTCACCAAATGTACCACAGTACGTGCCATGAGGCAGAGGAAAGGAAAACCTGCGTAAGTTCTTGCTAACTGCAATAGAATTCTGTCAAGCCAAGTCTGCTCTAGCTCTTTGGTCTTTGAACAAGCCATCGGCCTCAATCAAGCTGCGGAGATGCCCAAAGCTGTACTGACTGTCTGGCCAGACAAACTATCTCCAGCAACGCTGACTAGGAAAAATGGGAGCTGCAGCCCATGGGAGTTATGGGACGGCCCCAATCTGGGGATGGCAGGCTTAAGCTAGCACCATCTACTCAGATTTGCAGCTGCTCTCCAGAATCTTTGAACTGAGCATCTTTGAACTAGGGGATGACATGGGGCCCCTCCCCAACCACCTACAAGCCAGATGCTACACACCAAAGTGAACTGTCCACATTTTAGAACTGTTGTGGATCACCAATAGCCTCTGTCAGCCCTCATGTCACCTTGTTTACCTTTGCTGGTTGAGACAGTGAATGACTGTTCGAGGTCATCAACGGAGGCCTGCAAAGACAAGGAACAACCTCATGTTACCTCATGTGGGCAGCCAGCTGGGAAAGGCTGCCATAGTTCTCCACACAAGGATTGACCCACTCATTAGGTTAATGCATGGAGCTGACTGATTTACATGACAGACAGAGAACCAAGGCAGAAATGATCCCTAAACCAATCAGATTTCTCTTCTTTTACTGCCACCCGTCATAGCTCACGCACACAACTTTGTTCTTACTGAGGGAAGGCTATCAAATGTGTTTGATGTTGGCCCATTTGTGATATTTTGTCAGCTCCTTCCAGTAGGAACACACTCCTGCAAATCTTGTGCTTCTAGTACCACTTGGACTTACTTGGGCTTCCGGTTCCACTCAAAACTCTCCTTTTGACCTCCTATAGTAGAAATGGGCAACTACAAGAGGTGCAGGAATGATTTTCAGCCCATGGACCCTGTCCTTCTCCCTGCAGCAGGCTGCCTTGGGAGGCAGGATTAAAAATATGCAGGGGCAAGGTACTGCAAAGCACTGAGTAGTGCTATTATGTACTATTGTATTTCAATGTATTTTATCATGTTGTAAGCCGCCCCGAGGTTTCGGCAAGGGGCGGCATAGAAATGTTATTATAATAATAATAATAATAATAATAATAATAATAATAATAATAATGATGATGATGATGATGATGATGAAGTACAGACCCAGCTTAGTTTGACCCCCATAGCACTCACTAGTTGCTACACAGCCCCATTTTGTTTCTTTCTCCCTCCTCCTCCTCCTCCTTCGTTCAGGGATCATCAAGGGGACACTTGGAACCCACCCCGCCCTAAAGTCTTCAGTGGATTAGAGCCTCTGTACTCTGCATCTGGAATCAGGCAACAGGGAGGTTTTCACAGAACCTTCGCATATGTGTGGGAAGATCCCCACAGCTGAAATAGTCATACACTCCAAGACAGTGTGGGTGGGACCACTGGCATGGAAGTAGCTTGGCATGAACAGAAACAGCGCTCTTGCATCCTTCACACTCCCCCCCCCCCCCGCTCCCAGTAACACCCGTAACACCCAGCCATCCACTCTTGGAACATATACAACTACTGCTAAGTGCGGGGAGGTGTGGTAATCACAAAAGATGCTTGGCAAATGATCTGGGACAGAGTCAAAGTCTACCTGCTCCTCTGGGTCGCTTTCTGTATCACACTGTAAAGAGAGAAGGCAAAAGTCAAATAGTACACTGAACTCAAAATTCTTTCCCCAACCTATACTAATCAAAAGCAGGCTCTGTAGTACAAAGAACTGAAGGAGGTCCAGTTGAGGACCTCACATTAAGTTTCTGTGGACCAAAAGCAGCTAGGCCTCACTGGGGCCTGTATGGGGCGGGGGGGGGGGGGGGGGGGGGGGGGGGGGGGGGGGCGGAGAGAAAGAAGACTGCAAGAGCACAATAGATTCATCAAAACAATGTCAGAACAGAACAACCTGCTTCTAGATCATGTTGTTCTGGGAAATGTAGGCCTTTGTTCTGTCTAAATTAGCACAGGATCACACCCTTACTGCTTCTTAGCTGTCCAATAGTCCAGGATCTGCTCTGATCTAGCAATATGGAGAAGATTCCCCATGTCTTCTGGCATTTCTGCAATTAACTCCATCTCAGCTTGAGCAAAAAGGATTTTCCTGATGGAAAATTTGAGCAGTGGAACAAAACATTGCCAGGACTTACTGCTAGCAGTCTATAACCAAAAATCTAGAGAGTGGGGGTAAGGAAGATAACTCACATATATTGCTCACTTACTATATATCCAGTTTCCAGGTAGGATTGGAGAGAAGGCTGGAAATAAAAAAGCAGTGGGGAAGAGAGATTAGACACAATACTTGTGGGCTGATCATCTTTAAAAACAAAATTAAAGGAAAAATGTGAAGACCTTAGATGCCAAGCTTGCTTATTTTGTCAGGAGAGTCACAACTCTGTACCTTCTACACTGGAAAAAGGAAATAATGTGCCCACTTGAAAAACACATCCACTGTGTTTCCAAAGGAAGGTATGATCTCAACCTGTGATTGGCTAGCATGTGTTGCACAGGCATACGTTACATCCACAGGAATCAACACCATTATTCTTTGTTCTAAAATCATCTGGTGTTCTGAGAATGCCATGAGCCATTTCACTGCATCAGGAATTTATAGAAGTTCTGACTGAGATGTTAAGATAGCCCCTCTGTTTATGTCATTCACAGTATTTCATTTAGGGGTTCATCACTGGACAGTATCTTTATTGATGTCTCCAAAACTCAGTCTCCTGCCCCAGATACCACTGGCCAACACTGCCTAACAGTGTCCTCTATTGATTTGATCTCTCACCCTCAAATCACTGGCATCATATGGCAGTAAATGCACTTGATCACATCAGTTTTGCTCTCGCTGTATTGTTGCCCATCTATACTTAATTTCTACTATAAAAAGCACTGGGATTTGGGATTCCCTAATCTTTAGTCCACATGAGCAAATTTTGATTATTCAGCAGGGAAAGGCAACATGCAAATGTTTTTGTTCAGATATAGTGCCTTAACTCTGGCAGTGAAAGCCATCTTCCCCATAACAAATTGATGATGGATAGGGAAGAAAAAGAGATGGTTTTGCTTACTTTTCTTCTAGACAGAAGATTCTTGTAGGGAGCATGCCTCAGACCAACCATAACTAATATTCATCAGCATCCACAACCCCACTCCCACACACACATACCTCCCCTACGAAATCGCTCAATTGGAGCAGTCTGTACACAGCACACCAATTATTCTTGTTAGCTGTTGTCAAGCCTGCCTCTGCTGCCTGCCTAATGATGTTTCATACGAATGAAAATTGCAGTAGATGGACAGGCCTCTGAATAGCTGCTTTCCACTGAACATGCCCCACTATGCCCCAGTTTCCTCTTCTCCCCATTCCCACATCCCCCAAGCCTCACCTCTTTGTGCCGTCTCTTATTACGTTTTCTACGTGCTCTCTCCCCTGCACAGCCCTTCTCTGAGCTCCCATCCTCATCCTCAGGCTCAGAGTTGTTCCCCTCGCCTCGTTTTCGCTTTCCAGAATGCTTCATCCGAAGCTCCAGTCGCTCTGGGGTCTTCAAGGTAGCATCCTTCTGCAGGTGGGTGACAAGGCACACATACATTAAACCAAATCAACTGCAGATGATCCAGTACAGGTTCAGGAAGTATTTCCCAATGTTATTCCTGAAAAGATTTACTTATTTATTTAAAATGTTTGTATACCATCCACTACAAAATAGTCTGGGGACAGTCTTACAATAAAGCAAAGTAAGGCACAGCGTCCATTCCGTTAAACCTCAATTAAAATTGCAATCTAAACCTTAAAATATTGGGAAAATAAAAAGGGTTTAGCCTGGCATCAAAAAGAATAAAGTGCCGGCACCAGGCGAACCTCTCTGGGGAGTGTATTCCATAACCAGGTTACCACTGCAGAGAAGGCCCTTCTCCAGGTACCCACCCTCCTAATCTCCTTCATGGAGGGCTCCGGAAAAAGGAGCTCCGACCCAGATCTTAAGGGACAGGGAGGCACACATGCCTTCAGATGCTAATATATCTTCTAGGGGTAGAAATGTACATTTGCTTCATACAGAAAAATGGAAAAACATAAAAATATAAACTGGGAATTGAAAGGGGTAATTGAAATATGTGTATTATTGGGTTTATATGGTGGAAACTTACATTAAAAAGCACATTCTTAAAGTGGAAAGTTTAGTGTAATGTACTAATGTAGGAAAACTAGTGTGGTGCATTACTGGACTAACGCTAACAAGAACAAAGTTCAAATCTCTCCTAAGACACTATGTTTATGGAATGACTTTGAATCAGTTGCTGTGAGCATTTATTTAAGCCATGACAAACTGTGGTGCTCTGAATACTCAACCCAACTGTAGTTTATCATGCAAATCTAGCTGACAGAAATATTTAACCATAGCATAATCCTTGCCAGCTGGGTTTGCATGGCATGACACACCACAATTGGAATATCACTATTCAGAATGGTGCCTCTGGGCACTGAAGGTTAAATAAGCCACAACCTCCTAGGGAATGTCATGCGAACTGAGTTACCATGACAACCCTGGAGGGCAAACTAGGTCAGCCTTCCTCAATGTGGTGCCCTCCAGATATGCTGATGACAGCTCCCATCATTGCCAGCCAACATATACAAGGTGGTTTAGGAAGCTAAAAGGAAGAAACACATTGCCTACCTTAAATCCTACAAAGAAGGGTTACATTCATTCATTCATTTAATTTGTATGCCGTCCAATTACTAACATCTCTGGACAGCTAACAGCATAAATAAATTGATGACCCACTCTGGCTGCAATTAATAAAATACAATAATACAATTCAATATTAAAACTTATTAAAATATTGATTAAATAAAAAGGTCTTAACCTGGCGCCGAAAAACATATAATGACGGCGCCAGGCGGACCTCTCTTGTGAGCACATTCCATAGACGGGGCACCACTGCAGAGAAGGCCCTCCTCCGGGTACTCTGTCTCCTAATATCTTTCACAGAGGGTTCCCAGAGGAGGGCTTCTGTTGCTGATCTCAGGAGGCGGGAGGGCAAATAGGGAAAAAGGCGTTCCTTTAGGTATCTTGGTCCCAAGTCGTTTAGGGCTTTATAGGTAATAACCAGCACCTTGAATTGAGCCCGGACTTCGATGGGAAGCCAGTGGAGCTGATAGAGGGCTGGGGTTATATGAGAATAACGCTCAGTTCGCGACAGCATCCTGGCAGCTCTATTTTGAACCATCTGAAGTATCCGGACTGTCTTCAAGGGCAGCCCCACATAAAGTGCGATACAGAACTCCAACCAGGAAGTAACCAATGCGTGTGTTACTGTTGCTAGGCAATCTTCCTCCAGGTAGGGATGCAGCTGATGGATTAGCCGAAGTTGAAGGAAAGTGCTCCTCCCCACCGCTTTCACTTGAGCTTCCAAGGACAGCTTTGGGTTGAGGAGTACTCCCAAGCTGCAGACCCTGTCCTTTAGAGGGAGTGCAACCCCGTCCAGGGCAAGGCCCAAGTCACCTACCCAGGAGCTCGAATCACCCACCAACAGAACCTCTGTCTTATCTGGACTGAGCTTCAGTTTATTGGCCCTCATCCATTACCTCGGCCAGGCACTGGTTCAATACAGCCACTGCCTCACCTGTGTTAGTTGAAAGAGAGAGGTAGTGCTGGGTGTCATCAGCATACTGATGACTCCGCAGCCCAAACCTCCTGCTGATCATATATATGTGATAAATAAAAATAAATTATATAATGTATTTTCAAATGTATATGCCACTCAATAGCCCAACAGGACTCTCTAAGCAACTAACAATATACAATAAACAGTACAAATAGAAGGGGAAGAGGGAAGGAAATCTGTTGGAGTGCGCACAATCAGTTTTTAAATTCAAATTTTGTAAAATCTGCAAAAGAGGATGGACTTTGCCTGCTGCCTAAATGAAAGCAGAAATGGCACTAGGTGGACTTATTTAGGAAGTCTGTTAATATCCTAAATATTAGCATGGTATTTCCAGATTAAGTCCAAGCATAGTTATTCAAGTTTGTCTAATTTGGGTTCAAATTCACATTCAGTTGTGAAGCTCACCAAGTTATACTAAGCCAGTCATTTAACACTCTGCTATGGAAAGTAACATTTTCCTTTGAGTCAGTGAGTGAATGCTTTGTAAAACAAAAACAAAAAGCTGGTACTTTTTAAATTTACTTTGAGCTTGCATAGATTTTATAGATTCCTTTTGTCCAAGGAAAATGTCAACAAGTTAGAAAGTCCTCAGAGGAAGATAAAAAAAAATCTAGAAGGAAATTCCTACAAGGAAAAGCAAAAAGTATAAAAACAACTCTTGTTAATGTGGGCAGGGAGTTAGACTAAACAGAGCACCCTCCCTTCTAGTTCTGTGATTCTCTATATGCTCTTGTGCAGTGAATTGTTCTTAATGACACACCTGATTCCTTTGCAGCTGGGTGAAGACACCTGTGTCCACACCCTGCTCCTCACCCAGTCCTGCCTAGCAGGAAAGGCAAGTCCAAAACTAGTCTATAAACTCAGACTAAAGCATTCCTGGGTAAAGCCAAGCCTTCTTTGCTGCTTCAGCAAGTGGAACAGCTGTGTCCTGCACATCTCTAAAAAATTAAGCATAGTCACCTACTGAGTTCTGTTGATCTTACCCCTGCCAAATTTACTGATCCATATCCCAGCCCTAGGAAATGCCTGGAAGCACAAGGGTTACAGTGCAGGCTGATGACACTGCCATAATTTAAGCACTAAGAATTTGACAGCAAACAGTATGTTCCATTTTACCAGGAAGAAAAAATGTGGCAGTTCCATCCCAGCCAAAGAGGAGATAACCCCATTTCAAACCCTAATTTCAGCTTGCTTGAGGTTTCCACTGCTTTATGGCTCATGTTACATCCCTATACCTCACACCTTTTGACATGGCACATGTCCACTGCCCTACTACTAGGAAGCTTATTCTAACATAGACTGTTGATGTCTCTAGCCATACTATTAGAGATGGAATCCTTGTGCTTATATGAACAGAATAGTAGCTCTAACACTGAGCAACAGGCAGTCCCTAAGCTGATACCAATTCATCCCTTTTACATTTCAAAAGCTAGAGATTCCTCCAGTTGCACCTCATCTCCCCAACCCCTCACACATGGGTATCTCGTCTTAAATCATATCCTAGAAAGAAAAAAAAAGATGAGACCTGTCCCCATTCTTGCACAAGCCAATCAGTTTCAACATAAGCATCTTGTGTGCCTCACTAGCTGAGCTGACTGTTTGGAAGATCAATGGAGTTATCAGCCTACATTAGTAACCATCTCTCAGCATACAGAAAACATAGGTCATCATGGCCTGGCTCTCATCTATATTCCCAATGGACTATGAATCCAGGCCAAAAACATGTTCAGTCAGTCTGACTTTTTCCAGTGTTAGATGGCTTGAGCACCATCAATCATAACTTTAAATCTCTCACTCCTATAAAAGGTTCCCAGCTGTCTCCCACCTGGGGACCGATCAGGTCCAGACCACACCTTTCTTTCAGAATACTGCAGCATCCAGTTCTTCCAGAGCAGAGGCTGACAACTTGTAGCCAGTCAGATGTTTTCATCGACAACTCCCATCACCCCTAGTCAGCCAATGGTGAAAGAATGTGGGAAATGTGGCCCACTGATCCCACCCCTATCCCATGCCATCCACTGGGCCCACCACACATCATTATGTTCTTTGATTTGGGAATCCCATGATGACCGTAACTAAACAAACTGTGTTGTGTTAAAGCATCTATGAGTCTCCAGTCCCATTCTCCAATCCACCCGATCCCAACTCAGTTGAGCTTGCAAAGTCTCAATAACAATGTGTTGTCTTAGTATGAACTGGATTCCAGGCTCAACCCACTTCTTTTTTATTGCTATTTCATACTTCTAAGGAGCCCCTAGAACAACAGGAACCCCCCCCTCCCAGAGGTCAGTTTTCAGACTGCATAACAGCCCATGGCCCCCCACTGGCAAATGCCAGCAAAGGCTTTCTCACCTCAAGGGCCTCAAGGCTGACAAAACTGGCAATGGCAAAGCCATCAATAAGATCCTCCTCCTCCTCTTCCTCTTCTTCCTCTTCATCTCGACTGCAGGATGATCCAGAAGCTCTCTTCCGCCTCCGAAGGGGGCGCCGACGCCGGCGCTGCTGCTGCTGCAGGGGGCGGCCTTTGCCAGGTGCCACTGGGGCAGGTGGGGAGGGGCCTTCACTGTCCGACCCTGAAGAGGATGACGACGAGAGGCCACAGTGGGGAGCATCCCCAGGCCGGCCCCCACGACGGCGAGTGCAGCGACTCTCACGGTCCCGCCGTGAGCAACGCCGCTTCCTCCGTGTTCGGCTACTGCTGCCTCCTCCCCCACTCCAGCATAGGGCAGAAGCTGCTGCTGTTCCTTCCATGATGCCCCACCTTGAGGTACACCAAATGCGATGTGCTGTGTCCAGTGAGAGTTGTGGACACAAGAGAAGGGGGCACCCTTCACCCCTCACCAGCCAAGTGCATTGCAGCTGTTCTCAACTGGCCCCTCCTTTTCTGTGGACACCACCCAGAGACGTAGCAAATTCAAGATCAAGGCTCTCCTCTTTTTCTATTGCAAAAAGGTTTTCTTATTCCATTACAGGAAGACCTTGCTGTCATCAACCTTTCCTTGATTTAGAGAGCCTGCTCAAAAGCAGGAGGATTTCCTCTTCATTCAAGTTTAATCTCCTATCAAGAGAAGCACTGGCCACAGTTACCCTTCTGTGAGTGCCACCTCTTAAAGGCAAACAAATTAAATTAAAAAATTAAATACTTTCAAGATAGAATTCTTAAAAAGTGGAAATTGAAGAACATTTAACTCCTGCTAATACACAGAGAGCACTCCTTGAACATGAAACCTCCCCTTTGGGTTTAGAAGAAAAACCTTCCGAACGCCAGCACTCTTGTTCCTCAGAAAGGATTTTACATCCCTCCAACTGTGAAAACAACATCAAGGGATAGGTGCCTTTGAAAGGCCAGTTCTGAAAATCCTTTTGAACAAACTCCAGTACTTAGCAGTTGTCCTACAGCTTGAAGGAAGCTTCTGATTTAAGTGCCAAGATATATAATTTTTTAGAAAAGATAAAAGAAGCTGTCCTTAGAGTCTTCTCTTCAGGATCGAGGCTTGAAATGTTCCGACAGTGTTAAGAGCTTGAGCAGCCTCCCCTTTAAGACTGCAGATATGACTCCTGCCAACAATGGCAGATGGCTTCCGCTCAGAGGGCAGTCACTTCCTCCCCTTCAGTGATGATGATGATGGCAACATCTCCCATAAGCACTTCTGTGGCAGCATCTTCTCTTCAGATCTGTCTCATGTGGTCACTTCCTCTTTGCAAAGCTCAATGTTTAAAAGGGGGCGGGGCTCCTGGATTTTTCCTCTTTCAGGGTATGACCTTGCCTTTAAGGATCCAGATTTGCACAAAAAATTCCTTGCATTCAATCCCCTTTAAGAATTTACGATTTCGAGTCCTCCACACATTTCCTGCCAAAGCATGGCCGCCCCTTTAAAAATCTGGATTTTAAAATGCTCCCTTGTCAGGCATCCACTCGTTTAACAACCGGAATTAAACACCCTCCAAACATTTTTCCTCATCAAACATTTTTCCTCATCAGCTCGCACTCCCCTTTAAGATTCCAGTGTTCAAAGTCCTCCAGAGCAACCCAAATTTCACCTTTAAGAGCCACCCCTCCCTCTTGCCACAATGAGGGCTTGAGGAGAACTCCCCTTTAAGAAGGCCGAGCTCCCTTTAAATCCATTGACAGGAGCTGGAGGTTGGGGGGGTTGTTGTCCTCCGGCTGAAAGTACCCCCTTCTTTTCGCTGCCCCCCCCAAGCTGTACCTTTAAGAGCGCCGGCCGTTGAGGGTGGTTTCAACTCAACCCCCCTCTCGCCCTCGTTCAGGCTCGAGGCAAGGGGTCCCGCGAGCCCCTAACGCTGATTGGCCGCGAGGCTGCTACCCTCCGCTATCCTCGCGCCCCCCCACAGCTGATTGGTCGAGGCGGTGAGGTGAGTAAGGATGGGGGAGGGGTGGTTGGCTCGCAGGGTCCGGCCGCGGGGAAGAGGCTGGCTCGCGTTGTACGCCCTTCCCCCGCGCGTGCGGGGGGGGGCTCTTTGGTCTCGTCGTCCTTCGCCCCCCCTCGGCTTCGTCTCCGCCGCTGCCCCCGATTCTCCCTCTCTCTAGCTGTCTCTGCCGGATCCCCTTCCTCTCTGCGCACGGCACGCAACGCCGCCCACAGCGTCATATCCCTCCGCTTCTCGCGTTGATAGAAGCAACGAAATCCCTCCGCCAGAAGAGGCGGGGGAGATAGTTCCGTCGTTTAGCCTCCATATCCTTCCTCTCAGAGACTGTTTTGGGTGGGAATATTCCCTTAAACCCTCTTTCTCTCACCCCCCCGCTCAGGGGTCACTTCCGTCTTATACCGGGTGACGTCATGGTGTCACGGAGACGAACGTGATGCAATGATGTCATACACCTCCGAGCACTCCCTTGCAATTATGTCACAAGAGCCACGTGTGATGTTAATATCGCAGCGCAGAGGGCTGCGTCGTCACGCCGTTGACAAAGGACCGTCGGACGCCACTGCGCCTCCGTGTGATGCAACCCAGCGGCAGCGCCTCTCGGATTCTGGCCATGCCCGAGTCATCTCCCCCGCTTGCCTCCCGGAAGCCCCTTGCGGAGTTTCGTGCAGCAGCATTTCCTAGCCCTTATATGGAAGCGCTTGGCACAGCGTGCGGTGTATCCAGTGTTAGTCCCGCTTAGAATAGGCCCATTGACATGAATAGGACTAAAGTCATAGCTCAGAGATGGCCCATCCATGGCACTGGATCCACTGCCAGTGGGACTAACGCTGGATGCAGTCCCATGCTCCCTGCTAAGCTCGCAGGCCTTCTGTTGGTTCAAACAGTGCAGCCATAGGAGCCACTTTGGTCTCCTGGAGGATCATGTTATAACAAATCAAGGATGCTCCTACAGCTTTATTATCTGATATAGCACGATATAGGGGTTGCTAAATGTATGTGGTGGTTTTGAACAGCTCGAATCCTCAGAGCTTGAGAGGAAGAGAAATCTCAAATGCACAAGGAAGCAGGGTTAGTGGCTGCTTAAATGGAAGCATTTAGGTCAAGGCCAACTTCAGCACCCCATACACACCCTGCCAAGGCCTTAAGGTCCCGCAACTAGGAATATGCAGATTACCCTGGGGAAAACTGACTTCAGCTTCTTGCTGTGGGGATTAGGGAAGGAAAACTAGGAAGTAGTACAGCATATAAATGTTGTTGAACCAATAGGAAACAGTGACTGTGGTACTATCAGATTTAATATACAGTTAAGGTGGAAGACTGCTAAAGAGGTCAAACATACTTGTGTTTGACTTCAAAAATGAAAACTTCTCAGAAATGAGAGAACTAGTAAAGTTGAAAAGAGGAATCAAGACGTGTATATCACTTCCAAGTGCTTGGAAATTACTCAGAAACACATACTGTGCATATGACAAGTGAGGAAAGATAGCACAAAGTCCAGGAAATTACCAGCGTGGTTAATACAAAGACTCAAGCAAGCTATTCAAGAGAAGAAAACTTCCTTCAAAAAATGGGAATCTTGTTCAAATGAACAGAAGGGACCACAAAGCTTGCACAAGGGAGATGCAAGCAGGCCATGAGAGAAGCAAGGAAAGAGTTTGAGGAGCACATCGCTAATAAAGAATTATTTAAACAACTGAGAAAGCAGCGGGGACATTGAATGATAGTGGATTTAAAGGAGTGGGGATGGGAAGATTTGCAGAGAAGCTGAATTTTTTCCATCAGTTTTCACAGCAGAGGATGAACAGCACATACCTCTTCTGGAGTTTATGTATTCTGGAAAGGCGTCTGAAGAATTAAGGCAGATAGTTGTGACAAACAAATTCTCAACCTTGACAAACTGGAAGTCAGAGAATCACCTGGTCTAGATGGTATCTCAAAGAAACACAAAATTGCTGTCTTTCTTACCAAAATATTTAATATGCCTCTAAAATCAGCCCTTGCACTAGAGCAGTGATGGCAAGACTTTTAGAGACCGAGTGCCCAAACTGCAAGCCAAAACCCACTTACTTATTGCAAAGTGCCAACATTAGAATAAAACCTGAAAACTCAGGTTTTAGTTTAGAAAAAACAACTCATACCCAATCCAAGCAAATATTTATATATATCCTTGGCAGCGCAGACCAGCTATGCGGAAGCTTGGACAAGTCACAGCTAATGAGTTGTGGCACATGATGTGATTGCCTGGCACGGCTACTCCTTTCCAAGCATGCGCATGGCCCCTGTGTGCGCGGTTATCTGATGCATGGCTGCTGGGGCGATGCTGGGGCAACTTGGCTCGCATGGTGACAGAGGGCTCTGCCTTAGGTTCACCACCACTGACCTAATCCTACCCTGGTGCACTCTCCTAATCCTAATATAGGGGGAAAATACCATTTAAAGGGGCAGTTTTGAAAAAGCCTGCCTTGAGAGAGAGAGAGAGAGAGAGAGAGAGAGAGAGAGAGAGAGAGAGAGAGAGTGAGAGAGAGAGAGAGAGAGAGAGAGAGAGGTGCTGGACTAGATGAACCTCTGGTCTGATCCAGCAGGGCTTTTCTTGAGTTCTTACAACAGTTTTGAGATAAAATGAGGCATACAACATTAGGTCACTTGTGACACCGGAGCACAAGTTTCAAGGAAGAATTTAGATTTTTCTTTTTAAATGTCTGATGGTATTTAGGAAATTATTAGTTGCCTATTTCCCTATGAAAAATAAATATGGAGATTTGGCAGGGAATTTTAAGAAAATTAGCTGACTCTTGGAACTGGAATATGGCTAGTGTTTCTCTTATTTGTGCTTTAGCAATGGCTGTGTCTTTTCAGGAGGAGGTAATGATATGGATCAACTTTGTGTTGGAAAGCTTTTTAATTTTTTTTATCATGTTCTTAATTACCTACTTGCATCCTGGCAGCTATCAAATGGATGTTTTTTTCTACACTCTTTTGACATCTACAAGATTGATACTATGAATTGCGGACTTGGCAACAGTTTCAGCTTCTGAACCAATCTTCTTTAGGTGCAGCCTATGAATGGATGAATATGCTGTGGATAGATCTTTATATATCAATTATGTATTTCATATGTATCAAATGTAATTGATCTATTCAAACCTTACATAAGAAACCTTTTTTTGTTATTCTTTTGATTTAATGAACTTCACAATAAAAAGTTAAGAAAAGCCTTCCTTTCAACAGCTGTCAAAAGTTGCATTTGTGAACAGGAAGCGGACTCATGATCTTCATTTGCCAGAGAAGTTGGGGCTTCACGAAAGCGAAGAAAATGTGTGGGGAATCGCCTTGTCCTTTTGTAAGCAAAGATCCCTTGTGGTTTTGCTTTTTCCCTGTTTTTGGCTGCTGCAACTGTACGCATTAAAAAAAAACAAACAACTATTTGCCAACTTGTCTTGGTCAACAGCTATGGTTGATTTGTATTGCACTTGGACAGCAAACGTTTACCAAGAAGGCATTGCCCAGGCAAGCCTTCCTTTTTCAGCCATTAGAAGTTCTGCAACTGTGGAAAACCAACAAAAAAATGAAATGACAAACGGATTTGTGCACACTCAGTTGTACAAAACAGTAATTTTTATAAGGTGAATGACTTGACAGCCCTTCCAGTGGGCCTTGGACACTTTGGAGGGGCTGTCACTTTGGAAGTTAAGACAACTCACCTCTAGGAGGATGGGAGAGAAGCCAGCGGTAGTTCAGAAATACTCATGACTGGAGTTGGGAGAGGAAACAAGGCAGATACCAGGGCAAGGAGCTGAGGGACAACAAATTCGTTGGGCTTACTATGGGTTGTCCCATGAACAACCCAGACTACATTGCTTATTGTCAGGATGGGGTTGCCATGTTGTACAAACTTATCCTCTCTCTTTTCCTGTAATAAGAAGGGATGCAAATTTCCTATTTGGTGGACTCAAACATACAATGGTAATGAAGAAGGTAAACTGTGGTATGAATGCAAAGATCTAAAATTAGGCATTAAATGCAAGTTCGGAAAAACTGCATCATAGACACTATGAATCTAAAACCATCATTACTGGTGCCATCTCATGTATGTAAAGATTGTAATGCAGCATGCCTGGCCTGGCATTTATTCAGCATACTGGCAATTTCTCTACACATTTGCAATCATTCCTGACGAAAGACAAATTTGCCAGGGCCCTTATTTGGTATGCACGCTGTACATAATTCACAATGTTCATTTTACAGGGGCTTGCCCCAGTGCAGAATGCCCCCTGGGATCAGTCTCCCAGGCTTGATGTCAGAACCTGGCATGCTAGGCCAATGGCATTGCTCATCAGGGCTGCTGCATGCATCACTTAAAAAAATAAAACCCTTAAAAAACCCAGCCCCCTGAAATGAAGAGCAATGTAGCCACCATCTTTATCATCCCAGAATGCCACTTGGCCCCAGCCTAGTATATGCAGACAAAATTATGAGACTGCACCAGTCATCTCACTCGGTGCTTTACTGTTCTGTGGACTGTCATCATCTACTCCAAAGGATCCCAGCCGGCTAAGTTACAGGGAGACGAGTTACAGGCAGCTGGTGTGGTTGAGACACGGCAAAGCAGCATCAAGTGAAGCTGCTGCTACTTTCATTTTTTAGAGGGTGCCCAGAGGGCAGCTGGTGCCAGCTCTGCAGTTTCCCCATGTGCTACATTTGGAGTCCAGACAAATGCAGAGATCAGAATACACTTTTCCCCCAAGCGGAAAAGTTTATTAGAAATATAGCTTAATACAAAACAATTCAAATTATTTTTCTCTCCCCACTCCTACCCTCCATCATGCCTAACAGAACACGGTCCCATTAAGTTTCACTAAACTTGGGGTACTGAGGCCTCAATCCAGGACAGAGATCCAAAAGGATTCTATCCGGACTCCCCACCTTCCATCCTTCAACAATCAGCAAGGACATGGGCCCTTTTCCCAGCCTCTTAGTACCTCTTCCTTGGCTTTACGTTAAGCTTTTGTGCCATCACAAAACCTGTCCCTGCTGCTTCTTTCCCATAAACTCTTTATTTGCTCTCTCCATCCAGGAGGCACATTATGTTCTGCATTCAGATTTCGCTTTGGTGGCAACAGTAGCTCCAGGATGTGGGCAACTTACCCCCCTCAGTTGGGTGAAGTCTCTCACAGGGGGCATAACAGGGTATTAGACCTGTGTGTTCCCCCACCCCCATCATGAGGCACCGATGGTCTGACTGTGCATAGAACAGGCAGCTCTGGGGCACCACAGACATTCTTCCCCTTTTGCTCACGAGGCACGGAGCTAAGCAGAAGGAGACCAGCGTGGCACAAAAGTAGGCACCATGGCCTTGAACGACACCCAATCACCCCCCCCCCTTGCATAGCAGCTCAGAGAGTGTCACAGGGTCAACGGACGACGAGGCCACAGTCACAAGACACCAACTGGCAGAGACAGTACAGGAGGATCTGGAGTGGTAATGGTGGCTTGGGAAGAAAAGCCCTTTAGTTTCAAGGAACAGGCAACTGGGGACGGAGCAGGAAGCAGGGGCCCTGCTCTTTCCTTGGGAGAGATGTAGGCTCGGCTCTGCTCAGCTCAGCACTCATCATCTTCTTCCTGTTCAAACAGGGCATCCAGCTCTGCTAGCCGCTGCTGCAGCAACTCTTCCAGCTCTGGGGAGCGGGGCTGCTGCTGCCGCCGCCCCCCTGCCCTCCGGCTCCCTCGGGAGCGAGCTTTGCGCTGCTTGCGAGGAAGGCCCCCCTCCCGGAACTCCATAGCCCGCTTCAGCTTGCGCTGGCTGGTGAAGATGAGCACCCCGTTGCGTTCCAGAGGGACCTCAAAGATGGTCTCAAATGATCTGCAAGGGAAGGGAAGGAGGTGGGACCCCAGGACAAGGAGAGAAGCACCCAGAGATTCCCCTCCCACTCTCCAGACCAATTGATAGAGGCAGGCATGAAGAAAGCACAAAGAACTGAAAGATCAACTGTGGAATCCACCCTCGCCCCCAAGATCCTGTAGCTGGGATCAGAGAAGCAAGTGCTAATATTGTCATGATCTGGGTGTAAGGCCGGGTTTTGGTTGAAATTGGAATAACTGGGCAACATCACGGGTGGGCAGGAAGAAAGAAGTCAAGCATGCAACAGGCTTGTATAGTGGCTGAAATGTGAAGCCAAGAAAAACATTAAAACACCTTTGCAGTAAGACAACTCCATCTGAAGCTCTCTTTATATTCAAGGGCTTCAAATCTAACTGCCCTGATCCTAAGATCTAGAAACATTTCCATGTTAAAAAGAAAGAAAACAACAAGTACACAGTCATTCTGGAGGGCAGCTAAGACCCAAAGGGGCACAGGAAGATGCCTGTGTACCCTCCAGCGTCTCAACAGGAGTAGCCCACTGGCCCAACTGTGACTCCAGAACGGTAGGGGGCTCAGTGGCCCAAGCCATGCAAAGACCCGTTGAGAAAACACAGGTCATGAGCAAGATGGCCACAGTTCATCCACCCATTTGAGTCCAGTGCAATTCGTATCATGTGCACATCACTTTTGCAACACGGGGCAAACGTCAAAGCTACAGGTGGCCAACAGCTCTCCTCGCTTTCTGTTTTGATGTCACTGCACCAGAAATTCACTAGCACTGAAAGCCTGCCAGCCCCTGCTTGCCTCTATGTTGCAGCAGGAGTAGCCACCCAGATGCCTCAGCTTACAATTCCCATCAGCCCTAGCCAGCACAGGCAAGGTTAGGGATCATAGGAGCTGCTGGGCAAAACAGCTGGAGGATGAGCTAAACCAAGGTAAGCCAGTAGTGCCATTTTCTATGCCTCCCCAGCTGCCGCCATCACTCTGTGGCACAATAAAACCTTTTTACAACGAACGCTGAACATTTGCAAGCGTGCTCAGATTGCAGCTGGAGCTTACGGCTGTCAGACAGAATCTGGATTCCCCACCTGCAACAGCCAAGCAGAGTGAGAAAGGAAGCGTGCACAGAGCTGTGATGTTCCTCACCTCTTTTCTGTGGGCGTGCGGTAGTTCTTGTTTGTGTAGATCTCCTCCAGACTGAACTCCTTCTTGTTCAGCCTGGGAAAAGGAAAGAGAGCATGTTCATCCGCGCAGGTCTTCCTGGCCAGTGACCAGATGGCACCTTGTCGGGGTGTGTGGAGGCAAGGAGCAATCGCTGGAGCTCTGCTATGCAGCCAGAGATAGTCTCCTCCCAGGGAAACAGGGCGGCCCTGTCACTGTCCAGCTCAGCTTTCCTCAAATATGCTAACCAGAGGATTATGGGAGTTGTTTCATCTGCTCCATCTAGAGGGCACCAGGTCAGGGAAGGTCACTATAGCTTGCCTTCTTCGTGACTGGTCTCTCTCAGGTTGACTCTATCTGACCCCGCAGCCTTGCCTACTGGTCCTCATTGCCACCACCCCTTCCTGAGATCCCAGCAGTCCTGGCTGCAGCCCCTGCTGCTCCTCTGGCCCACCCCCAGTTCTCCCGAACATTCTCCTCTAACCCCCAGCTACAGCAGCCCCAGTCAGAGAGATCCTGGATTGCTTCAAACAGGAGTGAGAAGCAGGTGGCCACAACACATCTTTAATACGAGGGAGCAATCTTCATTCTTCACCAGGAGATGCCATGCCACGTAGACCCTCTCCTCCTTTGACGTGCTTGTCTAACCCCAGGCTGCCAAGCCCCTCCCCACTTCACCTCCAGGCACAGGGGGATCTGCACCCTCACTTCTCAGAATCCCCCTCTCCTCTTCGGGACCCCCCTCACCTGACAGGCCGTGGAAGCCCCATGGGAGTGAGATTGGCTTGCTGCCTGGCTGGTGCCTTGCGGATCCTTATGCAGGACACTTTCCCAATCGTGCTGTCTTGCGATCCCTGCAAGTTTTAAGGCGAGGAAGAGGGCTGTGGGAACAAAATCCCTAGAATGGGGGTGTGGGGGATGATCCACCAGCACCCATTCCTCACAGCCCTACTACACCAGACCTGGGTCAAGCAGTGACTGACCTTCATTCTGACCTTGGAAAACATCATCTGCTCTGATGCAACCAGCTCGGAGTCAGCCACGTCCAGGCTGACCCCAGGAACCTTCTGCCGGCCATCAGGGGAACGGGAGATGTCCCTATGAAGACCGCAGGGGTGGGGAAGGAGCAGACAAGCAGAAGCAAAGCTTAGATGGTCCCCAGTTTGAGTAGGGAAAAGCTCACACAGCAGCAGGAAACCACCAGATGATGGCTGTGGAGAAGGCCTCTCTCTGGGAGACCTGGACAGCCACACTGAGACTGCAGAAGGGCTGGATTGGGCTCATGTGCCTGAGGGGCCACACGCTCCAGGGAGAGCCTCCACATGCCCACTTGTTGTCCAAGCAGAGCAAATGAAAAGCGATCAGAAAGGAAAGGAGGTCTATGCCCTGCCTTGTTCAGGTGGGCTTGCCCAACAGATGCATGGAGAATAGACATCCAGCTTCTCCATGGGGCAAGGAGGGGCAGAGTGTGGGGAGGAGGCGAACGGCATTACCTGGAATGAGCTGGCTCAGATTCGTGGCAGCAGAAAGGCACAGGAGAAGCGTAGGAGGAGCCATCGCAGTGGGGCATGTGCCCCAGAGGCCCCAGCAGGAGCCAGGTGGGGGGCGTGCTGAACGGATACACCTCCTTGCGCAGGCATGGCGGGGTGGGACGGCCGAGCTCGCGAGACACTTCCAGACTGCAGACGGTGTGGCGGCGCTGGCGCAGATGTGAGAAGTAGGGAAAGGCTGTGGGGGAGGCCTGCCAAGCACGGACCCCAGGGAAATCGGGGCAGGAGTAGCTGCGTCCGAGGCGGGGCTGAGGAGCAGGGTCCCCTTCGTTCAGGCGCCACTGGCGAATTGGGGGCCGCCCGCTCACCACCATGCTGGCTGAGTCCTCCTCCTCCTCCTCCTCCTCCTCCTCCTCTTCATGGGAGCAGCCTCTCTTCCAGGGACGGGGTTCCGAAATGGCAATTTTCACCTTGATGTTGACTCCTTGGCTTGGGGATCCCGCCTGAGCAGCTGCCTGGTCACTGTTTCCATGTGGACACGGAGACAGGGATGGCGTGCTCTCACTGGACAGAAGGGCGGGCTTGGACGGGCTGAGGAAGATGTCGGCGAAGGCTTCCAGCTTCGAGCGCATGCTCTGGAAGACGGGGGCCAGGCCCCAGTGCTGGAAACGCGGGACCATCGATGGACGCAAGAGGGTGGAAGCCAACGGGGGCCAAGAGGAGGGCGCGTCCGCTGCCTCAGAGGATGCATCTGGCAGGAGGGACAAAGCGGCACCGATGCAGGAAAACGGAAGGAACAGGAGCACGTGCCCTTGCGGCAGCTGCCCTGAACCCCCCACCTTCCAAACTGGAGGAGAACGACAACCCCCACCATCTCCAGCCGACCGGGACAATGGTGCCCCCCTCTGGCTAGCTCCCTCCAGTGGTTTGGACTGCAACTGCCACCATGCCCCATCAGCGGACTCGGGAAGGCTGGCAAGAGCCACAGCAGCTGAAGGTGTTTGGCACGGCGGTCTGACAAGCCATGGAGGAGGCTGGAGGAGGCCATGTGCCGTGTGGTGCTTGGGTCTGGCTGCCCCGCGCAACGGATGCAGCATCTCGTCAAACGTGCCATGGCCCTCATGCCTCTCTGGAGGCAGCTCTGAAGGGTTACTGGAGCACCAGCTCACATCCGTCTTGGTTCCCCACACTATCACCAAGTTTCCTGGGCTTCCAATTTGTTAGCCAGGGAAGGGCTGATCCGGGTGGCTTCTCCAGACACAATGGCAAGGAAACTGGAAGGCAGTGCCCACCCAGCTATCCTGACCATTAGCCTTGCTGGCCGAGGAGAATGGGAAACGAAGTCCAAAGCATCGGGATGGCACCAAGCTGGGGCAGCCCTGCCCTAGCACTACAGTGAGACTCCTTTAAGTCATCAGACTCAAGCCAAAGGTCCCTCCCCCAGAAACCAAAACCTACTTTATTGATATCTGTAAGTTGCCTTAGACTGAAGCAGGGGGAAAGCATGAGGTACATATTTTAAATAATTCTAATTACACCATGGGAAATGTGCTGGATTAAATGAAATTTGCTAAATTCATCAAGAGCAATGATGCCCCAGTAAAACGGACACACATGCTGACTTCCACAGACTCCTGAAATACCCCCTTGCCCTATAAGACAGGTGAACAGGCCACAGTGCCTAATTTTGAGCCTCTCACACCTGTTTGATAGTTGTGCTCATGCAGGTCTGAAGCAGCCGGCTTTTCTGCATTTGGAGAAGGTGATTGGTGAGGCGACGTCAGCTGATCGCTCCTGCGTGAGAACAGAAAGATGGGGAAAAATGATGGGCACCTTCCTTTGGCCCTTCAAAATCAAGATGCTGTAGAGCAAACTTCTCCAAACATGTGCCTTGTTAGAATATCGGTCTCATCACATCCAACCCAAGGCAACAGTGGTTGAGGATTAAGGGAGTTGTAGTCAGAAGAGCACCAGGTTGCCTGCTCCTAGCCCTAGAGATGTCCAGGGCCCAAAAACAAAGAGAAAAAAATTACCATCCCAAGTTCCTTGGGGTCTGAAGGGATACAAAAGGCATCGAAGCTGAACCTTGAGATCTGTCAATTTTCCTGCGGTGTAACTGGCCCCATACTGAAGGCCAGGAGAATGAAGCTCAGCCAGCTCCAGGCCTTAGCTGCTTTGGAGATGGGAGCACTCACCTGCAGGGGGACGGGCATGTCTCCTGCCGCTCCTTGCCAGCGCCAGCATCCTGCCAGCAAGAAAAGATGTCTGAACCGAAACGTGGACCAGCCCATCACCCTCCAAGTCCCTTGGTGCAATTTGGCCCAAATTGCCCCTTCCCCCTTGTCGAGGCTGTCCACCCCCACAAACTCACCAGGGCCTGGCTCAAAGGAGAGTCCTCCACACCAACAGTCGTGAGGCGCAGAGAAGCCTGCTCTGGGGGGCAGGCCTTGGTCCCCTTGCTCTCACTCGTCAGCGAGATCCCCTTTTGCAGACGCTGCCGCTTCGCTTGCAGGCGCTCCGACTCACGGCACTGGGAGGGAGGCAGCCTCTGGGCCCACAGACGCCGGCACGCCCGAGCTAACCGCTGCCGAGGCTCCTGATGGGGTGGGAAGCCCACTGCAGATAACCTGTGGCAGAGCGAGCGAGAAAGAGAAGCACCTTCAGGCGCGCTGTCCCCTGTGCAGCCGCCCCGTCCCTTGCGTCTTACGGACCCTTGCTCACCTGCATGTGCTGCACCTCTGACCCACTGCTAGCTCGGATGGACCCTCTTCATCTACTGTTAGCTGCTGGCAGGAATTTGTGTGGGGAGAGCCGGTGGGTCTTTGTGGCGGTGAGCACCCTTGTGGTTCATCCTGGACAAAGACAGTCACACCCTCACGTGTGAAACAAGCCGGCTCCGAGGCCTTCCTTCCCCAAGCAGGAGTCACTCATGGGGATAATCCACCACAGAGGTGACGTCATATGGGTGAACTGATTCCTTCCCACCGTGCAAGAAGTCACTGGGCTTCCCTACTTGGAAGTGGTTCCAGCAGGAAGGTCCTCGTGTAAGAGCTGAATGCACTGGTTGGTGCATACAAAGACAGTCAGAGCCTTTCACATGAAGGAACAAGGAACTGGAAGGGCTGCTCCCAGCTCTCTGAACTGAGCTCAGAAATGGATTGGGAACCAGTACAGCTGGCACAGCACAGGCAAAATATGATGCATAAGCACCTAGCCAATGATCTTGCAACCACCATTGTGTACTTTAAAAGCAGACTCACATACAGAGCATTATAGATTATCAGAGTGTGGATAACTAATGCCAGACTTTCTTATTCACTGCTATTAACATTTCACAGATAGTGACCTGATTGGCACAGAAACAGAGCGAGTCAGAAGGGGATTCCCCAGCCATCTAGTTTGACCCCCGGCTGCTGCTGGCTCTGCTCATGACATGCCTACCATGTAACAACAATCAAGAGTATGGGTTGAATATGTGTTGCCACTGAACTGTAGGTTGCCATTAAGTGCAAATCCTGCACTATGGCTTAACCATGGTTGTTAAGAGCAAACAATCCAGGAAGAGAATCCACAGTTTGTTGCTGGCTTGTGAACTTGAAATTGCTCATGGTTAGTATTCCACAGTTAAACCACAGTGCAGGGCTCACAGGTTAAACCATGATTCAACCAATACTTCAGATTATTGATGTATGCACTCCAGGCCAATATGCGTACAGATCAACTCTTTCCCTGAGAAGGGTTAGGTACCCTTTAGCAGGTTTTAAGAGGGAAAATGGAGGCAATTCCCTTACTTGGAAATAAATTGGCAATAAAAAGTTTCCTCATGTGAGGGACTGGGTTTGGTTCAGGGCACCAAGTTCTGATGTTACTTTCAACAACATTTTTTCAGTGGTGCTATCCCCAGTTTGTTCAGTACTTAGACTATGGTTTTTCATTGCTAGGTGACATCTTTTTTTTTAAATGTTCACAGTCTTGAAGCCCTTCAGTTTTAAAAATTCAGTTAAAAGATCTATTTTTAGAGCTTTGCACAGTTCCTGGCTTTTATTTTGGTTTTGTTTCTTTTTAACCTTAAGGTTTCCACCACTGTATTAGTACCCCCTTTCTGTCCCTTGCTCCCCACTCCCCAGCATCCTCACAGGCACTTGGGTGATGGAAAAGTCCTCCAGGCCAACAGCCAGCACCCTCCGCTGCTTCTTCTCCATGGGAGATGCCACACGCCATAGGGTCTTGTCTCCCCTGCCACAAGCTCCTCCATTCTTTTCTGGCACTGAGGTTGAGCCCTGATGAAGCCGTTGTCTCTTGCTGGGTGAGTGCCCTGCATCCCCATATAAGGTGGGAGAAATTCTGCCACTCTCAAGGGGCTTTCGCTGCACTGCAGGAGACTCCTGCTCGTCAGGGGCTGGCCTGAAAATATAGAATGACAAAAAGAGAATCCCAAGGTAGCAACATACCTTCTTGCTCCCTGCTCCTACCTGAATATGCTCTCTCCTTACCTGTAGATTATGACTTTTCGTCGGTTGACCTGTCTCTCAAAGGCAGATGTGGGTTGAGGGTTCCCCTCCGATGTTCCTTCAAAAAGGTGGTATTCCATAGCTGGCCTCAGAAGGCACCTCCCTTCTGGAGGTATTTGGAGGCCGCCCCAGGCCACCCCACAAGGTCCTCATTCCTCACCCATCTGCTTCAAGCAAAAAAAAAAGAACAAGCACTTTTAAATTTTCTTATATTATTTCTGTGCCACTCAAATAACAATGTCCTCTGAGCCACTGATAATACAAAGTAAAACCATGATAGCAAACCCAGAAAGCCCTGAAATCAGAACACAACTCCATCCCAGTACAAGACTAACCAAGAGTGCAACTCCCATACATGTTTACACAGAAAAATGCATTTCCGGTCCCAGTATACCCCAGCCAGCCATGCACCCTGAAGAAAACGATCCTGCAACAGCAAAACTTTAACATAGCAAAGTTCAAACACAGAAGACCCCCCAAAAAATGCTAAAACAAAAGGCTATTCCCCTGGCATTGAAAGGAATAAACAGAGCCAGTAGAAGAGCCTCTTGGGAAAGGCACTGAGAAAACACTAAACTTAAAACACAGATTTAGCTGTGTCCCATATTGCATTCTCAAATTTAATCTGGAATATGTACCACTAACTGGTTGTGTTCTCATAGACTCTAATATAGATTATAATCATACTTCTGCTCTTCATGACAGGGGTAGAAGTTTATGTTCACTACTGAAACCAAGAACGATTTAAGGGCAATCCTACACATGCCTATTTTGAAGGAAGATTCTCTGCGTTCAACAGGACTTACTCCCAGCTAAGACTGAATCCTAAGTGAATCCACAGGCATGGTCCCCTGTGAATGCCTCCCACTGCATTTGGCTCAAACATTTATTCCTCCAATAGGCAGTGAACAAGACACAAAGGGAAGCAGAGAGAGGCAGTAATTATGCCTCCCCTCAGATATGGTAATTATGAAGAATTCATGGACACGCAAGTATCATGTTAGTGGCAATCGAAATCTGTCTCTCCCCAAAACTCTTGCAGTGAGCCTGCAGGATAACCACACAAGAAGTTCAAATGAAGATTGAAAAGTTTTGCAACATCAACCTGGAAGTTTGTCTGCAGAAACTTCAGCACAGTGAGATGTGCAAGACTGAGCAGCCTCTCAAAAATGCAAATAGGATGGAGCAGTGAATTAACAGGGAAAAATCAGAAAATATAGGTTTCTATAGGTAGCCAGAAAGGTACATTCAGGAAGCTCATAAAGGTATGAATGGAAAATAAACCCCTAGTCCACAACTCTTCAAAGTTCCCAGTAAACACTATGGACAAGCAGCATTTCTGTGGCTTATACACCTCTGTCACACAAATCTTCCACAAATGTTCTCCTATCTGTTATTTTCCCCACCCAAGACACTGAGTCTAAAGGTTATTCAAAGTTGCAGCTGGAAAGGCACCCAACCAGTCCAAGAGAAGAGGAACAGCCAAGGCAGCATGACAGAAATGATGGCAACAAAAAGCAGTTCTGCTGGCCAAAATAAGCAAAGGCAAGGAGGCGCATAAGTAGAAGGTGAAAGCTGAGGCCAGTGGTGAATATCAGGCAGGGTTTGCCCACACTTTCCCTACAGAGCAACCAAGCCATCCACTTTCAAATCCCAGCATTCTTGACTACTAGTCATGTTGCTGGTGTTAATGGGATTGGAGGTCCAAAATGTCCGGAGAGAAAAGGGTTGGAGAACACCATTCCAGAGAGGACGTGAAATGGAAATACAGCCCATGTAGGGATATCCTCTCATTCATCATTTTCTACCCAACCATATTTCACAGAGTAGGAGAGGCTTCCTTCACCTAGTGCCTTCCAGATGTTTTAGACAATAGCTCCTGTCATGCCTGACTACTGCCCATGCAGGCTGAACTGAACAGCATCCAAAGCAGTCCAAACCTTTTGGAAACACCGGCTTGTGGAAAGCTGGGATAGGAACATCTAACACCCCCACAACAACCTCCCTCCCCTTCCTAGGCCCACCCCCAATTCCACTCCAAGCAAGTGCTCACACAGATCTTCCCCACTCTGTCCCACTGAATGGACTTCAAGACTTCCATCATAATCTTCCCTACAGTGTCAGCTGCAGGATTTGGACCGGACGTTCGCAAGGCTCCATCGCTGCTGTTCCCTTTCGCCCAGTCTGGTCTCTCAAGGTCAGCCTTTCCGAAGCCGATGCTCTCCAAGAGTTGCGGACGTCGGTCCCCAAGATCCCCAGCCAGCATGGACAAAGCCCAAAAATCGCAGGAGGCACAGTCTACCTGCTAGGGAATGGCAGCACTGCAGAGGCTGCCGCCTCTTTTCCTTGCCCCGCTCTCGACTGAGAGACGAGAGCGGATGAGCGAGCACGCAGCCACAGCGGTGCACGGGCTGCCGGCAGACCGCCAATCGCCTCCACGATCCGGCCCCGGCTCAAGCGCCCTCTCCGAGCCCTTCGCGCCCCACGCCCCCGGCAAGCCTCGGTACTCTCTCTCCAATTTCGTGGGGAACCTGCATTCCCGCTTTTTCCAGCAGATCCTCCTCCATGCAAGCGTCTCCTCCATTTCCTCCCCAACCCACCCCACCCCACCCCAGAGCGCCCCACCACTTCTCCCCTGCAAAGTTTCCCCCTCTCCATCACCCCCGGGGCATCTTTCCCCGCTACAAGGATCGGCAGCAAATCCCTCGCTTCACCTCAGCCCCACCATTCGCCGAGCACGTCCTTCGCAATGCTCCGTCCCGGGGTATCCTCTCCCCCACCCCACCCCACCCCACCCCCTTCCTTCGGTTTATTTATCTCAAAGGAGTAAACAAACTCCTAACAAGCAAAACACAAAGAAATAAAACTAAATTTAAACATACCCCCAACTCGGCTCGTGCCCGCCTGCTTCCCCTCCCTACAACTCACGAGCTTACTCTCCCTCCTCCTCCTCTTCCTCCTCCAGCCCTTCTCGTAAGCAGCTCCTCGACACTACCCGATCCTCCTTCAGATCCAGTTCATCCAATAGCAGGATGGCTTATTTTTGCCCTCAGCCAATGCGCACATATCTTCTTTACCGAAGTTGGACGGCTAAAGTAGTGCCATCATTGCTTAGGGCAAAATTTGAAGACACTCTGTGCGTAGCGACGTAGAAGACCAAGCTGAGTTTCTAGAAAAGCACCGTTGTCCGCCTTCTTAGATAAGGGTATGACCACTCGTGAAGTTGATAAGGCCGCCATCTTGGGCAAGGGCAAAAAAAAAGGCACGAGACGAATATGAGAAGAACTAAAGGGCGGTAACCATTTTGGATAAGGGCATTAACTAGATGGCGCCGTTTAGAATGCCGCCATTTGATGGGAGGACTAGGAAACTGAGGATTTAAAGGGATAGTGTTTCCGCTATCCGGCTTAACGTGATGGAATAGTCTACTAATTTAGTTTTCTTCCCATACTTACTATTTCCGAAGGAGATTTCTTACTGTTGGAGATAAAACCTATCTCCAAAGGAAATTTTAAATGAAAAACTATGTTTAAAAATTTTGCAAGGGGAATAGGGGTTGGAGATAATCTTGTGTTTCGATAATCCAAAATCTTCTGCTAGGGTTCAGCTCCCCCGAGGCTGCTGTCCTATACACATTTACCTGGAAACGAGATCCATGGAATTAAATGGGGTTTACTTCAGAAAAGACACGCACAGATTTGCACTGTCAAATATGTACCATATTTCAACAGAAGATATTTGCTCCCTTCAAAAATAAATACGTGATAAAGTTTATTTATTCCCCAGCTTTCTTTGCCACTTTTCACAGAAGTACTAAGCAGACAAGCAGACAATAAGGAGCATCTAATGTCTGAGTAAACCCATTCACTTCAGTGGGTAGACTCTACATAAGGTTAATGTTGAAAACAGAATTACACAATAGTAAATGTATGCTAATGTGCAGTAAAAACCCATAACACCGCATTGCATTCACGTTGCACCACAGAGTACAGCTAGCTCAGGCAAACGTCAGGGAAGGTCTGTGTGAAGAATGTTCATCGTAACATCATGCCAAGACAGCAAAAAGATAAAAAATGAAAGACTAGTTAAGTATGCGTATAAGCATATAACACATAATCCTATGCACATAGAGATAGAAGAGTCCCACAACATGCTGGCTGAAGAATGCTAAGAGTTGTAGGTAATTTTTCTGACTAAACATGCATAGAACTGTATCTATGTCACAAGAATCAGGTTCATTACTACTGGACAATTCCTCCTTCCAGTCAATTTCCGATTCATTTAAGGCACCATGTCTTCCTAAAGTGAAGACAGCTTAGCTATGTTGGCTGCAGCATGCTGGAAGTTACAGGCCTTTTTCTGACTAAACCTGCATATGATTGCACCTTTAGTTCATTTAGCCATGTAATAATAATCTTAATACGATGATGCAGGGCCAGGCACTCAAGATTGCAGCACACTGCCTTTCTGACCTTTCCTACTGACGCTCAGAAGAGCTACAACTTTTCTTCTCACGGAGCCATTGGGTAAAACAAGCGCTGTTCTCCGCGTCCCTTCCCTCAAATATGCCCTTGCTGGAATGAAGGACCTCAAAACGTTTCCTTCTTCTGGAGCACCCTTCCCCAGCCGACGGCCCTTTAGAGGCATTGGACTACAACTCCCAGCATCCCCTTAGGATTTATAGTCAATCCATCCGCAGGGCACCAGGCGGATAAAGTTTGCTAGAAATGCGTTTTCCATATTGTGAGCGCCGCCTCCTTCTCTTTCCATCTCTGCCATTCACTCATTCCCTGCTCGCCTAGCCCTCGTGCGCTGCATTTCGCTTTCCCCGTTGCCCCGCCGCCTCCCCTCCCTTTTCTCTTGTGTTGTTGTTATTCTAAAGCGCGATCCTCTCTGATTTTAGGCAGGAAAAAGTCCTACAACTCCCAGCACGCCCCAGTCGTTCATGCTGGGAATTGTAGGACTTTCTCCCCACGCAGCCGTTTGTGCGCGTATTGGTTTTAAACTCACTCCAGTTTGGAGGGGGGACATGACTACATCTCCCAAGATGCCATGCCTTTCCTCTCCTTCCCGCCACTCCTTGCGCTGAGTCGGCTGGATGGGAAAGTCCGCTGCAAGCGCCGGGTGCGTCCCGTCCCACGCCTACCTTGTGCCGCCCTCGCCCCCCTCCTGCTTCCCCGGCGATGGCGGCAGGCGCTGCATCTGCCGCCTGTCCCACTCGGGCTTTCGGCGGCCCAGGCGAGGGCCCCGTCTACCTCCTCCTGCCGTTGGCCGTCCCCGCTGGAAAATCCCTGGTGCTAACCACCGGTGAGCGGGGAGGGAGGGGAGAGAGGGGCGGGGAGAATTCCCGATCCTCGTAAGCCAGGGCCAGCTTGATCCAGGGTCTGTCCCAACTGCTTTAAGTGTAGGTCCTGAACTCTGGAACCTGAGATCCCCTGGAGATGATCTCTCTTCTAGGAGCAAGAGGGAAAGGGGCTGAAGCGTAACTGCGTGGGTGCGAATGCAGAAGTGGAATAGTGCAATCCTATGCATGTCAGTGCAGAAGTAAGGCTCCTTGGGGTCAACAGCGTTTACTCCTAGGCAAGGGTGTATAGGGATTTAGCATTATAAGAAGCAGAGGGAGAAAACAATGCAAAAGTAGGGCTGCTGTGAACTGATGTGGATGGGATCCTGAACATTTCCAATCAGGCATGCATTCTTTGTTCCTATGAATGGAGCCTCTCCTTTTAAAACCAGGGAATGTTTCATTTCTCACAGCAGACTTCATTCAGTCTTGCCAAGAACTGTCCTCCTCCACTTGATGCTTCCCAGATGTGTTGGACTACAAATCTTATCATCCCCAACTAGCATGACCCATAGCAGGAGCTGCAGTCCAACACATCAGGAAGGTGCCAGCAACTGCTACAGGCCAATTCCTAATCTCAGGCATCACAACTTCAATCTCATACTGCCTGGAAGCCAGGAAAAGAGAATTCTTACCAGCAAGGGAGTGTAGAACTTTTTGAGTTGCAGTCTTCCCATCCGTCACGCCTTATGTGCCATCAAGTCATCTGCAACTCATTGTGACCCTATGAATGAAAGAACTCTAAATTGGTGTATCTGCATTAACCCTATTCACCTCTTGTAAATTCAAGGCTGTGACTATATTTATGGAGTCAATCCATCCCATGTATGTGGATGGGTGGTGGGGAAAGAGTTGGGTCCTGTTTTGAAAACAAGTGTTTTATCTAGTGATCAGACCTTTTCTGTTTACAGCAGATGGAGCCAACACTGCCTGGGTTCTCTCTCTCTCAGCTGAAGGCAAGAGCAAAACAGGAAATCTGCAAGATGGTGGCAAAGAACTGAATGGGACATCTTCCAGTAGCCCTAGCAGGGGGGATAATAAGAGGCTTTTGCAAGGAGGTTCTGCAAAAAACCAGCTGGACTTTTCTAAAGGGGAGTTCCAGGACCCCACAGAGTTGCTGTGCAGCAAACCAAAATCCTACAAATGCTCTGACTGTGGGAAAAATTACCGCCGGAGTACTGATCTCTTGAGGCACCAGCGGACCCATACTGGAGAGAGGCCTTATCTGTGTCTGGACTGTGGGAAGAGCTTCAGCCGAAGTTCAATCCTCCTCGAACACCAGAGAATCCACACTGGTGAGAAGCCATACAAATGCAGCCACTGTGGGCAAGGGTTTAGCCAGAGCTCCAACCGTAACCAACATGAGAGGACTCATGGCAAGGAGAAGATGCGCCACCTTGCAGGTTGGGTACCAAATCGACAAAGGACAGAGGATCAGCAGTGTGGGCTGAAAAGCCTGCAAAGAACTGAAGGTAGCTTGGAATCTGGAGGAAGCCCTCAACCTCCTGGAGAAAGCTCTTCTTGGAGCTCAAAGATGGTGATGAAGCGCCAGCGAAGCTGCCTAGTTGAGAAGCCCTACCGATGCCCGGAGTGTGGGAAGTGCTTTGCACGCAGCACAGATTTCATCCGGCACCATATCACCCACACAGGAGAGAAGCCCTACACGTGTGGGAGCTGTGGGAAGAGTTTCACCCGCAGCTCTGTCCTCAATGAGCATCAGCGCATCCACACAGGTGAAAGGCCTTACAAGTGTCGGCTGTGTGGGAAGGGCTTTAGTCAGAACTCCAACCGGAACCAGCATGAGACCATCCACCAGGCCAAGAAGCCACCCCGGCATTTCATGGGTAGCAGCAAAATGTTGAACTGGGGTGTGGGTCTCACTCAGCAACAGAGAATCCATTTGGCAGTGGGGAAAGCCTGACATTAATCCAAAGGAGGGGATAGGAAAAGAAAAAAAAATAGATCCCCATATGTGAGAGAGAATCCAAAATGCGGTGATGTGGGTATGTTCTTGTGAAATATATTATTATGGGAGTGGGGAGGAATGTCATGCAATCTGCTTCAAAAAGCTGGGTAAGGAAGTGTCATTGTTTTTCTGTGCTCAACTTTGTGACACTGTTTGCACTCCACTTCCTGTTCTGTTTGGTTATTTGTTTTGTCATTGGAATAGTAGAGTTTAGTGTATTCATTCAGCTGGATGGAAGACTTACGCCATTGCTCCTCACTCCTCCCAACTATTTCAGCCTTTTAAAAATCACTTCTTTCCTGAATTTGTACCATTTTATATGTGCATGACATTACCCTAGATGCCTTGTTAATTTCATCTTCAAATTTCTTTTAACAAAAGCAAAACCTATTTATTTTGTAGTCTTCTAAGTGTTTTTAAGCATGGGCAGAGAGAGTACATTTTCTTACAGTGATCACAGCCAATTCTACCTATATTTCAGATTAAGGAGTAGATGTTTCAGACCAGATGGTCTGGTTTCATGGAAGGCCTGAGTCTCCACACTCTCCTGGTTGATCACCATATAATTGTGAATGGTAAAACTGCCTAGATGTACTTTGATCTTTGTGAAATCAAGGGTTTGAACAGCTTCACTTAGGCAGTGGTCTTATAGTGACTCACCCGGAAAGAAGGTTCATTGATCTCAATGAATGTTCTAAATTCAGTATTTGGTGTTGATCAATGCTAAATGAACAATAGTAGCAAGTACACACACGGTTTGACCTTGGATTTTTTCAATGAACTTGATCAAATGATATCTGGCTGCATTTGTTTCTGCCTCTCTTGGATATAGAACAGCCTGAACAGCATTGAGGGTTGAGTGCAGGATCAACTCCAGAAGTTATTTGGACTACTAAAGCTCAAACTTGGCTACAGGAAAGAAAATATAATTAATTAGCATGGGAATGTGATGTGTCTAGGATGGCTGACTAGAACTGGGGAGGGCCCAGGTTCTAACCCTCATTCAGATATGAAACTCACTGGATACCTTGGGCCAGTCTCCCTTCCTCTGAGCCTAACTTACCTCACAGGGTTTTTTTGAGGATAACATGAAGAATTGTGAAGAACCACGTATGCCACTTTGAGCTCATTGGTGAAAGGTAGAATGAAGAAGCAGCAGCAGCAGAAGATAAGAGATTCTCTCTCAAATGCATTCTCTAGTCATTCCCATAACCTCTTTCTTGAGAGTTCTATATTCTGCACTCTCAAATGAGGTCACCGTGTCCTTTCATGCCAGTTGCCTCTGTGTGTCTTGTACGTAAGAGCAAGTACACACACAGAAGGGACAGCTTTCTTCAGCTTTATACACAATTTCTCCCACTCATCCAGCCCTTAAGAGTCAGGAGCCTTTAGCAGGAAAGGATTTGACCACCGCAGTGAACTTCTCTCCCTCTCCTCTAAATGATGCTGCAAATATAAGTTGCCAATAGCAAAAGCTAACAAACAGACCCACTTCCCAATACTCTTAAAGAATAAAGGTTTAACCTTCCCCAGCCTGGTACTTTCTAAATGTGTTCAACTTGTTTCCATGCCGGCTAGGTTAATGGGAATTCTAGTCTAACACTGGAAGGCACGGGGACAACACACCTGTGTCTAGAGTATTTTGCAATGGAAGTAATTTGGCGTAAGTTCATCAGGTTCAGTTACTTGTCTCCTTAATAGTGCCAATGGCTGAAAGGAATAAATAACTCCATTGTCTAAAGGTAACTGGTGCAAGAGAACGGTTTGTCCAGTGAGGCAGAAAAGGACATGAGCCTTCAAAGTGATCCTTGAGGAGTAAAAAATGGTATAAATTTTATTGGGAGTCCAATGCTGGCTGAGAATGATGGGAGTTGCCCAAGTTATCTGGAGATTCTGGAGAATTTCATGGGGCTAGAGAATATATGTTTTCACAGATAGGAAAGCCATCCTACAAACACACTTGCCCTGCAAGGAGGGTGCAGTTCCTCAGAGCTTTTATTAAAGTAATCTTATACATGATCAAAACATACCTCTTTTGGGGGTGGGAGGGAACATTCCTTACATTTAAGCACCAGGGTTACATATGAAGTTTTGAGCAAGGCTCTAATACTTCTGATTTGTGAGTTTTCAAATGCTGGGTTGGCAGGCCCCAAAACTGAGTCAGAAAGCAGTCTATGTTGGGGTGTATCAAAGATACAACTACAATGTCTTCTTGTCTGTCTTCCATTATTTTTAAGGGAGAGAGAAGGTGCTCACATAAGAAAAAAACAGATTCCAGATAGCAAATGGCAGTTAAAAGTGGCCCCCATTATGAAAAGGCTCCTGACTGAATCCAATATTCTATTATCTGCCATGTTGTTTATTTCTATACTGCTCAGTAGCTGAAGTCATACCCAGAGCTAACACCTCTTTCCTGTTGAAGACTTTGTGATGGTAATTTAGCCAAATGTGTGGTACATTGTGTATTTTCACTGCGTGTTTCAATCTGATTCCGGGAGTATTAGCCTGCTTGGAAAAGCTATATCACATGGTCTGGAAAGCTAGATTTTTAAAATATACATATTTAGGGTATTGGGGTAATGAGAGTCAATATAGTTAGTGTCTGACTGGGACTGGGGAGACCCAGGCACAACTCTTTCCTTAGCCATGCAGCTTACTAAGTGACAGCCCAACTATTCTCTCTCTCCTTGACTATCTCACAGACTTGTGAGGATAAAGCATATGCTGCAGCTGGGAGCACTTTGTATGCTGCTTTGAGCTCTTTGGAAAGAAACATGGGATTTAAATGATATAAATACAATACGCTAATATTACCTTTCCTTTTTGCACAGAAAAGGAAACATTTCTCTCTAGGGCAGGGTTGGGCAGAAGGTAGATTCCCAGGGGATCCACTTGTAGAGTAGTGCATGGTTTGCAGTGGATCAGTGAGTATTTCCAACTGCCATGTGTTTAGTCATTCCATATTTAAGTTACATTGGACTACCAAAATCCCTGGCCTCTAGTAACTCAGATGTAGATGTGATTCAAGGATGTAGACGCCCAACTTCACCCAAGCCACCATTTTCTATCTGGCTGTCGTTGGTAGATCTTGGGTTTTAGGAACAACAACAGGGCTGTCTTAACACATGGGCCTGATGGGCACTTGCGTGGGCCCCATACTAATCTGTGTATGTTAACCCCTGGAAAATTGGAAAACTTCCAAAATTAACAGTAGTTGTCCTAGGGGCCCATAATGCTGTTAAGACGGTCCTGAACAACAACAAAAAGTGGCTCTTTGCTCCCACCACTAGGACCTCCAGGTATGGACTCCCAGGATTCCCTAGCCAGCCACCTGGTTGGAGAATGCTCGTTATAACCCATTCGATGGACGCTCCAGAATTGCGGGGGCAATTTAAAGAAGTGATGGTAATTCAATAGCGTAGCGAAAGCGCGTGCGCTCTGCACATACTCAGGGGCTTCCTGCTTCATGGCCGTGATCTATAGAAGAGCTGACACCTGACAATCCAGAAATAAGTTCCGTCTGGGCTGGCTCTGCTTAATTGGGAGCGGGGTTGTTTGGCTTTTGCCGGGGGAGGTGGAGGAGGCCATCGGGTGAAAGCAGGACGTCTGGGTCCAGCCCCCTGCTTCTGGTCTGGCAGGAACATGCGCCGCTGCAGTGGCTGCCACTCTCCCTCTCCAGCCAGTCTTTCCACCAATGGTAGAGAAGGAGGGGGGGCGACGGTAGCCAATCTGTACGGTGCGCCCTCCCTCTGTCATCCTCCCCCCACCTAATATTCTTCCCTTCCCCCTTGGAGCTCCCCCCGCTCCTCCTCCTCCGGGCGAGGGTCCCTACTTCTGGAGGAAAGGCGCAAAAGCGCATCGGGAGTGGATTGTGCGCGCTCCGAGGCGCTTGCCAAAGGGTGGGGGCCTCCGGGGCTCACTTAGCTGCTCCCCAGGCGCCCTGTTTCCCCCCACCATCATCTTCATCAGCAACAGCATCCAGAGGCCCGGGTGAGTGGGGAGGAGGGGAGCGGGGTGGGGGAACCAGCCTGGATCGCAGGAAGCGGTCACTCCCTTGCTCTCAACTTCCTCCCCAGAGTTGCTGCTCCCTCGCCCGCCCGCCCGCCGCCCCCCTCCTCCTCCTCCTCCTCCTCCTCCGGGATTCTCCCTATCCGGAGGAACGTGGCGCGGGGGGAGATCCTCCACGTGGGTCGGGGAAGCAGCTGTTGCTTTGAAGAAAGGGAGGGGGGTGCCTGGCCGAACAACGCTTTAGCTGCTCCACACCCGTCCCCAGGATTGGGGCAGACTAACGGGTGGGTGTTATGAACACGCACACATGGACAGACAAAAGAGGTTAGTTTTGGGGGGAGGGGGGTTGCTTGGTTCAGTTGCAGGGGGTTGCTTACCTGGAGCCACGGCCGGCCTAGGAGTCGCGTTCAGGCCACAGCACGTATGTAGTGGCAGGTGTCTGAGTTTGTGCAGATTGTATTTCTTTTCCTGTTTATGCAGGTTCATATGCCCCCACTCCCCGTGTGAAGGCACATTCATGTCTGGGATTGCGGGCCATATTGGTTTGAGTCTCTCCTTGTTGCCTGTATCCTAACCCATGTGGACTCAGGCCTGTCAGTTGGAAGCAGGGGGTGTGGAGGCAGGCAGGAAAGTGAATATCCTGTCCCACCTCCCATAGGAAGTTATCTGGGTGGATGGCCTTGAACAAGTCATAGTCGTGTGGCCTACCTCAGAAGATTGTTGTGAGGTTTTTAAAAAATGCCACACTTGATAGGCTACAGTTAGCAAAAGGCTTGCTTTCAAGTAAGTATGCTTGGGATTGATTGATTGGTTGGTTGATCGATATTAGATTTACATCCTGCTTTTTTCTTACACTGAACTTAAAGCAGCTTACATCATTCTCTTGCTGCTCTCAATCTGCTCTCAACAACAGCCCTGTGAGGTAGGTTGGGCTGAGGGTCTGTGAGCGGCCCAAAGTCACCCAGCTGGCTCCAAGGCTGAGTGGGGATTAGAACCCAGATCACCAGAGTCCCATCAGAGTCACTTAATCACTACATCACACTGCCTCTCTTGAAAGAGATGGAGTCCTGGGTTGCTTTTAATGTTGTATCTCCTCTCAGAAGCTGCCTACTTTGGCCTTTAAATTCATGATGGATGACAGCAAGGAGAGCATGGAAGAAGGGAAACCAGAGGTCGGGACCCCTGTGTCTGACACACCAGTTATGGTTAAAGATGAGGCTGAGGTGAGTAACAGGACCGCTAACCCTGAGCAGCCATCTCAATGCCTCGCTATGTGGGAGAAAGACTCCTCTGGGAAAAGCAGCCCAAAGTATCTGTTTCTGCCCTGGCCTGTACACATGCGGCCTTCTGCAACCTGGCATCGGCTACGTGCTTTGAACTACATCACCACCAGCCATATGATCCAACAACTGGGGAGGGCACCAGGTTGGGGAAGGCTAATGGCATCTGAGAGACTTCAGTGAACAGCCTGGTCAGAACATCTGAGCAGGGTCAGTGGGAAGTATGCAAAATATCTAGCCATCTAATTTGGTCTTGAACCTGCCTCTAATCTGTTTGGTGTTTTGTTCCCATTTTGTAGTCTCAGAAGCTGGATGCAGACGAGCCGGTGGAAGATGAAGGACTGTCCTGGCGATCCTCAGAGATACGAAGGAAAAGGCTGAGGCCTAGAGTGAAGAAGGGAGTGCAAGCAGGAGCACAGCACACCAAGGTGCGGATGTCTAAGATCTCTGGGGACAGCCCTACAGGGTGCTTCTGTTTGGGGGGGGGAGTTGGAAGGAAAGTTGGGCTCTGCATATCTGTCTTGAGGGTAACTCAATTGCTCCACTCTTTGAATACTGAGCATACCATCCATTTTGGGGTGGAAACAGCTGTGTACAAGAGCAAATGGCAGGCAGATTTGAAGGAATGGGTTAGGGCAGGAGGGGGAAGTGCAGACAGAATCTCTAGATTCTATTGGGGTGAATCAGAATCTGAATTCCTTAGTTTGGGATGGGATTATTTCTTTGTTACTCTTTAATTCCCACTTGTGGGGGTAGGTGTACATTTATTTATTCCATATCTCTTACCATCCACTAGCGGAACCATGTACATGATTCGTCCCCCTTTTATCCACCCAGCATTCCTGTGAGGTGGAGGGGAGAGAGAGAGAGAATGAGATGGATGGAGCGGGCAGATAGCCCAGGGTCACCAGGGGTTTCATGGCCGAGTGGACGTCCTTGATACTGGGCTCGCGTTGTAACTGCTAGCGGTGTGCCCTGTGTACCTAAATGTCCTGTCCAGGTTTCAAAGGGTTGGTTTGTGTTTAATTCTGCTCACCTGCATCAGATTGTTTTCCCAGTATTGTCTCTTCTTCCAACCTCTGTTCTTTTTTGAAAGAAAAGTGTCTGCGTGCACATCAGGTAGGGAAGGGAGCAAATGGGCAGAGAGGGGAGGAAGGGGTCTTTTTTTGTGGTGATGAGATGTGAGATCCCAGTAGGTGACGATACCTTGGGGAATGAAAGCAAACCAGTGGTTACATCTCTGTACCAGAAGAAGGCATGCTGTATAAAGGGCTTCTATTTAGATATGCACTTCTTCCCTGCAGATCTATTTTATGTTGCTTAAATTTACATTTGGGCTGCTTTAACAGTAAAACCTTTAAGCTTCTTCATTGAGGTTGCCAGCTTTTCAACTAGTCCTTGCAGTCCTGCCTTTCTGAAGCAGCTTGACTGAGAGCAATGAGCAAATGATGGCTTTTGTCTCTGGGCTAGGAAAAAGCTCTTTTTACTGATTTCTGCAGATCAAAGCAGCTGTTAAATGTATAAGAATTTGTGCATTTCCTCAGGTCAGGAATTTATCTGGATAGCTGAAAGCTTCATTCTTCCTTAAAGTATTTTTTGGGAACAAAATGGTGTTACCAGTATGGACTTTGCCCTTATTCCTCGGAAGCCTTTGTACTTGGCAGCCTTTGGGATTCCTGTGCCCTGCTGGAACTAGACTAGACATAGCTTTCAGCCTATCCAGCAAGGGAGAGGAGGAAGCTGAAAGAGGCTCAGATTAAATGTTGGCCCCTCTGGTCTCCTTCTGACCGTTCCCTGCCCATAAGAACTCCCTTTTCAACTCTCCGAGGTCAATTTTCTGACCCTTGGAGAGGCAGCCAGCGTGGGTCTGTCTGTGTTGTCTGCAAGGGGTTGCTTGCCCTGGATCATGGGATTCTTCTCTTAATTATGAATACTTTTGATCATCCTAAGCATTAGAGAACTACAAGTGAAAAATAAGTGCATATTGAGAGACTGTGAATTGTGCTACTGTGTTACATGGTGGCTGCAGTTTTCTGGATAGTAGTTAAATATGTGGGAGAAATTACAATTCTGGAAGTACAGTGGCCAGTATTGTAGTGGAACCAGGGCTCACGGGGTTGAAACTCCAGGACATTTTTAGTAGCAGGTGATGACATTATCTGCTCTGCTCCTCAGGCTTCCCTTTGTCTCCTGAGCTTAGCTGCAAAGCTCACAGTAGCTGCAGGTAGAGAATAGATTATCCAAATTTCATTGCTGTATGCTCTCCATATTGTTGGGCGGATATGTCACAATACAAGCTGTCCGCATTTTGTGGGCATGGCTTGGGGCGAGCATAGTATGTGCAGGCACTTCAAATTCATGCTACACCTGTCAGTGACTTTTAAAAAAAATCTTCACATTGTGCACTAGGGCATCAAACTAAACCTGAAGCAAAACATGGAACAATCCTTTAGTTTTGCTGAAAGGGCCTCTGTTGACAGTGAACCAGAGCAGAATTGGAGGAGAAAACAGGTTGAAAGAACCGAATAAGTGTTCAGTCAAGCAGCAGAACCCCTTCTGCAAGGCCCCCATTGGTTCCACTGGAGTCAGAATGAGCAAATCAAATAAAACCGCTCTGTGGACCACTCTGTCACATACATTGGATTTGGAGAGGTTTCTCTGCCCCGCCTCCTCCTCCAAGGGTTAGGCCAGGACTGGACTGGAGGCCTGGTTCTTCAGTGTGACAAGGGTTCTTCAGTGTGACAAGGGAGAGCCAGTGTGGCGTAGTGGTGAAGAGGATGGGACTGGGACTCAGGCGATCTGGGTTCTAGTCCCCGCTCAGCCATGGAGCCAACTGGGTGACTCTGGGCCAGTCACAGACTCTCAGCCCGACCTACCTCACAGGGTTGTTGTTGTGGGGATAAGATGGAGGAGATATAAGCTGCCTTGAGCCCTTTGTAGGAAAAAGGCAGGATATAAATAGAAAAATTAATTAATTAATTAAATTAAGGGTTCAGTCAACATGCAGGTTGAAAGTGGAAGGGGGGAGCATGCGGAACACACTAAGGGGGCACCGTAATGCAAGTTGGGCAACGTAATGTATTTGGTGTTTTTGGTCTTCAAATGTACAGTACAATGAGAGCATACATGTAAATGCCAAGTGAAGTAGAAATATGTTTGATTTAAGTACTCTGAATTTATTTTTACTTCATTCATGCTTCATAGTCCCTGTTGTTGACCTTTGGGGGAAATAGTTTCAGACCCATCGCCTACTTCGCCCCCACTGGGTAAATGTTATTACATTGAACAATCTTTTAAATGTATTCTGATGTGAACCTGAAATGAACCAAACTGCCTGATGAGTTACTGAACCTTTACTGGCCTGAATCAGAAACAAGCCAGAACTACCTCCATTGCAGCTTGAACTGACATGCCACATGCGCCCTCCATGTAATAGGTTGGTTCCCTGTTTTGTCCAATGAGTGCAAAGCTAAATATATGTTAATGTTGTTAGTATTTCTCAATAGGTTGAGCTCCTTTGGGGAAAGTTAGCTTCTGTGATGAATTTGCTAATTTAAAAATGGCTGTGAGTCAATCTGGGAACTATTCTGTGAAGAGACTTGGTAGAAACTGCATCTCCTAGAAGTTTTTCTTGCCACTTTGGGCTTGGCCTGTACAACTTTTGAGCCACATGCATGATGGAGCATAGAGCCTTTCTGGGACAGCAAAAAGTAGCATTGTGCAGGAACTCATAGGCCACAGTGTATAATTTATTATTTTATTGATTTATACTCTCTTTATCCTGCTGTTCAGCGCCAAAGTTCCCAGAGTGGTACAAAGGTAAGAAATAAGAGAGTCCCTTTCTGTAGGTTCACACTCTAAAGATGTGACACAAAAGGAATGAATATTGGGAAAGAAAAGGGGAAAAAACAAATTCAGGTACCAGATTCTTGGTTGCTCTATTAATAGCTGCTGACTGTTTTTGGCGTGTGGGTGATAATGTGTGTAGGATTGCTGTTAGAACGGCCTGGCTCCTGTTGGAGTACAATTTGATTCTTAAACAACAAGGGCAGTGTAAATGCTAAAACAGTTGTTCTGCTCCTTTGGCCTTTTCCAGCCAGATTCTTCATCTTTCCGGGATGGACTGTCAGTGGTGGAAGACAGCAGTGAGGAAAAGCTGGTAATCAGAAGTAAAGTGAAGAAGGAAAAGGACGAAGAAGAGGATCTGGAATTTGAGGTGGAAGTGCGAAGAGTTTCTGCAGAGGGGATGCCAGTGAGTGGCGATGAGGACAGGCTGACCATTTGGTTGTGGAGGTGGGGTGGGAAGGGGGGAAGCAGAAGAACCACACTTCAGTGGGTGAGATGGTTACATAATCGGTGTCAATTTTTAATTGTCTCCTGTCCACCAAACCACTCCAGAATGATTCAGTGGACTCGCTACCTGAGGAAGACATGAAGGTCGAGTTGGAGGAAGAGAATGCTGAAGAATTTGAGGTGCAAAAAGTCACCATCCCAATAGATGGACATACAGTAAGTAATGGGGAAGCACAGCTGGGAGAGGTTTGGGGTGGGTGGGTGGTAGTGCTGGGCCTGGTTCTCTGGAATTGCTTGTCTAGGCTGTGTGCTCACGGTAGCCCTTTCGTGAGTCTCATCTGCTTGGCGTTGTGGATTTAACCGATCCTGCTTTGCTGCTGGCTCTTGGGGACTGGCATATCTGACTCTCCAGGTTCTTGCAGGACTAAAATGTAGATGTGTTCAAACCTGGCAAAACTCCCACACACCCGTTCTTTCATCATATTTGCATTTAGTCGCTCGCTTGGGGCATTTGTGCATTGTCACATTACATCTATGGGTCGCTTAGGCCAGGTGGTAGCTCCACACAGGGGGAAATTGGACTGTGTGCTGTCACTGTGCTGCACCAGCCTCACCTAATGCTGAATCTAGAAGATTATTCCTTTCCATGCAGCGCTATAAAAGAGCCTTACTGAGCCTGGTATCCTTCCAATTTCACCACCCCCAGCCTCTTGAGGACAAGGAGAGTTAGTCCAAAACATCTGAAGGGAGCCAGGTTGGGGAAGGCTGCTTTAAGCCACGAGAACCTTTTTTATTCTCATCATTTAAATTTAAATAATTTAAATCAAATTATAATAACTAAATATAATTGAAATTTTTAGGCACCTTTATAAAAAGATTCAGGGCAGCTTACAATCAAATTAGGACATAAAAACTTGTAAACAGCAGCATCAGTTATTCATTAAACTGTAACCACCGAAGCATTTTCAAGGCTAACCCAGCATCCTGTGCATCAAAGTACACAATTTGTGTGTACTGCACCTGATTCTGTTTCCATGCTGCTCTCAGAGGGGAGAACAAGAGGAGCAAAGCAAGCAAGACAATCTTTTCCCCTCTTCTGCCTTCCCTGTCCACTGCATCTGGGAAAGCTTATAGAAAGAACCCATCACCCCATAAGATTTCTTGTGCTGGGAATCTAGCTGGAGTGGTGAAGCTGTACATCTGTGCTGTGTAGTTTTCAGGAAGATGTCCACTCTGTGAAAATCCTTGGTCTTCCACTTGAAAGCAATGCAGTGTGGATGAACTGTACTTCCCAGCTGACAGGTGTCCAGTTTTTATCCTGCAGCCTTTAAACAGGGCTTGGAGGGAAGGTGGCTGTGATTGCCCTTTCCAGGTTCCAGGCTAAACAAAGCAAGCCACAACCTTCTTTTCAACATCCTTCCCAACGCTGGCAGGTGAGGGCTTGCAGGTGCTTCCTACCCTCCTTGTATCCAACATCTGAGGCCAGCATGAATGCATATTGCTAGGTCACCAGTAAGATGGGGAAGATAAGGTGCTTTCATATTTTTGAAGGTGGTCCCTTCTTGAAAGTAGGGTTTTACTGCATACCTCAGGGGTCCTTTGCATCTGTAGATTTGTCCCAAGAACAAGTGCCAAAGGTGAGCATGATTGGGTGATTGCCAAGGGCCACATCCCTGCAAGGGCCATCAACATGAGCCCCTGAAGAGTAGTGCTGCTCTGCTTTGCACAGAGTAACAAAGAACTGGCTCGCCCTGACAGGGCTTCATTGCTTAGTAGTTGCTAGAGCTCTGCACGGCATGCAGAAGGCCCCATGGTATCTGGCATCTCCGGGTGAGGCTGCAACAAGTCCTGCCTGAAACCCTGAGAGCTGTTTATTCATTTGTTTCTTATTAAAGTCCCCCAAAGCACTCTGTAAGCGGTTTATAACACAACAGTTTGTCTTGTTGCCAGCTAATGTGAACCAAACTGGGCCAGACAAACCAAGGGCCTTTTCCTCTGTTCCTAGAAGCAGGTAAGGGTTAAAAGCTGGCAGAGGAAAGTACACCATCCTGAATGACCCATTGCCAAAACGTTTTGAAGCTGTGAACACGGTCTGGGCTGTTTTTAACCATGTCTCCATTCCTGCAGTCACCCTCCTCCTCCTCGCATCCCAACACCTGTGGCGTCTGTGGAAAAAGTTTTAGCCGCCGCTCCAACCTGGCCAAGCATCAGATCATCCACACCGGTGAGAAGCCATATCGCTGCACTGACTGTGGCCGCAGCTTCAACCAGAGCTCTGCCCTCACCAAGCATCAGCGGACACACACCGGCGAGCGGCCCTATGTCTGTGGGGACTGTGGCAAGGCCTTCACAGCCAGCTCGAACCTCCTCCAGCACCGTCGTTTCCACACCGGAGAGCGGCCCTACCGCTGCGAGCTGTGCGGCAAGGCCTTCTCCCAGAGCTCCAACTACAACCTGCATCGCCGCGGCCACACGGGTGTCACACCGTACCAGTGCAGCGTGTGTGGCAAGCGCTTCACCGGGAGCTCCTGCCTCACCCGCCACCAGAGGACCCACACCGGGGAGAAGCCATACCAGTGCCAGGAATGCGGCAAGCGCTTTTCTGGAAGCTCCACCTTAGCCAACCACCGGCGCACCCACACTGGCGAGAAGCCGTATGGTTGTGCCGAGTGCGGCAAGAGATTCACCCACCATTCCAACCTGGTGGACCACTGGCGAGTGCACACAGGAGAAAAGCCATACGTGTGCTCCGAGTGTGGAAAGAGCTTCCGGCTCAGCTCCCACATCATCCGCCACCGCCGCACTCACGCCAACACCCGTGGCACTAGCCTGGGCCATGATCTTGTCAGCAGTGCTGATGCAACGTGTGATGAGCCCAGTGTGGAGGCCCACCGTGTCAGCATTGGCTGTGCGAGTGACAGTGGCGCTGACAACAGCAGCCCTCATAGGGCAAGCCTTGATGCCCCATATGCCAACACTGGCATTTCCAATGGCAACAACGAGACGGACGGCGAAGACGGCGACCGGCTTCTTATCTGCAGTCAGTGTGGCAAAGGTTTCCGCTTGGCTTCCAGCCCTCAAGAGCCGAACCAAGAGGACTCAGCACTGGGGGAGGGGCCCTATAGTTGTACTGAGTGTGGCAACAGATGTTGGACGTAGTCAGGAAGTGATGGAGCCAAGTGGCAAAGCTTTGGTAACTCTCTGCAAGTTTGGCCTGCTCAGAAGAAAAACTCCAGTTTAGTCAAGGTGGGAAAGGAGATTGTTTGATCACTAAATCAGTAATAGACTGGAAAATGGACTGGGGCAGAGGGTATATCCTGATCCCTGCATTTTCCCAGTAAGTTAAGGCTTGCATGGAGCTGGCCCTGACTTTGCTTCCAAGGTGTCCTTAATTCCTCTCCAGTTCCCACTTTTGGCTTTAAGGGAAAGGAGTAAACAATACTGGAGAGCATGCATTCTTGAATTCTAGGAGAGGATGAGTTTTACCTAGCTGTACCTGGAGTTGGCATTAGAAAGATATTTCGCATTCTCTCCTGCTTTTGTTCATCCACACTTTTGTTCTTGGTGCCACCTTCCTCTCTGCTCACACAGCCTTCACAAAGAAATAAAAATAAAACGGTTCCCAATTATTTTTTGCCTTCCCTTTATGGGAAAGAGCATCAGACTAGCTTGGGGCAGAGGCTCTTACTTGCAGCGGAGTGTCAGGAATATGGATGCAACTAACAATGGTAGTCTTACAACAGAAATCCAAGTTTGGATTTATGTCACCAGCTCCCTCCTCAAGCAGGTAAAGGTAGAAGGAAGAAACGAGGGTACAAACTGTACTGTGGGAATGGATGTAGATAAAAAGGTGACTTTCTGTTTTGCCTTGCCCTCCTTGACGCACTGGCATGGTTATTCCAATCCAGGGCTGCAGAAGTTCCGGCGAAGAGCCAAACCTGGCCTCCCCACGGGTCCTTCCAAAAGCCGTGTCGCTTTTCCCCAGTCACTGATCATTTGGTTGTTTCTTGGCTTTTATGCAGTTTTCCTCCCCTTCTAGACAGTAGCAGTGCCTCTTCCAAACTTTGGGGCCACAGGAACTTTCATTTGAAGTGTGCAGGTATTATCTACTCCCCTTCTGCCATCACTCCTACCCTCTTCCCAAGAGGTTTTTCAAAACACAGTGTGGCTCTTCAGCTGAGAGAGGGTCTGCACCTATTTGTTCAGGTCCTTCCCCAATCCTTGCATCCTCAGATTTGGTACGTATGTAGCCCAGGAGACCCTGACTAACGGGAAAGTTTGAGATGGCACTTTTCAACACCTTTTGAAACCTGGGGAATCTTTTGCCTTTTGGGAGTGGTCATTTATGAAAGAGCTAGGCCAGCCACACACTTGAAACAGGACTTGGTAAACCAGGGGTATTTGCCATGGCGGCCATGCACATACCAGTGGTTGCCAAAAGCAGCTGTACATACTCCGTGTGCATGTACAATCTCTGTGTCCGTTCACACTCTGCAACTCTTCAAGCTCTTATTTAGCTTTGTGGGGGAGGGATGACAATCATGCTGCCCCCAGAGAGCCGTGTGCTCTTCATTACTTTGATTCAGCTCTCACACGCAGCAAGAATGGCCATCCTACCAGTTCCGTGGTCAAGGGATTATTCTATGAGCCAGACTATGTATGCTCTGTTGAAATTAAAAACATCTTTTTTTAAAAAAACAACACGATCTGCACTGAATAAATTGTGCCAATTAAGCCTGCTTGCAGGGGAGTGCATATGGTGTCTGCTTGATCCTGCTTCTCAAACCATGGGATAACGGTGAGCATCTCTGCAGAAAAGACTGCAGCCTGTGAATCACTGGAAGCCCTAATCAGTCCCAAAGCCCTTTTTTCCTGATTTCATCAGGCATTTCCTCCATGTATTCAGGTGTATCTTGGCTACCAAGTGAACTAGTAACTTTTTTCAACAATCTCAGTTCTCTACCTGATACCATGTATGAAATACATACCTTTTAATACAGACCATGTGTGCTTATTACACCGATTCCTGAGTTATTTGGACATCCAAAACTGGGTTTTTTAGGTTTTAAACAACCCAGAGTTTAATCCCCAAATCCTTGTATCCTGGGTTGATTACAATGAAGTGGAAGTGATGAAGGCATAGAAAGTAGGCATGCATGTTTGCTGAGTACAGTGTGGCTCCACCAATTCCTGCATTAAATAACCCAGGAATTGGTGTGATATGCAAACTGGGTCTGTATTTCTGGAGGGGAGGGGTGGTTCTGGGAACTGGGTGTGTTACCTCAAGACACAGTCCACATAACAGGCTTGGAGGAATTAATTGTAGGGCCAGGGTTAATGAGTGGCATCGTTCATTAACTTTTGTTCATTACACTTCTGTCCTTCAACTTTGAGTAATACTGTTCCCAAGGTGGTTTAGTATAATTTTTTAAAGCAACAATCCAATCCAAACATCATAAACGGATAAAAGCATAATAAACAAAAGCAGGTAAGAAATGTCACAGTTAGTTAAAAAGTTAAAATCTGAGACTAGAAGAACCATCTTTGCCTGGTACCAAGCTGAAACAAAGACAGGCACCAAGTGAGCCTTCTAGAGAAGGGTTCCAAATACGTGCCACTACCAAAAGGGTGCCCTTTCTTGCTGACTCCTACCATATTTCATAGATGAGAGCCTTACATGCCAACTTGAGCAAATGGTTGGACAGATCCAGGTGAAGATAGCACAGCAGGTACCTAGTGTTCAAGCCATATGAAGCTTTAACAGGTAAGCACTGACACTGAATTGGGCACCAAAACGGACTGGCAAAACTTCCTGTGCCAGGAAAATGTGACCTTGCTATGTTGTTCCCATGGGCAGTGAGTATTTTGAGCCGTGGTCTTGAACTATCTTCAAAGGCACCCCATGTACAGCACATGGTAGTAAATCCTTACACTCTGATTGCAACCCTGATTTTCAGCACCTTTTCTGTCTTTTTTGGTTCCATTCCTATGTCTGACAACATCTTGACACACAAATTAAACCACCGCAGCTTTTTTTTATAGTAAATGGGCAAAGCAGTTCATTTGCATAAATTGTCTGTGTTGGGACATGAATGTACAGAAGCACCTACAAAAAGTAGGTAAAGAGGCTGTGAACTGTGGGTGGCCCCTACAAGTATACCTTCCCATACTTCTGGTGTTAGCACAACAAATCCCAATAAAGTTGCCGGCACACTTGCTTGTTCTTTTGGCACAGTCACATTTTTGGAAAGGGAAAGCCATGTTATTCTTGTGCTGAGGTACATGCCTGCTGCATTTAGTTCAAAGGGGCTGCAGGGAAATACACATGTCTGTATTTTGTAAAACAGTATTCTGGGGTTTGCAGCAATTTAATTTAGATTACAACTGGCAGAAGAACCACCTAAACACTTGTTTTCTATCTTACATATAAGCAGCATGGCTCACTGTCATGATGGCAGCCTGTTCTTCTCATCCCTCTAATACTGGCTCTAGGTTTTGAGGGCAAGATACCTCAGCCCCTCACTGTGCACCTGCCTTCTCACTGCTGTTGCTCCTTATCATCTCACTAATCATTGTTACCTCTTGTTTGCCTGCCTGCCTGCCTGCCAGACAAAGCCAGCAAGCAAAACCATGGTGGTCAGTGCTGCTCCTCATGACAACCATTGTCTGGAGCAGAGAAGCAGGAAAAGCAGGGAGCTCTCATCGGTGGCCCCCTGAAGTGGTGTGAGCCCTTGACGGGCCCAACCAAGCCACTGCATCTGGGGGCTGTGTGGACCAAGTAATAGGTGCTAGGCATCTATTTTCTGATTTGGAGGGTCCCTTTGAAGAGCCTAACATGTAATTCAAAGGTGATCCTGAAAGGAAGTCGGCCACATTAATGTGCTTTTATTATTTCCAGAATTGACAGTACTGATAGCAGGTTGGGTGGGATGGAGGACTTGTAACGGCTATTGTAAGGTGCCTGAAAGACTCATTTATCAATATTGCTGTAGCTGAGAGTGCCCAGTTCTATTTTTCCCACAAAGTTAATTCCTCCTTCAACACCCCTGCTGAAGATCTCACCGAAAGCATTCCTAGTACCCCAGTAAACACGGTTGGACAAGCACTGGAACCCTGATACATTCTGCAGGGCAAGACAACTAGTTCTCATCTCTGTTCTTCCTGCCTGTCATGATCCTGTTACCCTCCTCCCCATTCCTCAGTATTCTCCTGAGTGCCAGGGAGATGGAGGGAAGTTTGGCTAGAAGCTGCACCTGCTAGTTAATAGGGAAAGATACCTTTCGTATGAGAAATCTGCTATCACTGTGCTCAGAAAAAAAATAGATGAACTCCTTTGATATCCTGTTGGAGCCTACCCCCAAACTGGCTTTACTCTCCAATATGCATGGAAATATATTTTTACTCATGCAAACTAGGTATGGGCAGACTTCATTCTTGTCGGATCTACTTAATTTTCTTATTAAAACACCAAGATCTACCAACCAGAGCAAAGGGCAAAAAAATCCACATACAATTCAAAACCAGGGTGCTTCTGAGATGATTCTGAGCCTAAGGGTTTGCTTTCAGTGCCAAAGTCAAAGTGAGCTCACAGTCTCCTCACACATGCACACATTTCCTCCTGGTTATTCAAAATTTTCTTCATGGCAACAGCTTAATTTGGAGGACAGGGAGAGGTTTTGCTGATGCTAGATTCTAGTGCAAACCATGTTGGACTTGATAGGTTCCATAATATTGAATGCATAATTTCATCCTGCATCACCACAACGTGCTGTGGAGCAATCTTCAGGAAACTGAGACATCATTCCCCCCACTCACACACCA